CGAATATCACACTATTTCATTTAGTATAAACTTTAAGCTAGTAAACGAAATTATACAGCAATGAACAAGGTTTGTTTCTATCTCATGAACTAATAACAACAAACAATACGGCCCAGAAATCAAAATTATGTCTTTAATTGCAGATGAGTTAAAACGTTGACTTAATTTTGACATAACAACATAAATTGTCTGAGAAGCATTGTCGAAATTGTGTAATGTATTCTATCAAATTATTATATCAAACGTCAGATTTCATTTCACAATGTTGAAATGTATTGATAGACGTTTCCGTCATAAATGATTATTGTCTTTACTACAATTGAATCTTAGTACAGACAAAGGATGAACGATGCAAAAATTATCTTACATTGGAGAAATATTACGGAATTCCATAAACGACAGCCTACTGTTTACTGTCAACTGCCTACTGTCAACTGCTTACTGTCAACTGCCTACTGTCAACTGCTCACTTTAAACTGCTTAATGCTTACAGCGACTGTTTAATGCTTACTGTTAATTGATAAATGCCTACTGCTACACCTGTCTAATACCCGATTAATTGCCTGAAAGTAAATGTTGACTTTTTATGTCCTTCTTCCAATGTGTTTATATGTTACAATGAGGCCGTTTGAAACAGTATTGGTCAAGGAATTACTCAGTAGCAGGCTGTCGTTTATGGAATTCCGTAAAATATAGGAGCGCTGTCTCTTTTTCTAATACATTAAGAGTTAGAGAAATAGCTGAAAAAGGTATGTAATTGTTGGTATTTCAGTGTGTTCAATATATTCTAAAGAATATGGATGCCTCATTTGTTATTTGTTGAATTATATTTTTAGTTTATTAATATTTTTGCATAAATATACACATAATATACAATTTCACAATTTTACAAACATAATGAAGTGTACGTACAAAAGGGTTGGGCCAAAAGTTCTAAGAACATTTTCGTGCGCCCTTCCCTGGTTGAATGACAAACAAACGGCCCAACAGTTGCTAAAAAGTATTTCTATGACTATAAATGATAAGATATATAATGACATATTTGATATATATAATTATTATGACAATACATATTATATATAATTATAATAAAAAGAAATTTACAAATGCACTAACTACTGATGAAACTTGGGTGCATTATTTTGAACCGATTAAAATATTGACAATAAAATATGGGCAACCAGGCAGCAAAAGACCTGTAATTGTTAAACGTTCGTGGAGCGCAGAAAGATTTTGTAATTTTGTTCTCTAGTGCAGGTGTTGCACATAAGGTGCCAGTGAAAAAAGGCAAGTTGCCACCCGATAGCACTATAAAGATGTAGTATTGATTAAAACAAAAAACGGACACCCATCAACCAGTTTCAAGCATATGCGGCTTCTACACGATAATTCTCCAGCATTGTTACAAAAGAAATTAAAACTCCTCCGTATTTACAAGACCCAAAAAATTGAAAAAGTAGACACCATTTTTCAATACCTTACCAGTATAACTAAGAGTAACGTGACGCATTCTGGAAATAAATCCATCGACTTAAATTATGCTTCTTTAGTAAAAGATTTCGAGGAAATGACAAAAAATAGTGATTACTTGATTTTTAAAAGTCAATATTCATAATAAGCAATTCTTTGAGAACAACACCCGAATGCTCTGTATGTCATTACTGGTAAAAAAAAGTATTGTTTGTACAATGCAAATTTTTGTCATAAGTGAGTATTAATTCGGATATTTTAAATTTGAATGAAAATTAAATATCTATAATATAATGATAGAATCTTAATTTAAACTTTTGAGATATTAACTGCTTCAACCAGATAAATGTGGATTTAGCTTAAGTACAGTAGTGACAGCAACTGAAGTATGTCTACTGGATTCAGAGCGTCTACCAAATAAAATCCGAACATTTCAACAAAGCAAAAATGAAATATAGAAATGCTCATAATCTCCTTTTTTCTATTATTTTCTTATCCTTTCCGAATATGGAACCACAAAGGGTATAAATATTGAGCCATTTATGCCATACCAGGACACTACTGTTCAAAACAACATCTGATACATATTTATTGAATACATGTATAATTATGTTGTTTTTATTTAGAAAAGAATACCTTTGCATCCTCTGAATTATGTCAGTGGCATTTCCTTCTTTTCTACACATAGAACAGTACTAACAAGAAAAAAGATACTCGGCCGAAGTAAATCTGGTTAACTTGCATATGTTATTTCTAAGTTTTCGATACATATAGAAATGTTAGCAATACTTGCATATCAATGCCATAATAATTTCTTGCAGTAAATGAAAAAAATACAACATTTTCTGTGAACATAGACACTGAATTTTAAGCACATAATATTGACAATTTCTATTTTACAGTATTTATTTAAGTGTCCCTATTACTTGTTTTTACTAAGGTGTTGTAATCATATGCAATATTGGTAGTATTATTGGAAGAATCAAATAATTATGAAATAATGCAAATAGAAAAAAAGATAATGGATGGTATAAAATCTTTTCTTTAAAGTAAACGGAAATGGTGCACAAAATGCAAAATATAAAACAGTGTTAAATCTAACTCTAAAACTACTGTGAAAATTATAGATGAGCCTTAACGTGTATAACCCGACCCACCACATAAATTATGTGACAGTTTGGAGCCAAATTTAAACTCAACATACTAATAGAACAATTTATATTGCACTCAATGATTTAGTTAAAGTTAATTTTAACTCTCAATCTAAATTGTTTATTTTTTAAACACTGAATGCCATTTTAGATTTAAAAAAGAATTACTTAAACAATTAAAGTTTCATCAAAACAAAATCTGAAAAAGAAGTATACAAACAAGAACGTTTTGTTGGTATAATAACTCCATAAATTACCAAGTGCATTAGACTTATAGAATCGTGAACGTTATTGGTGTTCTCGGTATTTTCGACAAAAAATAACTCAGTATGTTCTTGTGTAAAATTATCTCAGTAAGTTCTTATGTAAAACAAGTACAAATGTTGCTGCAATGCAACAATTGAAAAGCTCCGCGCAAAAAAGTGCGCTCATTACAGATAACTTACCAAAACATTCCTTTACTTTTTAGGTACATTATTCCGGATGTTTTGTAAATCATTTAGATTTCCATAATTATACTTAGCGTATGTACTGTCCATGAGAGAGGGACCAGATATCAAATCTAAAAAATGCTGTCACTGATGCCTACGTGGTAAGGAAAGTAATTCCAATACAAACAAGACTAAATGTAATGTGACATGCCATCTGTTTGTGTCACTACAATAAAAAATATTAGATGAGATAAAAAAAATCAAAGCATGTACATTTTCTTTTTCACCCATAATACTACTCATTTTCTACAAATATTAACAACTTATCATTATAAGAAATATGAAAATCCACATGTAAATAAGCCAAATCGACTTTATTTTTCAAAATGTGCGGCAAATGGTATACAATGTTATACATATAACAAGAATGGCATTTATGTAAAGCATCAAATGGCGTCCAAAGTGACGATGAACTAGTAGACATCTGATGACCAAATATTTTTTTAAACTGTTCAATCGTTAATTGGATTTTACCAGAATTGCAGATGTATATCATAGATGAATGGTCGGACGAAAGGCACTGTTTATCATGAACTTTGGAAGGCTTACTAGAAATGTATTACGAAACACAGTCAAAATGAATAAATTCTGTTTATTATTAAAATTCTAACAAATATACAAACAGTATTTAAAAAAAATAGTAACAAGAGACTAATTTTGGGATATAACATGCATTTTCAAATCAAGAAAAATGGTTTCTTTTGATACCTTGGACTCAAGATACAGTGGCTATATTTTAAGTCTCAGATAAATACTGAAAGTAGAACACACACTGGGATGAAAAATTTGGGATAAATTTCAAAAAGATAAAATTCAGGATTTTTTGTTTTGCGCGTTAACAAAAATAATAGTACATTTAAAATCATGAATAAATTTGCATGGTATGTTGATATATTGAAACATAATTTATCAATGGAAGTCTGTTACTTGAATTTTAGACAGGTATCATAGGGTATGAGGAAATTCACTAACATCATGTTCATGCGAGTCAAAGCTACTTAACATTGGTTTCGAATAAAGAGCTATTGTTAATTGATTTATTACTTGGGAAATCAATCTACTATTTTGCTGAATTTCTCTGACCCACCAGTGTGTTTACATCTCTATCAATAAACCCATATCACCTCATGTTAAAACTGCAGACGAAAGTTTCTGTTATTAAAATGTCACAGTATTCGGCAAATCAACATTCCACTCAATCCACAATAAAGCTAATTGCCTTAAAACAAAATAGAAGTAAAACTTCGGGAAATCAGGGTCGATTTAAATATTCACGGCAAAAAAGTCAGAAGTGCAATCAGGGCCGTAAAAAAGAAAGGAGCTATTTATTTACCGGAAAGAACCTACGGAAAAGACAATTTCAAAATGATAGAACTATAATATAACAAATCGTAAAAAAAAGCCTTTTTAAAAATTTTCGATAAATTTATAAAGTGTGCAATTTATTGTTGAATATGTTTGCATTTCATTTCCTGCAAAATTCTTCAGTTCGCTTTTTATAACCATAGTGGTTAATTAAACTACTTATACAAATAGTTTTTCGGACTATCACAATGTTAAGTATAGCTTTGGTCCCGTTCTCATTAATTAATATGACATGCTGTGAGACCAAAATATGACTTTACGGAGCAATAAAATGTTCACTAGAAAATGTTATGAAATCTAACTGCAAAGTGAATTGCTTTATGGAAGGAAGTATGGTCAAAAAGAACTTGAATATTTTAGTAATTGAACTAGTAAGTTACAGAGCTATCCTGTACATTTTATTTTGGAATAAAGTTTATTTTGTAAAGTATGAAATAGATATTTAGTGCTTCATTTTTTATTCGCGGATCATTAATTATTTTTTCAAACTAATTTAAATATCCCGCATATAATATTTTCAGAAGTCATTGCTGAACAAATGGAGACAGATATTAGCAGAAGTGCAAACTGGAGGCTGAGGAAAGTAAAAAATCTTTGGTTTTTAGATACCGGTGGCAAACTGAAAAGGCTTAAAGTGTTGGATGATGCAACTGAAGTTTTTCTGGTGGAAGACATAATTTTTGCAGATGAAGCCATGTATCATATTATTGAAGAAAATGGTGAAGTGGTGATTACAGAAATAGAGAATATCGATAAGAAAAATATAACATCAGGATGCCAACAAGATGATATAATTCTTCACTTGCCTTTGGATGGAGATTCAGTTCAGAATATTCCTTTGATTAGAGAAAACAGTGAACAAAATGAGGAAATGAGACTTTTTGCAGGTATTTCTTAGCTAAAATGTTTTGCAAGTATTCAAAGTTTGCATTATCTGCAAATACAAGACAAAATCAGTTGTTACCACACTGTCCTTGGACTGAAAACAGATGTTTAGACAACATATAAAAATACCTCAAAGAAGTGTGATATTTTTATAAATCAAATATATCGTTTATCCAGAAATACAAATGGTAGATATATACCAGGTATTATTAAACATATCGAGTTTTGAGGAAAATTCGTATGTATTTATTGGATTTAAGGATATTTCTCAACTGTATGTATACTGGTGCCTCATATTTCCGTGGTACCCATATTTCCAAGGTATCAGGCTTAAACAGTCTTAAGTGCCTCCTAGACTTAATGAACCTTTTTATCATTTTATTGTATTTTTATCAAAATGTAACATATAGAACTAAATTTTTTTATTTTATTCAGATTAAGAGCAAAGTTATTTAATATTTCAACATTTTTCTTTTAGATTTCATACCTTTAAAAAAATCTTTTTTGTTAAACAACCATAGAGGTATTTGATAAATGCCAAAGAGAAAATGGCACCTTTCAGATGAGCCTAGGTATAGGTGTACTAATAAATAAAGTTTACTATTGGTTTTGCTTTTGAAACTGTTAAAATGTAATTGCCTTGGAAATATGAGAACACAAATTTACTCACAAGGCAGCAGATGGGTGTTTATTACAATGTTGTATACATAATTGCTTACATGCAAACATTAAATGGAATAAACTATGATGCAATAAACATGTCTATCCTACAGTATTCACTGTGTTTTCCAGAATTTTATCCTCTTAACTTTTGTTGTTTGTGTTAAACAGTTAAGTAACATGGAAATATGAGGCACCAGTATAGTATACAACATAATAATTTCAATTTTAAAAAATAAGATAACTTCCAAAATACCCGTATTAAAGAAATGTTTTTGTGTATTATAGTGTATTACTCTTTTATTACAATCACCAAATTGTAATAAATAAAACTGAAATATGTATAAGGCTGCTTCCAGCAAATTGGAAACATATTAATAAAAAACCTTGTCGGATTACACATTGTAAATTTGCTCATCTAACACATGCATTTCAATAAGAAAATAATCAACAATTCAAAAAATATATTTCATCATGTCCCTGTGTGATTTTATAGGGTTAACGCACGTTTTTCCGTATTATAACGTCTGCAGAGTACCGAGGAACGGTTGGTACCGGGCGAGGGCTCCAACAGCTCCGAGGGACTCTGCAGACGTTATAACACGAAATAAACGTGCGTTGACGCTATTATAGCATAACATTTTAAAACAGATTCATGATTTATATTTCATAAAAAACACATGCATTAAATCCTTGTGCTTTGACGGTATTTATCCAATTCTACATGATTTACGAATGCATTTCATTTTTCCGGGGCCAACAACTTGGGAAATACAAATGCTCAGAACCAAACGAAATTTCGAATTTAAATTGATTTAACAAAGCTTAACATTGGAGATTTATGAACTCAAGAAAAAACATTTAATTACTCTATCCAAGACAAAACATGAGCCTCAGAAATTCCTAGAATGATTTCAGATTGACGGCAGATAATCAGAGACATCAAAATCGTTTGTTTTTTCAAGCACACAAGTTTATAAAAGAAATTCCGGCACTAAACATTATTCTCACAAAGAAATATAAAGAGCATTATCAATATAAACATCAATAAAACAACATTTTCTCATGTTCATTTTGTGTTATCTTGTTTTGTAAGTTAATCGGATGGTTAAACTGAATGACAGATATTTGTTTACATTGACAACTGTCCGTTTCTTAGTAAGGGCGATAACCAAGATTAGCAGCGATGTCTATACGCCGTATTTCGGCATAGTTACTTGAATGCTGCTCATCGTTATGCGATTGAGACCTCCGAATCAATATTTAACGTCAATATAACAAGAGCGCATGACTCTTTGGCAAACAGGCCAAATCGTCATTTTTTTGTTTGTTTACTGGGCCCAGTATGTATTACGCATAGTTAAAACCGGGCTATAACAAGAGCGCGTGACTATGTTAACACATGGTTTGGTCCTGTTATAACATGGGCAAAAGAGGTAAAAATAGCCGATTTTATTCTATAATAAATGTTCGACGTAATAAAACTGTTATCTGGTATATTATTTGAGCTCCAACGTCTATTGACATCACCAAAATCATAACATTTTGCTCACCCTTTATTTTATTTTCAAACAGTAATAGCAAAATATCTTACGCATTGACCCTATACTTTTATTGAATAAATATTGTCCTTCGCGATTTCCCTGCATGCTTAAAAAATTATAGCAAAATTCACCGTGCTGGTCTTTTTTATGTCACAATTGTTATTGCGATGACGTGCGATACTTTCAACAGATTTGTTCGTCAAAACAGAGGGAAATTAGCCCTAAAATCGTAAAATAGCAGTATATTTAGCACAGTTAAAAGAATGAGATTAATGTTAAGGCATACATCTACTGAACATTATAAAATTCAAACGGAGAAAATCGGAAGAGAATTGATAAAAACAGGCCGTTTTTCGATATAAAAGTCGCAATTCCTAAGCCGCCGATAGAGGGCGCTTTGACGTCAAAGTAACGCTTTTTCTTTACAAAATAGTACTGCTGAAGTAAAGCTTACATATCTATATGTTGGCATACCAAAAATTATCAAAGTCCGGTCGGAAAGTTGCGAGCTACCTAAACGTGTCGGACTAGTTATCTAAGAAGTGCTAGTCGCAGGGATTCAAACCCCGTTAGGGGCAAGTGGTTGCCTACTGTGAACACAATTTTAAATGTTTACAATAATCATTGTATCTATTTAATATCATTGTGTTGTATTGAATTGAAATTTAAGCTACCAATTTGTGCATTGTTTCCAGGTGAAATTTAAAAGGACGTTAAAATACACTAAGTATTGTGTACTATTATGCTTTGCTCATGGAATAAATGACTTTGTATTATGATGTTTAGAGAATGAAAGAGAAGACGATAGTTCAGATGATCAACAAGAGGTAAACCACGACATTGGGAGTGAAGAATACAGAAAACAGAAGGGTTCGTTTATTTTAAAATACAAAGATATCGATGAAGTAAACCATTTTAAAGAGAGACTGAAATCTTAAGTTATCATTTAAATAACTCAAATAACTCGTCTTCTTTTACGTGATGCAATAATCTTACATTTGCATTTTCTTGATCTTACCTTCTTGATATATATAAACTTGGCATTATCAAAGATAAACGGAATGTCTTGTGGATGCAAAATTTGGTATGATTACTTTCCTCTTTGATAAGGAAAATTCTGGCGCTTTATTGATCGCATCAAACAATTTAAGAAAAAGAACAAAGAACAGAAAAACTACAATTTTAAAAAGGTATGAAATGTTTTTCTTAGTCAATAACATCTCAAATAAGAATATTTAATTATGTCTCGAAGACTTTTTTAACCTTCGAAAAATTATTTAAAAGTCTTTCGTTTTTCAGTCATTTGTTTTTTTTTTTTTAAATTTTATATATGAAACACAATATTTTACTGATAAAAACAGGCAATTTTACTTCCTAGTATATTTTATTTATCTTAACTTTTACCCAGATATATAGCCGTAGGAAAGAAATATTTTGTTGACAGAAAATTTAATCGTAACAAAATTGGTACCAATACTTTAACTTACGATATGTATTTTTTGAGTTTATTTAGGCAGAGGAGCCTATATACGAAGATGCACCAATCATATTTAAAGAAAACCTGTCTGGTGCATTAACAGACAAAAATTATGATGATGATGGAGATTATGCCTGTTACACTTCATTCGAAGAACAAGCAGACCACGCCGATGGTTTGTTATTTATAAAAGGCTATGTTTATTAAACGACATGGTCACTTATTAAACATGTATTAAGTGATGCCATTGGGTACTTCAATGCAAATTATAATTAAAAAAAAAACTTAATTCCCGTTTCAACCTCTTCGGAATTCGTACTTTGTAGTATTTTTTCATATCAAATTGATAATTGTAACATGTATTGGCATGTCCCTCCTTTCTCGCCCATGTGCTGTTTCCAATTATTTTGTCCAGTGCTTCTGTGTGTATGTTCTGTCATTATAACTTGGTAGACGGTGGCTGGGTTATGTGAGCGTCGACTTGCCTTGACGATTCTAACACTTATTTTTTCACTTAAGTAATATGACAAATTACATTTTCAATTTGAAGCACATAATGGTTAAGTTTATATCAGTGCTCAAAGACAATATTTCGGTCAATCTGCTCTGTTAAAATGCCAAGTAACACACGTTTGGATACCCTCGTTGCAGAAAGTAGCATCTTATTCAGCCAACATTGAATACCAACATCTAAGCAAAGACTCACCTCGCTGTCGAGCTCAAATGCGACTCCCTTATATTATGTTTTATATTTCATATCCATTGGTTTCAGATCAATATTGTCGACCGCATTCAATGACTGTTGTTGCTCTCATTTGTTGATAGTTACTATCACATTAAAATCAGAGCTGAACAAAGACAGTGAATCTAGTAAAACCTTGTTCTTGAAATGACAATTTATAATAGATTAAATAAAACTTCAATATTTTTGAGACAATAGGGAATATTACGATAAACAATGTTTCAGCTCGAAATTACAGCCTCAAGTCGTTTTAAAGGCTTTGCTATCCCTTGCTTGTTATTTCGAGTTATAGGGATTTCTTCTCCGTCGTCTATCTGTCCGTCTGTCCGTCACAAAACTTGTCCGGACTATTCCTCTAAGTACTGGTGCATTTTTTTCTCCAAACTTTACAGGTATGATCAGTACCAAGTCTAGTTGGGCATATCGTAGGTTCCATGTTGTTTTGTCAGAGTTATTGCCCTTTATTTTTTATTTTCAATGTTTGTCTGGACTAATTCTCATTAGTTGATATTTCTGAGAACAATGTTAACAAGAACTCTGCATCTAGTGTTGAAAAGCCTGTATGGGACTCGGGAGAAAGAAATACAATTATGTCTAATATTATTGCAGAAATTTTTCATGAACATTTCAGTAAATTGAATGAAAATAATGAGGAAGAGAATGTTGATTTTGACATAACCAATACTTCAGATTATAATTTTAAATTGAACTCCACTATAACTTACAGTGAAATATTGATCGCTATTAATGGCTTTAGTAATAATAAAACTTGTTTTTTTACATAACAATATATTGAATGAGTATATCAAGTACTCTAAAGATATTATGCTGCCTGTTTTAAATGAATTGTTTAATATCATTTTTTCAGCATGTGTCCTAAAAGTCTTGTGCAAAGGAGTTATTTTTCCTATTTATAAAAAAGGGTAATGTAAACAACCCAGACAACTACAAAGGAATAACTATTCTAAGTTGTTTAGGAAAATTATTCACGAGTATTTTAATAACAGACTTAATACTTTTTTAGAAAATTAACAGCCAAAACTTAAGTGGTGATTTTGTGAAAAGGGAAATGTAGAAATACACCTTCTTTACTTTAACAATGCCATACTTGATATTGTTGAGGATTTTCGCTACTTAGGTGTTAAGTTTAATTTTAATGGTAAGTTCAATAAAACTTCTAAATATATTTGTGACCAAGCTAGAAAAGCTATGTTTGCTGAACTTAAAATCCAGAACTCTTTGCCTTGATATAGATTTACAATTACAACTTTTTAACTCTATGGTCACTTCTATTTTGTTATATGGTGTAGAAGTGTGGGGTGAAGGTAACAATGATATTGTAAAGCAGTTTCAGTTGAAATATCTTAAACTCATAATGAATGTCAAAAAGTCTACTCCTAGTGTTATGGTATTTGGGGAGCTTGGTACTCTTCCAATTGATTGTGTCATGAAATGTAGAGTACCTTATTTTTGGTGCCAAATCATTAATTCAAAACCTGATAAAGTATGTAATAGTATGTACAAACTAATGTTTGAATTGGACCGTCAAAATATATATCACTCCCCATGGATAGCTTATGTTAAATAATCATTGCAAGAGCTTGGTTTTGCTGAATACTGGATAAACCAATCTGCGTTATCACCTTCTTATTTTAAAAATGTTGTCAAATCTAGAATCAAAGACCAATATGTTCAAATGTGGCATGAACAGGTGTTTAACTCTAGCAAATGTATCAATTACAGAATTTTTAAATCCTCATTTGAGTTAGAACCCTATTTTAAACTCGTGCCTTATCGCTGCGTAGGTTTAGATGTAGATTTGCCATAAACTTCCTATTGAAAATGGTCGTTACATAAATTTGGATCATAATTTAAGATATTGCCATTTCTGTCCAAATAATTCTTTATTAGGTGATGAGTTTTTTAATATTTTTCATTATTTTAACATTTATCGTAGAAAATTTTGCCCAATAATTTACGAAGAGGTAACATGTTTAATTTACAGCAATTATTTCAAAATACTGATAGAACTGTATTAATCAAACTGTCTGTTTTAACACAAAGAATAATGTCTATTGTGAAATAATGTTTACCACCTTCTAGTGAGTATCTATTGCCAAGTATTGTCTTGATTTCATTATTTAGTTTAGCTATTTTTATGTATTTTATTAATTTTTTTATTATTTTTTTTAACTTTAAGGTCTCTTACATTTGTAATCGCATTGTGACACTTCCTATTAAATTTAGTTGAACTAATTGTACGGGCATGGTGTGGTTACAATGTGAGGCTTCACGGGCCCCATGTTGTGGTTACACCATGACGCTGCATCACTTTATTTGCGTTTTTGGTCAGGAATTTTCATTATGCGGTTGCATTAAGTCTCATTCAAGTCTCTCATCTCTGTAAGTCATTCATAAGTATCTCTAGTCTTATTTTAATATCAACCATGCAAATTATTTTGTCTCAAGCTTTATTTACACATTTGTATTATTTTTTGTTAATGCTCATTTGCTTGTGAAATTTTGCTGTTTTTAAAACTGATGCCCATATGGGCCTAGTTGAAAATAAAACCTTACTACTTTTATACCACTGAAGCAATTTCAATGAAACTTTACAGCTCAAGTACTTGCGCATATTACACAGGTTTTTTCGGTTAAATGATTTTTGGCGGAGTTATTGCCCTTAAATAAAAAGGTGCTTTTTGTGTGTTGTCAGCTGCACGAACTATTGTCCGGACTACTTCTCAAAAATACTGGAGCAATTTCTTCCAAGCGTTACAGAAATTATCAGTACCAAGTCTAGTTATGCATATCATCGGCTTTTTTGGTTCAATGATTTTTGTTAGAGTTATGACCGTTTATTTTTATTCTCAATGTTTGTATACTACTTATGCAATTTCATTGAAACTTTACTGGATTAATTTGCAGCTCAAGTACTTGCGCATATTACACTGGTTGTGCATCGCATCAACATTTCGATTTAATGATTATTGTCAGAGTATTGTCCCTTTAATGATTTTCATTTTTAAAATTTGCCTGGACTACTCCTCATATACCACTTAGCAATTTTAATGAAACATTACAGGATTGATCGGTAGCTCAATTACTTGCATATATTACACAGGGCTCTCAGGTTGAAGATTTTTCAGCCGAGTTATGGGCCTTGAATAAAAATGTGTTTTTCCCTGTTAATGATTTTTGGGTTTCCTGCTACAAAGTAGCTGCAACATGCGATTTTCTATCAATTGCGACACATGTCATCACTGAGGCCTTATAAGAATGTAACAATAACCAATGCTCCTTTTGAATTTTTGCAGTGTTTGTTATGTTTGATATTTCTCAGTAGCTTAAGTATTTACCCGATGTTTTATCCATTAATTCTCCTACAACATAGAGCCATCTGTCTCTTTGATGAAAAAAGTGACAGCAATTTTTGATTTTGATAAACTAACTGACGAAGAGATAAGCTTCAAACAGATGGATGAACTTACTGTCCTCAAAGATATCGTAAGGTAATTCACTGAAACATGTCATGCTCTCACTACCTTTAAATCAATAACTTTAAATACATTTATGAATAAATATTTTGTAAAAATGGTAAAGAGAAATCAAATATTATATATTCTATTTATAATTGGCTAATTAATTCATAAATTGTGTTGGGTTTAAAGTCACAATAACATTGTAAAGTTAATAAGGTAACTTTTCTATATACTGGTGCATTATATCAGGCAAGAGTGTGACCTGGCATAGCTTACGAGGTCCCAGACGAGACTCGAACCCACAGCGTTGAAAGACAAATGTTTTACAGTCAACGTCAGTAACAGCTCGAGCACCGACGCGCTTTGGTTCCAAGTCTTAATGATTTAACTAATATAGATTAAAGCATACACTTCATTTCATTAAATGGACACAATCACATTAATCATTCTATTGTACTCGTTTGCTAATAGATCCCATCGAATGACATTTTTAAATGACTTTCAACAGTAGTCTTGAATATTTTTTTTTAAGAAATGTGAAGTTTAGATTTCAGATGTTTCTACAAAAGGTCCTATAGAATGTATTCCTTTCAGTGAAAACTCTGAATGGTGTTATGCAGAACATTTGGTGACGGGAGAAAAGGGATTCGTTCCAGTTGCGTACATCACACAGGCGGATCACGCACTGATTGCGCAAGAGTATGAAAAACCTTTTACTTTCATATTGAAATAATAACCCACTGCTTTATATTCGTTAATTCATTTTGTTAAAATGATTTACAAAATGTGTTTCTTTATTCGATGATAATAGTTCAAAACAGTGATGACAGATGATATTTTTAGTTGGTGGCATAACATAGACAGAGATGGAGCAATAGAGCTGTTGACAAACCTTCACAGACCAGGAACATACCTTATAAGACCTTCTAGCAGTAAGTTATATCAAAATAGCTTTTATATTTAATACTATAATTTTCTTAAAATCAGTCAGCAAAAATAAAGTGTGAAGATATATAACTATCAAGTGAACACTTTAATTAACGTTTCAAAGTATACGTGTTCGCACAGTTTTTCGAAGAGCAGATGTGTCACAGGACAAGTATGTAATGTTTCGCCTTCCTTAAATAAAACATTTGCGAAAGAAAATGTCAATGATAATCAGCTATACAGAGACAAGGGATCCTTTTTTTACTAAGTTAGTGGCAATATCAATTTATGTAGATTTTTCAAGTAAAATTTTTTAGCTCTACAGCATCTCGAAAAACTGTGCGAACACTTATTATTGTTTTAATAGTTTCAATTAATTTTAATAGTTTCAATAAAGAAGGAAGAACAAAGAGCATTACATTTCATCATAATAAGCATTCATGTTTGTTTGGTTATTTCCTGTATTTTATTGGAAAAAAAACAGTGCACAGTATGCCTTACAGTGACATTATGCCAATACATGTGTAAATGGTCAGTGAACAGGTAAAAATCAAAATAACACGACATCTTGTCATAATTGTGTTAAATTTCAAATTTTATTATTGAAAAATAATCAATATCAAGGTGGCCAACGGAAATGTCTATCAATATTTGTTTTAGAAAATATTGGTATAATTTAGTTCTGAAAGAGTGTGGAAGTCTTTTAATAAGTTGCATTTTAATTGCATCATAAACATTTATCATTATCAATTATTGGGCTATCGTTTGAAATATATTGCTGATTCAACTTAATTCGACAGCCAAAATATATTCATAATGTCTCTTCTGAATCTATTCTGATTGCTCAGCTCAATTTTTTGTAGTGTGAAGTGCAAAGGAGAAGGACAGTATGTACGAAGGTTACAGCCAGGTTGCCTCACATGATACTAGTCCATTTATTTCTGGAAAAAAAATCAATAGCGAGCTGATTAAACATATGGCTGTTGTCAATAAAATTAATAAATTAGTTTTGATCTATCGGATATATTGTACATTTTGATCAGAATAGAATGTATTGGGTTATTAATTATATTCAAATATAGTAGTTCAAGAATATTTCACTGCTTTTAAAACAAATGATATGAAAAATCACTTGATTGACATTATTTAATTGTTGCGAACAATACAAACAATTCATTGTGGTCTTTTGCTTATTTAAGGTGGAATCATTTATGCATTATCGATGATTGTTCCATCTACGTATAGCACATCACATATTGTTCACTATGCCATCAAATCACGACGTGGTCACTTATATATATCCAAAGGCAAACAATTTAGGGACATATGTGCTCTTGTTGATCATTACAAACGTATGTTACAGCTAAGTGTTTTTATTTATTCTAGTAAAGTAAAGTAATTTAAAATATATAAACGCAGTTAATGTTAAGCTTTAAAGTTAAGTTTAAACAATATTTTATTTCAATCAAACATATATACGCAATATAATTACAATCAAATGTAAAAAGGATTGAGTAGAAAGCTACAAGCTTTTTTAGGAACTCTCTCCTTGTAGAGCTTTGAAGCTTTGAAGCTTTTAAGTTTATGTAATTTATATTAATCAGCCTATATTTTATTGAGAAATACAAATTAAGTTTTGTTCTGCTTATTTTCTTTTGACTGGGACATAATATTAAATGGGACAGTATATTTTCTCATAATAAACAGTGTAAATAAGAAAAAATGTAAGTCAACTGGCTAAAGGTTTTAACAATCCTTTAATATTAAAATGTTCTCTATCTGATTTAATGAAAATTCATGGGTATAATGTTTCATAATAATGCCAAAATTATGATATATACACCACGTTTATCGATTGATAGGTGTCAATTTGACGCCAACATTAGACTGCGAATCTATAGGTTAGTACACGTACTTGGCTTATCCCGTTATATTATGTGATATGATATTTATGATATTTTCTTAGCTGGAACTGTTGAATTACATTTGTATGGATCTGTATGTTTTAAAAAGCAAATGGTTAAAACTTTAGACAGACACATTGATTAACAAGTTTTCCATTTTATATTGAATATTTTGTTCTTTTGCCAAGGGGACGAAGAAGGGCTTCTATGTAAACTGGAGATTCCTGCTCCAAGACAAAAACCCGTTGTTTACCCAATGAGCATCGAAGTACAAGAGAAATATATTGAAATTATCAAGTCTATAAAAATTGGTAAATTTGGAGTGCTTTTTGAAGGTTTGTATTTATTACCCAAAGGTCAATGTTAAAACTTACAAGATTTCCTCCCTTTTAATGACTAATACATAGTATATGATGTATCAGCACATTTGACCTTTTTAACCCAAGAAACATTCTTTTGTCTCAAGCCTATTTATTTCGGAAAATTGCACTTTTGACTAATTTAAATGATGTGTCTGAACAAAAACTGTCAAATATTCTTTATCGAGCATGTCCTATGCCAGATTGACTATTATGGTAGGTTTGAAATAATTTACATATCGTTTTGCTGCTGTGTACATATAGCCTGATGTAAATTGCGACTGCATTTTTCATTTAATTGTTTTGAAAGATTGAGCATTGAGATGAACTTTTTAACTGAAAAAACTTCTTCTAAAGTTGGTCTCAGTTTTAACAAAATTATATAGATATGTGATCTTAGAGGGTAAAAATATTTAGTTTGCTTAGAAGATAAATATATATGTTGAAAATTCATCAGGAAAATTGTGCAACATGTTTGACGTTACTATCGTGACTAAATGCAAAAGTGAAGTAGAACATTTTTTGGCCGAGGCAAATCATCTATACGAGTTCCTTCACAGCAAACACTTAGTCAGAGTAATAGCTGTTGTTCTTGAACCCAAACCATTTATGATTGTGCTCTTGGAGACTGTTCAAGATACACTACAAAACTACTTGGAAAAATGTGATCAAAAAACAATATCGTTCAAAAGGTTGACCAATATTGCTGCAGAGGTATATCGAAATGTTCATACATATTGTTTTGATTACGTGTTAATTTCAGACTCTGTATAAAGAAATCCAAAAAGTATTTGCATAATAAATGACTTATAGGTGGCATGGACGGTACCACTACCGTCCATAAACAGACTAGAAAAAACCGATTATGCATTGTTTACAACTTTGCAGTTATGTTCGTTCTTTATAGATTCCGTCTTTATTAATATTCTGTTTTTCATACTGGATTCACTTCGTTGCATCGACCGGCCACCCGTTTCCGCAATGTCAATTCCCAACTCGTGAAGGATTGCCTTTAAACTTGGCTTAAGTCTCCACCTGAACAAGGTGAGGTGCAAAGCCCGTGCTACCTGTGTTCAATCTGGGCTAAAATATTTACACCAACATGGTGTATGCTGAAACTATGTCGTTGCTGTGTTGTTGTTAAAGGTCAATACTACACTTGAAGGTCAAATGTGACATGTACGTTTGTATCAACTCCATGAATCCTATATGTTTTGAAGTTTTTTACCTTACATAGAGTTGGTGGTGGTATTTGTCATCTCTCTGACAGCTATCTAGTTTAAGAGTCTTTTGAAAAGAATGCCTCAAATTTCAAGCTTTAAATATACACGTTGTTAAACACGTGAGCTTTATTATCTATGTTATGTGTTCTATATTTGCAACAAACCAGTAAAACATTGACACACATGCATTGATAAAATCTCGTTACAAAGAATTGCAAAATGCATTATTATAAGAATAAGTACTCATCGATATTAGCTAATTTTCAAAATACACACATGTAACTTGAAAATCATCAGAAATATATTTGTCATAGTATAGACTAACATTTTGTAACACTGCCAAATGGTTCGATTTAAATTCAAATTCAATTTTAGATTGCTGAAGGTATGGCGTTTCTTGAAGAAAATAGCATTGTCCATGGATATTTGAAAACTGAAAACGTATTAATTTGTGAACATAATGAACTTAAGTTATTGCATCCAAAACTCATTAATCTGATGAAAACGAGTGCCAGTAATGAACACGCAGAAGGTACAGACTTCTTTTTTAATTCATTTGATATACATTGATTCACAAATTTCATACGTGATGATTGTTCAATTCATACATCATTAAGGTAGATATTACAAGACATAAATGGCAAACAGTTTATCAGTTGATATGCTACATTTTATTATGACACATATAAGTACTTTATTTGAACATGAGTACCATTACAGGACAAATGAATTTAAACGAAAATAGCTACTCTTTACTCTTTCCAGAAGTAAAAAAAACCTTATAATTCATTTTTAATAATAAAAAGCAACGAGTCGTTTCACATTTATTTACAGGACTGAACAGTGTAAATTGTTAGGCCTTATTTGATTTTATGTGTTAATGGTCGAATATCATTTAGGGGACACGGAATGGAAATGGACAGCACCGGAAGTAGTTGCAGACGAAAGTGTGTTGTGTACAAAGTCTGACGTATGGTCATTTGGAGTTGTGATGTACGAAATTATCACATTTGGTGGAGTGCCGTATGCAGGTTACTTTATATATAGCTATAGCAACAAATGGTTAAACTTTCAAAGAGAATTTAATTAATTAATACCTGTTTGTAGAGGACATTTCCTTGAAATACTAACTACAATCGATGACGTTATTTATTAATTAGTTATAAATGTACAGGTTCAGCTTTTAAATAGCAAGCAACGGCTCGCTTTGTTCTTTTTATTGGCAGATGTGTTTAATTTGTTAATTTCGAAGCATCAAAATAATGTTTGTATCATTTCAAGGTTAAGATCTAAGAAGTAGTTAGGCGCTCATAAGGGAAAAACTCAGCAACTAAATATTTTAGTGAAGTTGTTGAGGTATAAAGCTTAAGGGCAAGCCAGGGCAAATATTTGGGTGGTCAAGGAGTTCATTGAAGGCCGCCTTTCCTTGTTGATCTTGTTTATCATATTTAAGGTTATTTCCTGCAAAGTTCTAATGTAGTACCGAGCCGGGCCTGCATAACTATAAATGTATTTATCTTTAAACGAGATAAAACTGTTAAAATCTTAATAACATACAAATGTTATTGCACGTTGATTCAAAGCTTATGTTAGAACCAAGGTATATGGATCTGTTTGATTGGGTTTTACGTCACACCAACACATCATAGGTAATATGCAAACAATCCATATTTACTGGTGGAGGAAGACCTAAGGTGCCCTTCCGTGTATATTTCAGGCACGAACGGGTACTTGATTAGAACCGCCGACTTTCCGTAGGCTAGCTGAATAGATTCCGTACATGAGAGAATCCAAAGTCACTGTCGGGATTCGAACCCACAGCGGTGAGGGGCCAGTGGTTCGAAGTAAACAACCTTAACCTCTCATCCACGACGCCCCAAACATCCATGCAGTCTTTCCTTAAAAGCACATTATAACATTATAATATTCCTTTGTTAATTGCACTCAAAATATATCAAAGAAAAGACATCGAACCTCTTACAGGTTTAGAAAAGGAAGAGACTTTACAAAAGTTAATGAGAGGTTATTTCCGGCAGCCAAGACCTGTACAATGTCCTGACGAGTTTTACAACACGATACTTCAATGTTGGCATCAAAGTCCGGATTGTAGACTAACATTTGAATTCCTGTACAACTATCTTGATGATTTTGAAAATACTTCGGAGTCTGAAAAGTTTCTAAAAGGTAAAGCATTTGAATTTAATTTAAATAAACTTGGTGTTTAGTAATTAATCATTGCAAATAGCAAATACCTAATAATCAGACTTTATAAGTGTCAGATTTGATCGGTTGATTTTAAAAAAATATATATATCTTTCCTACAGCGACACATTGTTAGCGATGTAGTATAAATTGCTCATTTAAATTCCTATGTACTGACAGTTGAAGCTTGTAAAAGTATCCAACATTTAACCAGATTTTTTATAGACCAAAAGAGATGATCGTCTTGTTTTCGTAGACTTTACCACAATATTTAATTAAATGCGTTTAAATGGCAGTCAAATAAGACGTCAATAAAATAGAAAGTTGAATCCAATACTTAATAGGAGCAGAGAAATAATGCTCCCTAGAGAACGCACAAAACGACAAAATTGAAAATGTTGCAGGCTCGGTTTGATTGAGCCTGTTCATTGACGGTATTGGAAAGTACATATAACCGTCCACGCCCCCTAGCACCGGTTTAAGCAGAATTCAACATTAAATAATGGTAATTGTGAAATTTGGAATTTAGAAACATCCGCAGATATGTTCATACGTCGATTATAATGGAACCTTCATTGAACGCTTCCTTTCCTTGTTGATCTTGTTTATAAAAGGATACTTTTACTAACATGTTACGAAAAACGTTGAATTTGACAAGATTTAGTTGACTGTAAAAACGCAAATTCGATTTAGACAGTATACGATAACATATATTACGTTAAAATGAAAAAGGATAATACAATAGTGAAAATAAGATTCCCCAAAGAAAACCCAACAAGGCAAAATTGAAAATGTTGCAGGCTCGGTTTGATTGAGCCTGTTCATTGACGGTACTGTCAAGTGCAAACTACCGTCCACGCCCCTCTAGCACCGGCTTAAACAGAATTAAACATTTAACAGGAACTGGTACAATTTGGAATTTTGAAACATCCGCATATGTGTTCATATTGCGGTTATCATGGAACCTTTAATGTGACACGTAAGTGCCATTCCATGAAAAGCGGCATATGGTCCCAAGTAAGAAGATGCGTGTGCCCTTAACGAGAAAACAATGGGCGGAACTAAATAAAATGGAATTTTGAAAGGGGGTCAGAAGTTATGAAGCCTGCATATCACAGATAATACGTCAAAAGACAAATTTAAACAGCAGGCCACATATCCTATGGGTGATTCAACAATATTCAAGTGAGGGATACTGGAACCACACAACAAGAAATAAGCCGAATAGAAATAACTTAATTACAAGCACAATAAAAATGTCGTGCTGAACGATCTTTAAGGATCAGAAATTTAACATCTCTGATACAAACCGCTTTTGTCTAAACGATTTTGTCTAAACGACAAAACATTGGGAAAAACTAAATAAAACGTTATTTTGAAAGGGGATCAGAGTTATAAACATCTGGAAGAAACTGATCCCTCGGAAGCATTAAAAACAGCAAAGTTACATGAAAATTGCAGACTCGGTTTGATTGAGTCTGTACATGAGGGATAATGTAAAAAGGCAACATTCCTCACGCCTGCTAGCACCGGCTTTAGTGGTACTCAATTCTCAACACATAAAAGTGCTGGACTCAATGATCCCGAAAGACCAGACAAATATAACAACACTGAAGCCTGCATAATTATCACACTCGAGCATAATGGTTGCCGCTTAATAGCGGCTCTGAGATATTTTGATGATTTTATGTGTTTAAATGTTCGGAACTAGCATTAGAATTAGAATTAGAACTTGAATTAATGTAAATTCTTGTGTTATTGATTAATTAAAAAATAACAACACGGAAATAATGATATTGTTGATTTATTACTGGTGTTGCTGATTGTATCAAAATGTTTGTAGTTTGTGTACGTGTTATGACACGCGTAAACGTCTTTGTGCCTCGGTGGATATAAATGGAATTACTTTGTCAATAAACTGGACAATACACAGGTCAGTTATATATGTTATACATGTCATACGCTTTTTAAAGTCTATAATTACCAAAGGCATATAGTGGCTATTATGAAAATGAATAATCCTTCAGTAGAAGATAGAAAAAGGTCTTCCCCTTACTCACCAACAACCCCGGAGGATTCCCGTAATCCCGAAAAGAAAATAAACTTGAATATTAGTACGTCTGGTGAAACAGAAGGCACAGGGTCGTCTGTTAATGTAGACCCTTGTAAATACAGCAAACTGGAATTGAAACTTAATACTAGTGATATGCCATCTATATCAAATATTGTCAAAAGATGCTCTCAAAGGTGAGCTCAAGTCCTTTATTCAGGAATCCATTACAAAAGCTACCAAGGCTAAAATCTCCTCTGTATCCCAAGCATATGAAGATAGGATTCGCAAGCTAGAAGATGAAAACACAGCTCTGAGACTTGATCTACAGGAAGTCACCGGACGGGTTGAAAAGCTAGAGCTACATAGGGATGAGGCCGAGCAGAATAGTAGGCGAAACAAGGTTCGGATTTCCGGATTCCTCATTGTTCCAGGCGAAAGCACCGATGACATTGTTATCCAGGTGGGGAAGGACATGTGCACATAAATAGATATCGAGGACATCGGCCGTTCTCATCGCACAGGCAGTAAATCAAATGCAAAGCGTGACATTTTAGTGACATTTACTAGCTTCCGTTTTCACAGACAATTTCTTAAAAAAAACCCCTCAGGATAGTCGTTCTTTTAGAAATGTTTACATTAATGAGGATTTAACCAAGAGACGAGCACAGATTATGAACCTTAATAAGGATTTAACCAAGAGACGAGCGCAGATTATTAACCTTAATGAGGATTTAACCAAGAGGCGAGCACATATTATGAACCTTAATGGGGATTTAACCAAGAGACGAGCACAGATTATGAACCTTAATAAGGATTTAACCAAGAGATGAGCACAGATTATGAACCTTAATGAGAATTAAACCAAGAGACGAACACAGATTATGAACCTTAATGAGGATTTAATCAAGAGACGAGCACAGATTATGAACCATAATTAATATTTAAGGATTATGAAGGAGCCCAGACAGATGGTGAAGGCTCGACATCTTAAATCAGCATGGAGTATTGACGGTAAGATGCTTGTCAAAGACAATTATGACAAAACACATGCAACTGTTTCTTCTTCGGAATTAGGACTTTTGTAAAGCATTGGTGTGTCAAATAATACTTTATGTGATAACGTGTTAAATATAGCAGTATTGAACATGTATCGTTATGTTAAAGTGCAGACACTCATTATTAATATTGCTTATTCTGTGTGCAACATTTGTGCACGGTGTTTGCAGTGTATAAGTAAATATTTTATACCTTGTATCTTATAGTACTTAATGTTTTATTAAATATGTGCTTTTATTCGTAGGAAATAAGTTACAAGTAACCATTTGTAATGCGTTATTCTTGTAACGTGGCCTAGCGCTATTAATTACTACGCATTATATCTTGCCTTTAAGTTTAAGTTATGAGATGCTTTACTATTTGACTAAAATTCCGGGGCTGATGCACCTGGTTATAGCGCTTTATGTATAGATGTGTGTTGTATGATGTTCCTGAACGGCGGTCATCATGTGTGTTTGTTATTTCCTCGAGTGTAACAATCATTTATGTTACAGTAATTATGTGTCATATTTTTATTAAGTTATAATAGTAAAGTATAACATCTCCTTGAGGAGAAGTAATTTACAGACAACAAATGAAAACTTGTAAATCACTTAACCTTAGCTAAAAGTAGCGTGATCGAGCACGAGCAATTTGATTTTCTTAACATTGCCACAAGAAATTTTATTGTTGTGTCTGTGTTTTTATTTCTTCGCACATTCACAAATTGTTTGATAATGCAACAAAAAGCGACATTTTATACTTGTATATTTTGTTTCCAGTGCATAGCTTTCTCATACATCAAGGGATTTTGAAAATACTTGACATAAATGTGTACAATAATAGGACGCTGTGTCATGCACAACACCCGGACCCTTATCGCCAAGGTTAAGACCACACTTAGAGATCAATTGTTAACATGGTCTTTTACAGGGTATATTTGTGTGCAGCCCATGATATTTTTATTGTTCAAGAGATTTTGAAATCATGTGACACAAATGTTCTCAATAACAGGACCATGTGTCATATGAAACAGCGAGACTCCTACCTTTAATGTCAAGATCACACATGAGTGCCTAAGCTTAACATTGTCAGTTCGAGGATATGTTTTGTGTGCGGTATATAACATTTTCATCAATCAAGGGATTTTAAAATAACTTGGCAATAATAATAAGACACATGTCATGCGCAACACCTCTAGACCCCTACCTCAAAGGTCAAAGTCACACTTAGAGGTCAAAGCCTCAAATAGTCTGCAACAGGGTATATGCTAAGTCACGCACATACAAATAAAATGTCATTGGTGAATTGCCCACATACCTTAATTGATAATTGGACACGAAATATACCATGTGACATACCATAACCTGTATTTATTTTGTATTTGTCACATTGTGTGGCTTTGAGATAGTGATAACAAGTATACACATGTATGTCTGTTGACACATATACAGGATTTATTTCATTTTATTTCTTAAATGAAATTGTTGTAAGCCAAGCATTGTTCAAAATTTTGCACTGAAAGTCCAGATCCATACCTCAATTATTGTAAATATCACAATTTTGTGATTCATGTAAAACTTCCCTTAGGCAGGGGGCATTGGTAACTCTGTTATAACAGCACTCAGAGTTACTTAAGAAAACTCGGTATTGTAGCCATCCGTATAAAGTATTAATGAAAGTTTTTATCTTTTTATTGCAGTATGAGTTAATAATACGACCTGCAATCTGGTTTATCTATTTGAATTTTGTTAATCTTCATTTTGTGGTATTTGTTACTTTATATGTCGGTATTCAGTTGACAAATGAACTTGTTAACTTGTTCGAAGCAGTTTATCTCAGTCGTTGAACGTACATTTTTCTTTTCTTTTATCATTATAACATCCGGGGCCTAATGATTTTATTGATTGGTTTTTATCAGTTTTTCATCAGAATATAAGAAGTATTCGGAATAAAATTGAATATATTACAGATAACTGGTTAGACTTTGATATTACAGAAACACATTTTGACAATTCAATTAATATTGACAGCTTGAAACTAACTAACTTCAGCGGAATATACCGTAAATATACGTGTCACTCTGGTGGACTTTTGGTAAATGTCAAATAGAAGTTCGTATCTAAAAAGGCTAATTGACTTGGAAAATACTTCACCCGTATCTTTTTGGATTGAAATAAAAGACCGTTATGAAAAAAAAATTGATACCTAATATTTATCGTCCACCTTAAACAAATGTAGACTTTTGGGTTGAATATTTGTTTATAAAATGCTTTTAATAAATCATGTAAGTTCTTTTTAGGTGACATAAATGAAGACCAGTTGAACGTAAGAAACCATAAACTTCGCGATATATTAATTTTGAATAATATGTTAAATGTTATTACGGAACCGACACGAGTCGCAGACAACTCGTCGACTCTTATTGATCCAATTGATATCTCTGACCAGAATTTAATTCTTCATTCGGGTAAATTTAAGACACCGAGGAATATCATTGATCTTTTTTTCACCTTTTAACCAGGTTTTCAACGAAAACCGGGTTATTGTAATGCTGAAGTCGGCTAGCAGGCGATAAATAACTGAAGTTGCTTTGGCCTATTGACACCAAACTTGGTGTATGGATAGCTTATATCAAGAGGCTGTGTGGAATAGCTACCCAGGTGTTTATGATCAAGGTCACCGTTACTAAAAATAGAAATTCAGTTTCCGCTCAAAAACTTGGGTTTGTTTTGGCCTACAGAAACCAAACTTGGTGTATAGATAACTTATATTAGAGGCAGCTTGGGATTGCTACCCAAGTGTCAGTGGTCAAGTTCAAGGTCACTGCATGTTACTAAAAATAATAATTCAGTTTCCGCTCAATAACTTGAGTTTTCTTTGGCTTATTGACACCAAACTTGATGTATGGGTAGCTTATATCAAGAGGCATTTTTTGATTGCTACCCAGGTGTCTGTGATCAAGGTTGATGTATTCAGTTTTCACTAATAACTAGAGTTTGCTTTGACCCTTTGGCACCAAACTTGCTGTGAGGCAGTTTTTGATTGCCACTTAGATATGGGAGCAAGGTTAAGATCATTTGCTAACAATAGCATTTTCAGCTTCTACTCAATAACGTCAGTGAACTTTGACCTATTAATTGCTGTCACATAAAAACTTGGTCGTTGAAAACCTGGTTTTCGCCGCGCTTCTTGTATTTATATTTATTTTAAATTATCCCATTCAGTACCTTACAAAAGACTTGTATGGTATAATAACCGCCCTGATGTTGAGAAACTTAACGATTTATTAACGACAACAGACTTGTCATTTCTTTACTCTAATACACTTGATGAAGCAACCTTAATTCATTGACCTTGCAAAATAGTGTATCCCTTCTAATTACGTAACTATCAGGGCAAATGACAAACCCTGTCACGACTATATTATACGTCTTACTTCCCGTAAAAGAGATTGTCAAAATGCAAAAGCTGTATTAACGATAGGATTAAATATAAGCAACTTTGAAATAAAGTAAATAATCTTAATACACACGCAAAACAAAAATACTATAATGATTTAGAATACTCATTTAGCTACAATAGTGAAAACAACCCCGAATCATATTGGAAAACAGTCAAACAGCTTGTGAAAGAAAATAAAATTTGTGAAATTATACCTCCCTTAAATGTTGAAATGAATGGAAATGATGTTATCTATTCTTGCGATACTGAAAAAGCTAATTGTTTGATATCGTTTCTAACAATGTGCCTTATATATGTTTTAAGAAACAAGGGCAACTATACATATACAACTGTAGCACGTCGTATTCAAAATTTTGCAACCTCATTTATTCCATTACCAACTTCATTTTGGAATAACTTTGGATACCGACATAAGAAATTCATCCTCGCTTAATATTCTTAAATCCAAGCTTAAACAGAAATACAAACCTCCGATAGTTTCTAGTTTTTCTATATTGGGGATCTCTACACTCGGTTTTACACGCTCAAATTCGTAACAAATGTAGCAATTTAAATGATGATTTATTTATAAATCATTTAAGAGAAAATGCACCTTGCGAATGCGGTTGTAATATCGAAGATGCTGAATATTTCTTCTTCAATTGCAGACGGTATACACCACAACGAATTAAGCTTTTTAATGCCACTCGCATTTTTCATCCATTAAATACGTGTAATCTAAAAATAATAAATAACCTATTCCGAAGAAGACAATTCATTAATACTTTTAGATATTTTTTCAAAATGTATAGTTATACTTATTCTATATATTTACATAGTACATCTTGTAAAAATTGAAAGGAATAAAATATGTTTAAACTAAACCAAAGCTATTCAAGTGAGGAATAATGGAACCAACCACCCAAAAAAAACCCACGAAATTGGAAAGAATTTCTTGGCTGAAATGTACGAGGATACTTTTAATAGCCGCCACACGACACAAGCTAAACCCAAGATTTTACTCAGAAAAACATTTCTATGGCAGATGTTCATAAACCTCTTCGTCAGGGGCATGATGACTATGTTATGTTAATTGTGTTGAATTTGGGAAATCGATGCATATTGAAAACATTGAAATACTTTTGAATTTCTTTGGCATGACTCATACAAAGAAATGTTAGGTCATGTTTAAAGATATGGTAAACAGTGATATTACAAGCAAAGCTGCATCAGTACTAAGGGTGTTGTACTTAAGTACCAGTTCCAGTACTTGCAAAATTATGCAGTACCATTACCAGTACCAGTAATAGATTTTCATAATTTGCGTTCAGTATTTAAAAAAAATCCCCTTTTCAAAGGAATGAGCTAATGGCCTAATTCATTAAAAGGAAATAGTGATGCACTTTCAAAGCTTCGACCGCCTATATGACTGTTGGTAATAATGCGAGAAAATTGGAATTGACTTACTCATCAATTATGTCAAGAAATGTTTTTATTTTTAGTTCTAAAATTTTTTTTATTTTTGTGTTTTTTGTTTTTTTGTTGTATTTTTTTTTAATTTTCAAAAAGAAACTCATTAGCCATTTTCATGAACAGTCTTTTGCTTCTGTTGCTTATGAAATTAATACAGTTATAATGAAATAGTATTTGTATGGAAGTCAAAATACTACTTTGTTTACATTCTGCTACTTTTATGACAAGTTATTTCACATACAGCTTTTTATTCTTTTGGTTATACGCATTTGACATAATTTGAAAACCATTATTTAAACGTTATAATTCGAATGTTTGCTTTTTCTGAAGTAGGGAACAAGAATTTCTGATGATGTTTTCAAATACATTAAACAAGTAAATAAATTAATTTTTAAGTCTTAGTACATTCATTCGGATAAGCACATATGTTACGACTTGACTTTTTATGAGCTTTTTTTTTCAAATGCAAACTTGAATTAACTCACAAGGCCACATTCTATTTTATCAGATTACAAGTCAAAGTTGATAAGCCCATACATTTACAAAAAATGCACATTAAAGATTGAAAAAGAAGAGCAGACGAGAGGAAAATTAGAGATTGAAAATGAAGAGCAGACTAGAGAAAAATTAGAGATTGAAAATGAAGAGCAGACTAGAGGGAAATTAAAGACTGAAAATGAAGAGATGACAAAAGAATTAGGTATTCCAATTGAATACGCCATTGTTAACGTGAAGACTGGAAATATATATGAAATATAACTATATCTTTTAAATGTTACATTGTTTCGTACACCGTTTCTGATGAAATAATTAAAACATCGAGCCCAACTTTACAAACTATGCTTTTTAAGAATTAATAATGAATGAATAGGTAAAAGTTTGCATTCAACATTATATTAAATAAATGAATTATGCAACTTTTTCAACATCCTCAACTTCATTATTGTTGTTATTATTATTATTTATATAATTATTATTATTATTATTATTGTTGTTATTATTATTATTTTAGATTAAATTTTAATTTAAGTAGTTTAAACATATTTTATTTAAAATTATCTGTCATGTTTGCCTACGCAAAGATCGGGTTTTCCCTGCCTTGTCCGCTTTCCTTTGTTGATTATGGAGGGTGATTTATGCCAAAATTACATCTTGCTTTCTTACGTTACATCGTGCTTTCTAACTTGTACATTGTGCTTTCTAACTTGTACATTATGCATTCTGACATATACATCTTGCATTCTGACTTTTACATGTTGCTTTCTTACATGCACATTATGCTTTCTGCTGTATGCCACTTGCTTAATTTTATGTTGATGTCGTTATTTAACGATCAATTATTATTCATTTGTTGATCTGGTATATTAATTCAATAAATTAACCTGCAACTGTTTGTATTTGGGTCTATTTACTCAGCTTGAATGACGAATGTCATAAGGTAGAATGCGCATAGCCGAAAGCCGAATGCAGCAAGCATAATACAACGCGACATCTGGTGTAATAATATGTGACACCCAAATTATGCTAACAGGTGGCGCTACAGTTATATTCTCGGTAAAGTCCGTATTGTTCGGATTCAGTTTACCAAGTTACGTCCCTTTGTTTTAAAATTTCCATTTGCACTCATGGAGAAAATATACAAAACGATTTAACCAATATTTATATTTATTAATGAAACTTTGTAGGTCAAATTATATTTCCAGCTGACAATGACAAGTTGCACATTTACAAATCAATGGTTTTAGAATTTTTGTTTTCATCAACAAAATAATTATAAAATAGAACAGTAAAACTGTTGTTCAACATTGTTCAAAGTACTTGGGCCATAAAAAACTTCTTATTAAAATATTTCATCCTCTTGAAAAGTTCTTAAATTTTGACATGGCTTATTTCCAATACCTGTGACCATCCACAACATTTTTAATGTGTTTTTATTAATAAGGACATTTTCTTGCCTATTTTCAAACTAATTTTGTACACACGTTAGATTTTTTTAATTCAACTTGTCAAAAAAAATGTCTTTTTTTTCACTAAGTTGCTTTATGAATACGGCCCAGGTTCTTGTTCACAGTGTCAGCTTAAAACAGAAGGAACTGCTGCCAAAATCAGCTGATTCTGAGAAAAAAAAGGAAAAAAAATGCAAAACTGTCTAGTCTGTCAAACTGTGAGAGTTTAGCTTTAGGACGAATGATTTCATAATATTAATTGATGAGTACTTAAAAACAAAACGTACAAAAATGTCCCAAGAAATGGTTATAAAATCAAATGAATTGTTTGTCATAGAAGATATTAATAAACATTTTTTTCTACATTCTCAGTGGTGTTTGTATTGCAAATACTATTGCCTTAAGGTATATAAAACTTTTTTGTTTTAAATGAGTAAGATCTGCTATACATTTCCAATATCATGAACGCTTTAATTAAAGAAAACTACTAATAAGGCATCTTCAGCCAAACATGCAATATTCATTTTATAACCATTTCTTGGGACCATTTTTGTACATTTTGTTTTTATGTACTCATCAATTAATATGATGAAATCATTCGTACTAAAGCTTCACCATGGTGCATATCTATATCGGTACCCTCTGTGTGAAATCTGCTCAAACAGTACCCTCTTTGCACATGCACAGGTCATTCTTTGCTAAAAACAAACCAGCGATGGATAACAATCCAGTAAAATTTCAATGTAATAAGGAAAGGGGGTTTTGACACGTACAAAAGATATAAACCACGGAACACTAGAATGTTTTATTTATGTGCTGATTTGTCATGTGCCCGTTTTTCATGTACTGCAACTTCACAATAAGCTACAAAAAATCGACATGTCTTGCCTCGCCCAACACCTCGACATACTTTTCGGGCTGCAATGAACCGTGGGCTTGATTATATTTGCATCATACATATTTAATATGTTCATTTATATATCATCTTCGGACAAATGGCAGTATATTGTCAAAAAATAAATGTAAAATTCATAAAAACACCCTACTTTCGGTTTTGCAGCGTACCCTCATGGCACAACATATGCTTATATTTGCGTTAATCGTTAAATATGTATGTAATATTTCTTACTTTTATGTAAATATTACATACTTAACGATTAACGCAAATAAAAGCATATGTCGTGCCTCGTGGGTACGTATGTGTTAAAAAATGAGAGGGTACCTGTGATATAAAAATTCAAATGAAGAGAGGTAGCCCGTGCCGCTGCAAAAGAAAAAAAAGCAAAACTGTCTTAAGTCTGACAGACTCGACAGTTTTGACATTTTTTTTTCTCAGAATCAGCTGATTTTGGCAGCAGTTCCTTCAGTTTTAAGCTGACACTGTGAACAAGAACCTGGGCCGTATTCATAAAGCAACTTAGTGAAAAAAAAGACATTTTTTGACAAGTTGAATTTAAAAAATCTAACGTGTGTACAAAATTAGTTTGAAAATAGGCAAGAAAATGTCCTAATTAATAAAAACACATTAAAAATGTTGTGGATGGTCACAGGTATTGGAAATAAGCTATGTCAAAATTTAAGAACTTTTCAAGAGGATGAAATATTTTAATATGAAGTTTTTTATGGCCCAAGCACTTTGAACAATGTTGAATAAATCGTTTTGTATATTTTCTCCATGAGTGCAAATGGAAATTTTAAAACAAAGGGACGTAACTTGGTAAACTGAATCCGAACCGCAATACGGACTTTACCGAGAATATAACTGTAGCGCCACCTGTTAGCATAATTTGGGTGTCACATATTATTACACCAGATGTCGCGTTGTATTATGCTTGCTGCATTCGGCTTTCGGCTATGCGCATTCTACCTTATGACATTCGTCATTCAAGCTGTGTAAATAGACCCAAATACAAACAGTTGCAGGTTAATTTATTGAATTAATATACCAGATCAACAAAAGAATAATAATTGATCGTTAAAAAACGACATCAACATAAAATTAAGCAAGTCGCACACAGCAGAAAGCATAATGTGCATGTAAGAAAGCAACATGTAAAAGTCAGAATGCAAGATGTATATGTCAGAATGCATAATGTACAAGTAAGAAAGCACGATGTACAAGTTAGAAAGCACGATGTAACGTAAGAAAGCAAGATGTAATTTTGGCATAAATCACCCTCCATAGTTGATTTCTGTATTCATAGTTTAGCTTGAATTCTATGCCCAAATACTTAAACCAAATGAGTTTCAATGCGAACAAACACTTTTTTCAATTTTATAAACGAAAGTTTTGAAAATTTGCTTCAGTCTGTTTTGTTATAAGATCTTGAAACTTATTAAATTAGATACACAAAGTATGCAAACATTTATCATGAACTTAATTTCGACCTTATTTCCCGGCATATACAGGGTCTATAACTTATTATATCGAATCATTCAAAAAGAACGATATACTATTATTAATATCTTAATCATCATCTTTTTACCGTGTAGTAATTGTCCTGTTATTTTTTGGTCATCGATGAATTAAAAAATTCTTGGAATTCATTTACACAATTTATATTCAGAGTTTTCATAGAAATGTTATTTGCCTGTCTATATACACACTATAATGACAAGATTGTATTTGTTAAATACTCGTATTAGCGGATACTGTCATAGTTAAACTGTCAACAGGAAAGGGAAAGTTCATAGACATTATTTCTTAGATTGCCTCAATTCAGAACACTTTATACATTAAAGCTTTATATGATATTTTATGAAATATTAAATACCCGTCCGGATTGCTCAAAACTGTGAATCGGGCGACTCGTGTTCGATTCCCGGACGATAAAGGTTACTTGATGTGATTGATCGTCATGAATTCCTCCTACTGTCATCCGCACTGTACCTCTGCTCTGTCATGTACAGAGGTTATCAGTGCTCAGGAACGATATGGTGGCTGAACAGTGCTTTTTTAAATCTTACTGGCTTACTGTTGTGATCAAGAGGGTGAACTATCTAATCCACCACTGAATATTAAAATTATGAAGAGGACGATGATTATATTAATTTACTTGTATATACATCTGTCATATGAAGAAAGCCGTGATGAAATACTAAAAAACACGATACTTCGATCAAATTGTGACGAAGTTTGTAATATCGGTATTGTTTATTTCCTTTTTTCTTTTTTATTTTCTTTAAATAAAATCAACGTTCCGTGATAAGTACATCTCTCTTATCGCTTATTTATTTCTCCAGATACACATATTGATCAAACTACAAGCAATAGAAATGTTGACATTATACCAGGATTTGACGCGACAGCCTTTTACGATTACAGAGCAGGTATTTGTTACGAAGTTTATGTTTTTATGTATCGTTAAAAATTAAATACTGGTTATAAAAAATATTACTTAGAACTAGAATTAGAATGAAATAATCGGTATGATCACAACGGATTGTTTTAAAATGATATATAAGTACTCTTCATATCCAATGTTGCTCAACTGAAAAAGTTCGCACTGCAAGACCCTTGTTATATGTTTTAAATAACTAGTTTCATTAGATAAACTGATCTAATTTTGTTCTTTATTTTTTTAAGATGTTCTTTCTTTCGTTAATAATTCATTATCTTATTAACTTATTTTATTAAATCTTAAATGTTACAATTTGTACAGAGGACGATGACGAGATTTCTTTTGACCAAGGCGACATCATAACAAACATAGATCCAATTGATGCTGGTTGGTGGGTAGGAACATCAGCAAGTGAACAACGTGGGGTGTTTCCAGCAAATTATGTGAGAGTTTGTATAAAACGTACGTGAAAGCCAATTATATTGTTCTTTCCTTTATTGCAATGAAAACAATGCTGCAAACAATGCAATACTATAATTACTCGTAATCTTGATTCTATCTTTATGTCGGTCATTTAATACTCCAGACCTACATGGTGATCAAAGTACAAGCAACAGAAGTGTTGATATTACTCCAGGATCTGAAGTAACTGCCTTGTGTGGTTTAACTGCAGGTATTTGTTATGAATGCTATTTTTGTGTATTCAAAATCGAACTATAGAAATTGATATTTAGATAACATTAAAATAACAGACATTTTGTAGAACAAGAATAAGATAGTTTAACATTAAAACCCACCGGGTATAAACAATTAATGTGATCATGTGTCCATCAAACATTTTTTATACATTCTACATGTATATCAACTCTTACATCATGTTTGGAAAAATTTGTATCTAATCAGTTAGTTTTAAATCATTGTTATGTTTATCCAACTCAACTCAAAAAAATTTATTTCATCAAACATACAATATATATTTTAATAAAGGCAGAAGACATATAAATATCAAGATTATTTAATGTTAAATTACTGTTATTTTCAATCTGGAAACAGTTAATTAATAATTATCTACTACACAAACTTTATATCTCCAAAGAAGTTTGTGTACTAGATAATTATAAAATACTGTTAAAAAGTACTACGGAATGCAGTTAGCAAATTTCACCGACCATTCATTTGCTCTTTGCAAAAGTGTATACAAATTTGTTGTATAGAAATGCCATTACACACGCCTGTTAAAATACACAATATAAAGACAAGGGTTGAAATTGCTGTATATTTGTATTTAGTTATACTGTCAAAATAATTGTACTAACAAGAAAGGGAAAGTTCATAGACTTTATTTCCTAAATTGCCTTAATATTCGGAACACATGATACATTAAGGCTTTGTATGATTTTTATGAAATATTAAATACCAGTCCGGATAGCTAAAACAGGTAAAGCCTTGGACTGTGAATCGGGCGACTTGTGTTCGATTACCGGACGATAAAGGTTACTTGATGTGATTGATCGTCATGAAGTCCTCCTACTGTCATCCGCACATTACATCTGCTCTGTCATGTACAGAGGTTATCAGTGCCAAGGAACGATCTGGTGGCTGAACTGTGTTTTTCACTCTAAGTGGCTTACTGCAGTGATCAAAAGGGTGAACAATCTAAAGCACCACTGAAATATCAAAAAATGATTTAATCGTATATATACATTGAAATTTGAACTATCGGTTTTGTTTATTTCTTTAAAAAAAATAAAATCAATGTTCTATCATACGTACATCTCTCTTATCGCTTATTTATTTCTCCAGATACACATATTGATCAAACTGCAAGCAATAAAAATGTTGACATTACACCAGGATTTGACGCGATAGCCTTGTACGATTACACAGCAGGTATTTGTTACAAAGTTTATGTTTTTTATGTATTGTTGAAAATTAAATACTGGTTATAAAAATATTGCTTAGAACTAGAATTTGAATGAAAAATTTGGCATGATCACAACGGATTGTTTTAAAATGATATATAAGTACTCTTCATATCCAATGTTGCTCAACTGAAAAAATCGCACTGCAAGACCCTTGTTATATGTTTTAAATAACTAGTTTCATTAGATAAACTGATCTAATTTTGTTCTTTATTTTTTTAAGATGTTCTTTCTTTCGTTAATAATTCATTATCTTATTAACTTATTTTATTAAATCTTAAATGTTACAATTTGTACAGAGGACGATGACGAGATTTCTTTTGACCAAGGCGACATCATAACAAACATAGATCCAATTGATGCTGGTTGGTGGGTAGGAACATCAGCAAGTGAACAACGTGGGGTGTTTCCAGCAAATTATGTGAGAGTTTGTATAAAACGTACGTGAAAGCCAATTATATTGTTGTTTTATTTTATTGAAATGAAATCAATGCTACAAACAATGCAAAACTATAATTAATCTTATTTCTATCTTAATGTTCGTCATGTAATACTTCAGAAGTACTTGATGATCAAAGTACAAGCAACAGAAGTGTTGATATTGCTCCAGGATTTGATGTAACTGCCTTGTCTGGTTTCACTGCAGGTATTTGTTATGAATGCTATGTTAATGTACAAGTATTTAAAATCGAACTCTGTAACTGTATATTAAGATAACATAAACTATAAGGAACACATTTCTTGAACTCGAATGAGATAGTTTGACACTAAAACCGACCGGATATAAGCAATTAATGTGGTCTTTCAAACATTTTATATACATTCTATATCAACTCTTACACTATGTTTGAAAAACTGTTAACTTATCAGTTAGATTTTGATCATTATTATGTTTATTGAACTCATCTTAAATAATTTTATTGCATTAAACCTACAATATATAATTTTAGCATTTATAATAAGCAGAAGACATATACATATCAGGATGTTAATATAAAACTGAATAGGAAAATATTTTATGATATGAATACTGTTAAAAAAAGTTGAAATAGGATAAAGTACTACGGGATGCAGTTGGCAAATAAACCCACCCTATATTTGCTGTTTGTAAAAGTGTATTAATATTTCGTTGTATTTAATTGTTTTTATATTTGCAAAAAATACATATGTAATTAATAATAAATGTTTAATTCTACACAGAGAATGATGACCAGATATCTTTTGATTCTGGCGACATAATAACAAACATAGAACCGAGAAATGATGATTGGTGGATAGGGACAACGGCAAATGGAACACGCGGGCGTTTTCCATCTACTTATGTTGAAGTTCGTGAAGTCGCTTATGCTGAAGTGAAAAATCAAAATAATGTACAAAAGATAATTGAACGCATGCAACTGAAATAAAACTTTCAATAAAACAGCAATGCTTCGCCCACAGACGCCATATTTGAGAAAGTAAAATTCTTCTTCAGGCATTTAAAAAGAAAAAGCACGAAATATCATATAATTATGATACAAGTGAATTACGTTACACGAATTATTATAGGTAATCGTCCAATCAGTGAAGACTAAGGCAACCGCAATGAGCTATAGATACCATACCATTATAGAGCTACAACTTTGAAAATGTGAGGAAAGAAGACAATTGCTATCTTTTATATATTCATTTTAAGTTTTGAATTCATTTATAATGTGATTTAGTTAATCCAAGTTGTTTCATATGAGTCATACAATTATGATGGACTTGTTGTATATATTGTTTAATATCTTTGACAAAATATATAGGAATAATAAAATGTGTTTTCTTTTCTCAGAAACAGTTCTAGACAGAATTAACAGTAGATAAACGACATCTCAGTACAGTCTTTCAATGTCAATTTCTACTGGTCCAAAATCTACATTTTAAGAATATACCCAAAAAAACCCCACAGAAATGAGCCAAGGAAAATTGATTATTGATTGTGTCTTTTCGCCCTGCAGAAATTTAAAATATAACAAAAAATCAAAAAGATTTATTGAAAAAGAAACATTATATTTAAATTATATATCATAGACCATGTGCATGTTCATACTAATACATACACAATGAAAAGATTACGTGCATCGAAGCCTTAAAAATACATTGAAACTATGAAAAGGAGCGTATGAAAAAAGAAAATATTATAAAAAAAACCGTAAAAATAATTGAAACGAAGTTACACCCCCTTTGTCTACGTTTTTGCCTTTACTAGTGTTTTACACTTACACAACGGCCCGGGAAATGAATCCCTTGCTCGTAGGCTCGAATCTGGAGTTTCCGGCCTTCTCTTAACTTATAGAATATTTTTAAAGGAGATCATAATTTACAATTTTATTTTTTGGTTTTTGACTTTTTTAAGATGATCACAGGTTTTTTATCAATCTGGTCATATTTTTACTTCCCAGGTCCGATACTCAAGCCTGTGACCGAATCTGCAATTTTCATGTAATTTTGTTGTGATTAATGCTTCCGAGGGATCACATTTTCCAAATTATTTGACCTTAAAGTCAATGTCATCATGGTTCACTTGAGATTTCACATTTTGCACTAAGTGTCAATATCTTTAGCATATCAAATGAAAAAATATTTCTTGCATATCAGACTGGCGTTTCCGTTAGTTTTACCCATGCCGGAAATTTCATCTGGCATGGGGGGTTCCAGATGAGTCGCGTGCTGTACAATGGCACGATAAAGATGACGTCATTTTACCGTTATGAATGATTTTGTAATTCATACGCTGTTGAATGAAAGTAGTTACAGTTGTAATGATATAAATTTTCATTGAAAATAAAGATAAAGAATTTAAAATATAATGGAATATGGTAGAATATGCAAGAAAAAATATCTGACATATGTTTGCGGTTCGGATCGGAATATCCGTCCCTCGGTCACCCGCCCATGGGCGGTAACTCGGCAAGCCTCGTTACCGCCCAATGGGCGGGTCACCTCGGGACGGATATTCCATCCGAACCGCAAAATATGACAGATATTATTAATCTTGAATTTTTGATGTAGTAGAATTTTACACAAATCAAACTATGAAAACAATTTTGTCGGCAACAGATGTTGTAATCCATTTTGTGTTTTTTTTATTATTTGTGGCAAGCAGCTAACGTATAGAAATGTTATTTGTTTATATGTCTAAAGCGTTGATCCCGTTCCAACACCGCTGTGTGCGAATCTGTTCATGTTGTTTAAGCCGCTGCATATTGAAGATGTGAAAAACATTAAATTTAAATTATTTAAAGACTTATTTTACAAAGATTATTGTTAGCCACGTAAGGTACCTGTAAAACATGTCAAGAAACAATCAAGGTTATGGTGCTCACAACGAGGATTAAAGCAAAAAAGGGTATATCTTCGTTTCTATGAAGACTTTCAGATAATAATTTACGCTGAAGACTTGTGGGCATCTGTTTTAGATTAGAATGCACAAAACGTCATCAGAATCGACGTTTTCAATGTTAAATTTGGTCCGGAGAGAAGTTGTCTCCAGTTTTCCAGCTACCCCGAGTGACTGCGTCGCACGGTATTTCCATCAAATTGTCCACCAACAGGCAATATCTTTCCATGTGCATACTCGGAAAACATCGCTAGCTACAATGTAACTGCATTCCGATATTTTTACATAAATGTCTGTAATCTTCAAAAATTATGAAAAACTCACCTTGTTTATCGTGTCACACGTCCTAGATGGGTGCTCACAACGAGGAACGGAAGTTGCTCACAACATTTTTACCGATGGACATTTTACACTCGTTGTGAGTTAAACGGGCGTGAATTTTGTTTTGAAAACTGTCTAGAATGACAGAAAATGGTCTAACTATGAAAATAAATTCGAACACCAATATCTTTAATTCAGTCATTAATACTGTACAGACGTTAAAGAGTTGTTTACGTGACATCGCAATGTATAATTATAGCGTGCAAAACAAGACGCATCTATAAATAATAAATGTATTACTGCGCGCTGTACAATTGCAGGTGCGTAGACGCGCCAATAGTATAACGCTAACATTTAGCGGGTCTTAACGCCATGTTTATATATCGCAAATGAGGATATGCACGGCCGTGCGATACCATTTTCACAAAGTCGTAAAATCGGCACGGGTATGTGATAAATTCATTTATAATAATATTATTAACATGATCAGTAAATGTAGTGTCGCCAAAAGTGAGCAGTTCAGGAATATTTAAATCATTAATATTTTGCCAAATATATTTTGGATTTTTTTCTTTCATTTATTGCATTATTGAAGACATTCTTTTTGCTTTTCTTAATCTCTGAGTTAACTGTACATGTTTTTTGTAATTATTTATATACATCGAAATTTCCATTTTTGTGATATTTATTTCTTAAATCATTGTTTTTATTTAATCAGTGAACCATTTAGGCCGTGTATCAAATTTTATCCTCTTTTCTTTTATTGGAGCATGTTTGGGAATAATATCTTTTATTTTTGAACAACAGGTTTGTAAAGCTAAATTTGGATCAACAATATACTCCACAGATTCTAGAGCACATCGAGCTAAATTATTCTGAAAAGATTGTTCATTTAATGTTTTGAATGATATATACTTCATTGTCTTATGAAAACCACGTTTAACTCGTGACTTAACTGTTCTTATGAAAGAGACAGGGGAGTGATCTATTATTGAAATAGTTCTAGACAATACAGAATCTTTTACGTTAGCCTTCAGACGATCATTAACAAATCTGCAAAAAGAGCACCTTGGTATGGTGGAATGTGGGGGCGACTAATTGGTGTAATGAAAACAGCGATTAAGAAATTTCTTGGCAAAGCCTCCATTAATTTACAAACGCTGCAGACGATAGTTACAGAAGTAGAGGCAATGATGAACGATCGGCCAATTACCTACGTTTCATATATTAGAGATGATCCAGAGCCTTGCATCCCTTCACACTTACTACATGGACGCCGACTGACAACTCTACCATTCTACGATACTGTGGTAACCAACGATACTCCCTGTAACGATAGCAAAGGTGACGATATTCGGCAACGTGCTAGACGAAGTGAGGAGTTAATTAATCACCACTGGAACCGCTGGAAACACGAGTATCATTCAGAGAATACCAACGGTTGAGTGGTACCACATACCAGGTTATTCAAGTTGGTGACGTTGTTATTGTCCAAGACGACTTTACACCAAGGCTACATTGACACCTTGCGGTCGTTGATGAACTTTTAACAGGAAATGACGGATTTTCGAGGGTCGCGAGGATACGTACATCCATAGAGCTGACTACTCGACCGATTGTCCAATTGTACCCGTTGGAAATTATCCAGAAACCAGATGAAAAGACATTACAATGCGAATTGAAACACTTATACCATTGCGCTATTTTTTCGTGAAAAGACAATTCAATTTGTTTAAAAGAGCGAAAATAATACAAAACAGAGACTTTACATAGTGCTAGTCTGTGTGTTGATATATCTAAATATAGCTGTTTAATTTAATTAGAGTTCTTAATTTCAAAATGATTTAAAATAAGTATATTCATTACTTTTTCTTTTTGACACTGATTACATTTAGCATTTCTGAGGCCCGGAGAATGTTGTAAATCTTTGTTTATTGTATTAACGTAACGTCACTTCCTATGAATGTTAACATCCAGTTTGAATAAAGGAAACGAACCGTACACAACCCCTAGTTTTACTCACGATCACGTCCTCACAGTCTGATATATTAGAGATACAAGGCAGCATGGGTAGATCTTTGAATGACATTTGTGGAGTACGAAAGACCGGTGGTGACTTCTCACTTCAGACTTCACATTTTATACCCAATATATAGTATATCAGAAATCATGAAATCTGAAGTTTGAAGCGTTAAGTTTGAAGCGTGAAGTCTGAAGTGTGAAGTTTGAAGTATGAAATTCACAAGTTCAAACTTCATATTTCTTGATAATTGATCACGTGGTATACTCCTCATCAATACGTCATCTGTTCGTTTTTAGTGACAATTCAGAGAATAATTTGGAAACTGAAGTGGGAAGTCACCACCGGTTTTTCGTAGTTGAGTGATGTAGATTTTGTAGGTTGCACGGTCTAGTCAGTTAACACTAGCTTCATAATCTATGAGTAATTTACATTTTATTCCATCCATTTCAACTTGCACATAATTATGGTGACTGATATTTTGAAGTCCTGTTGAATACACATTCCTTATTTTATCATTTACTTTTATGGAATCTTGATGATTATGTACGTAGTACATTTGGCTTTTACTTATTATACCCCCTTACAACAAAGTTGTAAGGGGGTATACTGGAAATAGCTTGTCCGTCGGCCGTCCATCGGTTTTTCTATTTCTGCCCGATAACTTAAGATTTCTTGACGCAAAGTCTTCATATTTGGTATTGAGATATGCCATAATTAGTAGATGACCCATATTGATTTTGAGGTCACCAGGTCAAAGGTCAAGGTGATGATAATATTGGATACTGGATGGAACTGACTTAATATAAGCTTCAGTTTAATCTATCATTTATTTTATGTAAATTTATGTGTATTTTAATAACAATGACTGTCATACAAAAATTAATATAAAAACATGGTAATGTTATCATGACTTAAATGATGATGATGATGATGATGATGATGACGACGACGACGACGATGATGATGATGATGAAAATTATAATGATGATGATGCAGAATTATTGTTATAGAAATGGGAACAGTTATGATGATAATGATGCAAAATGATTGTTTAAGAAATAGGTTTAGTTAAAATGGTGTTATAAAAAATGATGATAATATTTAATAGTCTACTTCTACTGTCATTATTCTGAAGTAGTTGCACTTGGAGGGAGTTATAACCTTACGTCGTATTTACGTGTACATTATTTCCCTTTAATTTATGTTATTTATGAGCTGTTTCAGTTTGAGTCATACACAGGAAAACGGCTTTGGGATAAGAACATTTCTGAAGCTGCTGTTCTTCCAACATGATTTGTCGCAAATCAGCCACATCACGTTTACATCGTTCGTGAAAGTTAATTCATCTTCATCTTTCCGATGAAAACGAATATTGCTATTTATAAATATTTGTTTGTTTCAATAACACAGGGGCTGATTTATAATCATTTTCATATTTGTAATGGCCTTAGATAAAGTAACTCGGGGTGTATATATGTGACCTGTGATTAGAGACTAAAATGATATCAAATAATGATAATATTCAGCTGATAATATTACGATAACACGACACGAGGGATTGCTACATATTGTTCATGGGGATAAAAGTCCAAAATATTGATCATTATTTCATGTATCCAATGTAAAACATAATAATCAGTTAAAACGTTCGTTTATTCTAATTAATAGTGACGTTTACAAATGTAATGGATACTTTTTAAGAGCTTTTTATTTCATTGTTGGATTTTTTTAATTACAATATTTAGCGACATTCTGCAATAGATCTGAACTTGTATATTAGATAACTATGAAGGTAACTTAGTTTAATTACTTTTTATCTGAAATTATTAAACTTTTCAATAATTAAAAAAACAGTTCCAACGATCGTTTGTTTTGTATATGAATATTCTAGGAAGAAGTGAATATTATCTTCAATTATTTGTTTATGATCCATTTTTTTACCAATGTATTCATAAACCAAAAGACAACATTTTCGTCAGTTTATAAATATGTATCTAGATTTAGTCAGTTTACAACCAAACCTGTGGATAAAGGCCAACCAAACGGAGAGATCGAACAATATATTTATTTATTACAAGTGGTCTTTATTTGGAGGTTACTCTGTTCGATTTTATCAATGTAGGGTTGTCGCCAAAGGTACTAATTCACAGGTTGATCTCTATTTGGAGGTGGTCTATTTTAAGGTTTAGCGGTATATGTTTACACAGTTGAATACATACATTGTACATGCATTAAAACAGCCATTGTTTCTTTTAAGCTGTTTAGAATAATGGAAGTTTTGTCTTTTAGTCTGTTTTAAATCCCTCCGTATTGAGTAGGAAAGATATCTCATAATAATAATTGGTGGCGTTCATTTTACGGCTTCAGATAAGTTAAAGCTTATTAATTATGATGATTTTATATAAAACAAGCATCTTTCTTTTTAGATTTTAACCAGTATTTTGGTATTATTTTGCCTACCCGATGTTTCCGAACAAATGTACTGTACCTCTTACAACGGGACTAATACAGGTAATTCCGTTTTTATAAAACCACATGAAGGAAATAAAAATAAGCTCGGAAGACCAATTAAACATTCTCGCAAGCAAATTACCTTTTCTAATTCAAATCGCGAATTTCTTACTTACTTTCATGTCATGTTTTCTGCCATCTTAATAAAGCTTTTTTTGTACTTTCGTGTTTTATTTTGACAACATCTAAAGGATTAAAGTTTGCTTTAATTTCACTTTCAACAATGATATTTTTTTCTAATTTTGCCGTGTTTTTTTTAATGAAACTTTGTCATATTTGGCGATACTTATACTGGATGTTTTTGCTATTTCACATTGTATTTGACGTCATTTAACATAACATACGTCATTTATTTAACAAAACATCATTTCATATTTGGCGTTCGTTAATAAGTATTTTGTTCTAATGTCAAATATATTTGGCGTAATTAAACATGAACCCTTTTCTAAATTACATCATATTTGGCATCATATGTCTAATTTCGCTTTACATTTGGCATACTTTGTATTCAACTTTGTTTTAATTTCACGTCATATTTGGCATTAATTAATGTCATTGAACTAGGTTTTTCTTACTTCATATGTTTTATGCGACATTTAATAGGAACTTTGTTCTATTTCACATTATTTTTTGCCACCTTTAACATAATATCGTGTCATTTAATACGTAATTTGTTTTAAGAAAAAAGCACATGTATTTGACGTAAAGAAACGAAAATTCGGTTCTAAATCATGTAATACTAGTATTTCGCGCCATTAAATCAAAGACTTTGTCTAATATCGTATCAAATTTGGCAACCTTTTATAGGTACTTTAATTGTTCTACTTTCACATACATTGGTGATAATAACAGGAATTTTGTTCTAAATTCACATCATATGAGCCGCGTCATGACAAAACCAACATAATGCGTTTGCGACCAGCATGCATCCAGACCAGCCTGCGGATCCATGCTGTTCGCTTACAAACCCTATAACATGTAGAGAAACTGATAGCGAACAGCATGGATCCTGATCAGACTGCGCGGATGCGCAGGCTGGTCTGGATCCATGCTGGTAGCAAACCCATTATGTTGGTTTTGTCGTGACGCGGCTCATATTGATATTCACATCTAAGGTTGTCTGTGTTCTGATTTGAAGTCTATTTTGGTGTTAATTGAAGGAAATATGATTTTATATCGTGATATATTTTTATCATAAAGTTATCTCTTTTAACATCTCATTAAATTGTTTTTGTAAATAAATTTCATTATAACAAATTGTCATTAAAACTTGTTAAGGTCCTTCATTACCCGACCTTCCCGACCAATATTCCACGACGATCGAGGCAACATTGCTGGAAGCCAACAAGACATTAACGGGGTATGAATATTTCGACAACCCTGGAAACCGAGCTTCACTAAAAATAGAAACCGCGGGTTCACTTCATACTATAGTATTTAACTACGCAAGTGATGAGTTGTTTAATATCGTCAGTAAGTATATTGTTTATGAAACATCTAAATTATATAAACTCCTTTTCTATCTCAAAATTGATTGTGTGACTTGTTAAAGGCACATTAAGCCTCAGAAATGAATATTTTTTCTTATTGAAGAAAAGGCAAATAATTGACCCGCGTCACGACATAGTGCATTTGCGACCAACATGGATCCAGACCAGCCTGCGCATCCGCTTAGTCTGATCAGGATCCATGCTGTTCGCTATCAGTTTCTCTACTTGTAATAGGGTTTGTAAGCGAACAGCATGGATCCTGATCAGACTGCGCGGATGCGCAGGCTAGTCTGGATCCATGCTGGTCGCAAACCCATTATGTTGGTTTTGTCGTGACGCGGCTCAATTATATTTTTATGGTGGATTTAGAAGATTTTAGATGCTTATCAACTAAAGTAAATAACGTTCAATGTGAATTCTGATAGTAAACAAAAAAGTATTTTTACTTCAGAACAAAATTCTAAATTTCCAAACTACTAATTGCCAAAACGCAAAGAAAGCAAAATAAGGTTAAGCTAATGGCCAATGAGAAACAGTTTGAAATCTCTGATAGAAAGCTTTTGAAAAAATGAAAACATTTTCATTTTAGGCTAAATTGGCCTTTAAGATTATGTGTTTAATCAAAAAATGACAAATATTTACCTGTCAGTCTGATTTTATTAATGTCAGAGAAAACAAATAAAGTAAGAACATTTTTACAACTGTAACATAAGGTCACGTATTGTTATACACAGTAAAACTAAATTAGTTACAATTGTGATGTTATTTATTAAACTACCACTGAAGTACGTATTTATAATTACGTTGCTTTAAACGTAAAGGGTAAAGCTATGGTAGTTCTAAATAAAAAACGTATACATACGAAGCGTTAGTAAAACGCTCCCCTTGTTTTGATAACGAAAATATAGGAAAAATATTTGTGAGGTATATAGATAGATACATAAAATATTTACATAAGGTACAAAATAGGACAATATTTTATACATCATGAATTAATAGATATACACATGGACACAAATATTACTTTGATTTTGATATAAAATAATAAAATATTTCTTTTGAAATAATGATTGTGATGTAAAACTATCGGTGCCAAACTATCAGACTCATTTTATAATGTGAAAAATTTACAAATAGCATGATTACAAAATGCATGATTACATAAGCCATAGAATATTTAACATGCTCGAAAAACCAAGATCAGTATATAATCAGTAATTACACCATAAACTTATATTTAGGCATTCATTTGATATAAGAGATAGAATGTAGATGACACGTGACATTGATATAAATAATTTTATCTTAGCGAAACAAAAATTGTATTCTCAATTGTCAAGTGTATGTTAAATAAATACCATTACCTTAGCAAAACAATATCTAAGATTAAGTTAAGACTTCAAAATAAGTTAATATTTGAAATCCAACAAAATGCATGATACTTCCAACATAATGTATGATACTTCCAATGCAACATAATGTATGATACTTGCAACATAATTTATGATACTTCCAATGCAACATATTGTATGAAACTTCCAACATAATGTATGAGACTTCCAACATAATGTATAATACTTCCAACATAATGTATGATACTTCCAATGCAACATAATGTATGATACTTCCAACATAATGTATGATACTTCCAACATAATGTATGATACTTCCAACATAATGTATGATACTTCCAACATAATGTATGATACTTCCAACATAATGTATGATACTTCCAATGCAACATAATGTATGATACTTCCAACATAAAGTATGATACTTCCAACATAATGCATGATACTTTCAACATAATGTTTGATACTTCCAATGCAACATAATGTATGATACTTCCAACTTAATGTATGATACTTCCAATGCAACATAATGTATGATACTTCCAATGCAACATAATGTATGATACTTCAACATAATGTATGATACTTCCATAATAATGTATGGTGTTTCCAACATAATGTATGATACTTCCAATGACACATAATGTATGATTCTTCCAACATAATGTTTGATACATCCAATGCAACATCATGTATGATACTTCCAACATAATGTATGATACTTGGGAACAGTGACTCTCTGGTATTCCGGTTTTTTTTAAGAAATGATGTGTTTTATGCAGAGCAATGTGATTGGTTTCACTTTTACTTTTTTTGCATTTTTTTTCTGTCATAATAACATATTCGACATAAACTCCTAATGGAAGACATACAATACGGCATAAAATTTGGCTGGTTGTATAAGACAGAGCTTATCAATGGCTGAATATAGATTCAAATTTTTCACTAGAAACAATAAGTTAAATTCTTTCTTTTTGTCTTAAATAATGGTAAGTCTTTACTTCTATTTTAACTTTGATACTGCAAGTGTTTTTAGACAGAAAATGTCCAGAATTAAGGAAATCAATTAAAGACTCTACTAGTCATATTGTTTATCAGTCTCTATATATCCTCGAGTTTTTCAATCTCCGTGTAAGTATCTTTTAAGTCTATGAGTGAAGAACTTTTCCGTCAGCCATTGACTTGCGCAAATTTGCCGTATATATAAAAAAATCTTGGTCAAAGAAAGATATTAAAAATCTTTAGATGAAACTAAAACAAAATACATGTACTAATGTTACAGGTGGAATATGTACAACACACAATCTTAGTCAGGACGACAACAACATACTGTTTGGAAATGTGACAGGACCGAAAGGTGGTTTTCATACATTCACTGTGAACGGTGCTCTTCATTTTTCCAAAGCAGCAGGAGAGGTTGGTTAAAGTTTGAAATTCACCTTTAAAAGTTAAAGCAGTCGACCGTGTCTAAAATAAAATTTCGGGCCATGTAAATGGCAGACATGCTAGTATGCATTGACAAATGTTTTAGGAAAATATGATGTTCTGTCAATATTGTCAATAATGAAATAAAGGCATTAAATAAGAAGATTTTTGCGGTTATACAATTATTATTTTATTGGCAAAACTATATTGTATGAGAAAGTAAAATCTAAGGGCATCGGGTAGCGCCTCTTACATTATAAACTCTTGTGCCTGTGATCTTTCTAACCTCTTTTACTCTTTTTGGATTGAGAAGAATAATGAAATGTAATAATTAAGGTATAAGTCATTTTTGTGGTGCATATGGTTCCTTTGATGAAGTCAAGATGTTGCAAACGCACCATTCGTGGAAAGCAAATGTCATTTATAATTCATGTAGGTATTGCAAGTAGTTACTTATATTAACAGAAATATATTGGCCGCCATGTTGTTCGGGGTATACAATGTGACGCCTGGCGAAGTTGTTTGTATTGGCCGGACCTGAAAGCCAACTTTACTCTAGACTACTATTTCACCGGTATGTTTTATAGTTTAATGCTTAACTTGTCGATGTGCAATGTGTATGTCAGCAGTTTTTGTGCGTTTAAAAAATTTACTGATCTCAGCTTTGAACAACTTAATGACTGAAAAATAATCTGTGTCGTATTTGTGCATAACTTAATAACTTATTACAAATCTGTTCATATTTGTGCATAACTGAATAATTTTTTTAAAAATCTGTTCATTTTGGGGCATAACTTAATAATTTATTAAAATCAGTTTATAATTGTGCATAACTTAATAATTTATTAAAAATCTGTTCATATTTGTGCATAACTTAATCATTTATTAAAATCTGTTCATATTTGTGCATAACTTAATAATTTATTAAAAATATGTTCATATTTGTGCATAACTTAATCATTTATTAAAATCTGTTCTTATTTGTGCATAACTTATTAATTGATTAAATACTGTTCATATTTGTGAACAACATATTTATAAACCAGTTCATATTTGTACACAATATAATGATTACTAGAAATTGTTCATATTTTTGCAAACGCCTGATGTATGATTAAAGCTCTGTTTACAAGATAGATACGCGAATTGAGGATTTAAAATGCACACGCGTTTCTTGGTAAAATCAGTAAAGACTAAACTAAACACACATTTTCTCAATATTCTTGTAGAATTTTATGTTTGTATTACTCTCGCGTTTTATAGCAAAGAACTGGAGTGATCCTGTGGGCTATCCGCAGATACCTGTTCGGGCACTGGCTACTGGTGTTTTTGTGAACAAATTAGGATTATTGAAAAACTTCACACACTATTATGATTATATCGACTTTAGAACATCAATATCAGACCCAACCGTGTTTGAGGTAGGACCTTCTTTCTTTGTACTCCAGCAACTTTTGTTTCAAGTACGATGATATAGATACTCCGTCAAGAAGCCCCTCGTAACCTTAAAGAACTCTTTTTCAAGCGATCTATTTTGCTATTATACACATTTTGACAATGCTACACTTTTATAAAGTTTTTTTTTATAATACTGCACGTTTGTAAAGTCAATTTTCATTGGATAATAGTGGCGTTTACATTATATTATATGTTATTTTGGTTTTGGAGTGATATATTACCTGTTAAGATTTTATATCACCCGAGCTCGGGTGATATAAAATCTTAACAGGTAATATATCCACATATATCACTCCAAAACCAAAATAACATATAATATACACGGCTGCTCGCAATTTTCTTAGAAATCTCACTTTTTCCTCAAAAAGGAAGTTTGCTGTATTTAAAATTCGTTATAAATATTCCTGACAGATTATATGACCGTATATAAACGGTTGTTTGGATTATATTTTTTAAACAGCCGTTTATATAGGGCCATATAACCTGTAAACAATCTTTATAACTAATATTGTAAACGTCACAGATATCCAAATGAAAAGCGATGTCACAAACGCGTAGTATTATAACGTCGATTTTTATTGGTTATATAATTCATATATACATGTACACGGCTGCCGTCTGTTCAGGAAGAAAGAGCCGTCTGTTCAGGAAGAAAGATAAGTTTACTTTTTCCCTAGCTATATGACCGTATGTGAACGGTTTTTTGCAAAATAGTTCACCCATATAAATTCAGGTTATACAAACCAATCTACAACCGTTCTGGACCTTATAACCTACCTTTTTATGATATAACTGTATTTAGATTTATATAATTTTATAGACACCTAAAGGGATTATTTGTAAGCGGAAAAAGACAAGACCTGTCCCACAGCTTATGAACTATTACCATTACCGACAAGAAATCATCCAAGGGGGAAATAATAAAATATTCTTGGCAGATGTAAGTACTATAGTATTAATTGTTCTACCTTGACATCTATTAAATACATTTTGCTATTTTATCAGACTTGTTAATGATTTGAGTCATACTGAACTACGATAGTTAATGTACTCCTAATTTATACTGCAAATAAGTAATTTGGACTGATGAATAACAATAGATCGCAAATAAGAAAATGTAAGAAAACGCGATAACAATTTTGCAATAAAAACTCCAGGTACTGTATTTTAGACCGGAAATTAAGTAACCATATCTCATGATATCCAAGTTTGTACCAAACCTTAAAACTAGTAATAAGAGCTTTTCACATTAGAATAAGACATAAACTCACGATGTTAACGGAAATAAAGAAGAATGCACTCACGATACTGTACTTAGGATATTGGAACGCAAACTAAATTCAATAGACTCATGGCGCTTTATTTAATGTAATCACGAAATTATTTGGACTGGACATACGACAATATATTTTAGATCGCATTTTTCTTGATTTAATGAACTTGTCAGACTATTTTTTGAACACAATTTAAATTTAATAGACTCACGACTAACTTTATTTGAACGCAGACCCTAGTTATATGGACTAATTCAGGCTTTACATAATAAATATGCATCGAGTCAGTCTTCAGCCAGGTGATAATATTTCAAACATTGATAAACATTATGATTAATTTTGAGAGATGATTTGTATAAAAATTGTTAAAGCATTTAAGATCTCTATATAGGTTTGGTATGACAAGGAATATCGATACATTCGCTACGATTATCGAACGGCAACTGAGGTGGCGCCACTGTTTACAGCCAGTCCTATCACAGAAATACACGATTATCGTTATGGTAATGTTTATCTTGTACTGCTATATTTAAGTGTTTTCCCATTTTTCTTGTTTTTTTTCTTCTTTTAAACAGGATTTCAATACATGAGAAACTTATTTATAAATATAGTATCTGAATATCAGATAAAAGCAAATATTTTTTATATAAAGTGAGAAAAACAAAAGGACACGTTCATATAGTATGAAGTAATATAAACAATTGTTACAAATTATGGTCTCTATGCAAAGGCGTTCGTTAGTGCAGGTTGGTTTGTATATATTCAGAATATTCTCTCCACAGGTATTCGTTACACGAAGGATCAGGTATCGGGGCGGTGCGTGTCGTCTTCAATAGATAAAACTTCTTTTGATGTGGCACAAAATACAACTATATATAACCAGAATGGCTCTTACGTTATACACATGAAAGATCCTATGCAACTTTTTTACCTGGATGACAGTTACGAGTACACCGGACAGGTAATATTACGTAATTGTCTGTAAACATGGCTGATGTTACCTTCCATAAAATATAACTCAAACTTTATTATGCCCCCCTTCAAACAAGTGGGCGTATATTACTTTGCATTTGTCTGTCGGTCGGTCGGTCCTTCGGTCCATTGACCAAATGGTTTCCGCGTGATAACTAAAGAACACTTAGGCCTAGTAACTTCAAACTTAGTATGTTGATTGTTCTTGACCGGTAGATGACCCCTATTGATTTTGGGGTCAAGGGGTCAAAGGTCAAGGTCACGTTGACCTTGTATGTAAAAACGATTTCCGAGTGATAACTTAAGAATGTTTAGGTCTAGGAACTTCAAACTTTAAATGGTGATTGTTCATGACCAGCAGATGACCCCCTATTGATTTTGTGGTCAAGGGGCCAAAGGTCAGATTGACCTTGTAGGTGAAAACGATTTCCGATCAATAACTTGACAAGCTATGGGCTGTGGCCCTCAAATTTTATAGGTACATTGGCCTTGGTCAGTAGATGACCCCTATTGATTTTGGGATCAGGGGATCAAAGGTCAAGGTTGCATTGACCTTGTATTTCAAAATAGTTTTCTATCAATAACTGGACAACCTATAGACGCTTTACCTTCAAGCTTTACAGATGCATTGCTTTTAGTCAGAAAATGATGGAATTTTAGCGTTAATGGGTCAGAGGTCAAGATCACATTGACCTTATAGGTATCAACGCTTTCTGATTAATATCCCAACTCATGGGCCCTTTACCTTCAAACTTCACAGGTGCATTAGTCTTGGCCAGTAGATAACCCCTATTGATTTAATGGTCAAAGGTCAATGCCATATTGACCTTGTATGTTTCTAACCAATAACTCAACAACTCAAGTTGCCTTGGTTGATATTTTTTATTAAACTTAAAATTCTTTTGGTATACACATTTCTAGGTCTTATGCAATATAACAACTTGGCTGTCATTAATGAGGCCTACATGATTCAAAAAATTTATGCATATAATTATTATTTGGTAAGATTTGTAATAACTTTGTCATAAAGTTGCTGCACACAATCTTTGCTTTCACAATTTCCTAGTGACTAGTCATGACCAGTAATTTGGTCACTCGGTCAAAAGTCATAATAACCTGATCACATGACTAATTGGCTGCCGATAGGGGGCATAATGTTTTACAAACATGTCTTGTTGTATTTCAAATACTGCGTGTCCGACTGTGTCGTCTATACATAAAATGAGCCGCGTCACGACATAACCAACATAATGGGTTTGCGACCAGCATGGATCCAGACCAGCCTGCGCATCCGCGCAGTCTGATCAGGATCCATGCTGTTCGCTATCAGCTTCTCTACTTGTAATGGGGTTTGTAAGCGAACAGCATGTATCCTGAACAGACTGCGCGGATGCGCAGGCTGGTCTGGATCCATGCTTGTCGCAAACGCATTACGTTGCTTTTGTCATGACACGGCTTAAATGTTCAGATCAATCAAAATATTTCAGAGATATCAAAAATAGTATCGCTTTGGTGTTTGGCCATTAATCTAGTCTATATGCAATTAAATTTCGTCACACAAAATTCAGTCACTTCTTTCACTTGACAACGATCTGCACTTCCGTGCAAACAAAATTTTTTGCACCTCTTTATGTCAAAGAGGTTTTTAATTGTAAAAGGCTATGATGCATGTGGAATTTTTTTCTTAGCATTTTTTGTTGTTTTCTTTTGCCTTTTTTGTTTACTTAAATATTTTTTAAAGAAAACACGCATATTCAATATTAATCTTTCATTACAAATCCGTGCATGTTGAATTGTTTGAAATATGTTTTTGTGCTTTCACTTCTTCATTCTTTCGAATTGTTCTTTTTTCACAATATTTCATGGCTACTTTTCTCCGTTTGAAATTGCATTTTTTCCCTTTCTTTCGTTTTCTTTTCTAATGCTTAATGTTAGTTATCACTATTTTACTTTTATCCCATATCTTATATTCTTTTAAAAAGCAAATGGAAGATTAAAAGAAGGGTTGAACAAAAGCTTTTGATTTTCACCAAGCGGTCTTCAAGATTTGTCATTGCATTTATAAAATTTTGAAGAAAAAAATAAACATTTTAATATTTTCAGAGAATGGCACGTGGTCTTCAGTGCGATGTATTTACGTCATACCGGACTGATTATCCAGTTCCGGGTGTTGGCAAAGTTGGTGCCGTCTTTGAGTACTATTTCCTGTCTGTAAGTATTTTTTTTATTGCGCTTCTATAAAAATAACATGAAATACCGAATGACGGGAACAGAAGTTAATTTTTTATGTAATTACAATACTTTGTTTGCTAACTGTTTAGCAGACAACAAGAAAAACAAAAACGTTAAATAAGGTTTAATATCGATGGTATTAAAACAAGTTTAAATACAGTTCTATACTGAAGCTTCATATGACAAATAGATCTAACATCGGGTTGACTTAACCAATTACCAGATATACACGCCTTTTAATGCCTTTTTCACCCCCCCCCCCCCTTCTGTTGTCTCAAATGGTGAAATAATGCCTAGGCGCCAAATACTTATTTTTGTTTGAGAAATGTTGCTTAAAATAGTGACCACCTTTTCGGCGGCGTCCCTTATCCAAAAGATACATCAGGAGGTTGCTAGAAGGGGGATTTGCCCCCTTCGGTTTGGGGGTGTTAAGGGGGGCGGCAGCCCCCCTCATAGCCAAGAAAATTTTTGACTTGTGAGAGGCTAAAAATGACCCCAGGTTGATCATAAGGTAACGTGTAACCAACGCTGAAAAGCATTTGACTCTATCTCAATCCATTGAGAAGTTGCAGTACTTTGAAATCAATTTTGATGGGGGAAAAAACAACGCAATATAGTGATTTTTGGCAATTTAGAGATGTCCCCTCGTTGTCATGGTAAAAGGAAATTTAAGACTGAGCACATTACAAAGGTAATGGTCCAGTCAACATTTGTTCCAAGTTTTGTTAGTATTGAAGCAGTTTTTTTTTATAGTATTATAGCAATTTGAACTTGTAACGGGAGACTTTTCAATGAAAACAGCCATTATTCACAAAATGCTCAAATGTTCGACTTTTCGCTTGGTGGAGTCGCAAGGCGAAAACACGAATGACACAAATCAGCCAACTTAATACATTTCGCTTACTTCTGTATACATTCTATAACAACAACTACATGATAATATTTTTAGATATAAGTAAAATTCATTCTTACTGATTGATTTTTATGACCCCAAAGTGCGGTCGTTTATCTGATGTCACTCACCATCCAAATACAAATGTATTGCTTTTCCATTACAGAAAGGTTTTCAAGAAGAACCAGATGACGGAAGTTCGACCCCAGGTGATGTCCCTGTTTACCTTGAAGTCACTGTTCCTAATGTAAGACTTTCATCCTATTAATCAATCTTAACAGATTGCTATACTTAATTAACTCCCTGGATTTTTCTTGACCAACCTTAGGAACCCTTCGCAAAGTAATTATTACCGAGTATGAAGTGATATGGGTGACCAAAGGTTTTATAACAAAGGAAAATAAAAGTATTCCTGAATCAACTGCCTATTTGTTTCCATATTACGACAGAAAGCCTTATTGTAATGTGGTGGTGGTGATGGTGGTGGTGGTTGTGGTGGTGGTAGTAGTTTTCACTCCGAATCACGGCAGTAAGCCACATTGCATTAACCAGAGCACAATTCAACTACCGCATCGTTCTTGGGCAAGCTGTCAAGCAGTTTACCAGTACTAGTTGCCTTCACTTTCGCAAGGAACAGAAACTTCTGTACATACCAGAACAGAGGTACAGTGCGAATGACCGTAGAAAGGATTTCATGATCAATCACAACGAAAGTGACCTGCGCCTTCCGGTTCGAACCCGGTTTACCTGATTCACAGTGCAATACCTTTTAAACTAGCCTGACGGCTTTTGTAAAGTAGTGAGATATATATTGTGATTTAAACGTGATTAAATCCACCAACATTGTCTATCTTTATACAATTTATACTTCAACTTTCAAACGTATGATTTTACTAGTTTCCATTAAACAGACTAATGTTACAAACGTTCTCTTCATCAGATAAACTATCACGTGATTTATAACTTCGTGGACTTTGATGAAGAACATCCAGACATATCGATCTTTGACGTGTCTACTTGCTACTCCGAGTCTTCAAAGCTACAGTTCCAAGTTCGATTCCCTGGCAAGTAGACGACCTATTATGGTCTATGTTTTTCTATTTTCTTCAAACATTTCTGACGCTTTAAAGTTAATGCTTGCAAAACGTTACCAATCAATTTTTATCACTCTCATTCCCTTTTAAACATATAGGTGTTTGCTTCTGAAATGCTGCTCACACAAATGTCGTTTGTTATTACAGACTGGTCTTCATGTATCTGTAATATAAATGAGCCGTGTCATGACAAAACCAACATAGTGGTTTTGCGACCAGCATGGATCCAGACCAGCCTGCGCATCCGCGCAGTCTGATCAGGATCCATGCTGTTCGCTATCAGTTTCTCTACTTGCTATAGGGTTTGTAAGCGAACAGCATGGATCCTGATCAGACTGCGCGGATGCGCAGGCTGGTCTGGATCCATGCTGGTCGCAAACCCATTATGTTGGTTTTGTCATGACACGGCTCAAATGTATATCAATGTGTAATGATAATAATGTAATGATTATTGATAGATATTTTGAACGTATATGACATTCTAATTACATTAGATAATGAATTGATGTATCTTTGATAATAATTTTGTTTCTGCCGTCATAGGTTCATACAAGTCTGGTACAGCTGGTCAGATTATTCTGGATGCTCAGCGTTATTTCTATGAAAACATGAATGTGAACCCCATACGTGTCCAAGACGTTCGCCTAGACTATGACAATTCTCAGATCTACATCTCCGCTACACTCATCGACCGATCCCCTTTTGAAGGTTATAAAATCAGTTATATAGCTCTCTAAGTCTTTGTCAGGTTATATGGCCAAATATTACCGCTGTAAAAATATTTTTAAAATAATTATTTAAAGAAAAATTACAGCAGTCATGTTTATTGATAATAAAAACGTAACGTTTATCCAATCAAAATCGCAGTTACAAACATGGAGTCTGACAAAAAATATGGCTGCTCGGTTTAAATGAGTTAAAAACAACCGTAAATAATTGATTAGGTTTATTTTTATTTTTTTTTTCAAAAAATGCCATTTTTTTTTAATTTTACCCATGAAATATGGTACTTTACTCGCAAGAAAAAATAATTGACAACATACAAACTTATAAACAAGATTACCATGATCGTTGTTTTGAATTCGAGACATGAAAATAAGTAACTGCAACAATTTCTGCTTTACTGTAAATTTAAAATTTACTGGTTTGTAACGGATGACGCAGGTGGACTTTCATCATGGTTGCTTTGTTTGTCCCCGCTTTTTTGAATTGATATGTTTTGTAGGAGATGTGAATGTAATGTAAATGTATACGTAACTTAAACAGTCAATTTCAAAAGATTTTATTTTCTGTATCAACAGCACAATTTACTTATTTGGCTGGAAAAGAAATAGAGAAACACGACGACAAAACAATACCTATTGCTAATGCCGCTAACTTCACGGAATGTGCGAGGCTTTGCGTGACTAACAGTGATTTTGTGTGCAACAGCTACGATTTCTGTCGCCTTGATCCCCAGGGTATCTGCCGACTCAGCAAACTACATATTGGGGACGGGGCAGCAGTTGTCATCAACAGTACATGTGATCATTTCTCACGTAAGTATTTGGTTTTTGTAATTGTAATCAAAACGTATTGTTTGACAATATTGACCTGAGACAATTGAATATTCGTTTCTAACGGATTCCAATAAATCTTAAGGTATAACGGTATACAGGGTTAATGGATAACAGAACACTTGCCGAAATATCCTGAGTGGCAAGGAGTAAAGATTTCATTTTTGATATGAAGGTATACATGTAGAAGGTTCGAATGTAGTGAAACATTATTTTAATATTATTTTAACTTCATTTTGATATTGGCAATAATGGTCAATACGTATTAATAACATTTCACGCGTAAAAATGGGCAATACAATGTGGAAATATTTTAATATCAATAAAATACAAGAATAGATTTTAAATATAAATCAATTAATTCGTAAATAGCTTGTGAGGTTTTGGAATATTTCGACTCTTTTTGTTTCAAACATATGTCGAACGAATAATCGTAGCGGTATGCCTTCATTTAAGCTATTGATTTATTGACCGGCCGATCGATCGATCGACTTTTTATCTAACGATGATTGATTAATGGCATGCTCGATTCAATCAATCAATTGATTGATAGGGTTTGATATCATATTTCATATTTTAAGTTAAAATTATTATAAGATCAAACCTAATATCTAAAGGTCTGATCTATTTGATTAAATTGATTTATTTGATTGATTGATTGATTGATTTATTGATTGATTGCATTTTACACTAAATGATTATATAGTTTAACTTTATATTTGTAGGCACTGTAAATGGGCCGGCAGCACCGGAGCCCTCTATAAATACGGCTTACAATCTACTTCAACAAGCTGTATATAACGGCCAGATTCAGATACCCGTTATAATGACAGGAATTGACCAGGTACACAATAGTACTACATGTATTATTTATCTAATTCATACTTTACTTGTAGAACTGTATTTATTATTTCAAAAAAAACAATTGCGTTCTATTAAGGACTGTACATATCAATTTATAAATTTACGTCTATCGTTTATCATATCAATTTATTAATTTACGACTATCGTTTATTTTCCGTTGTATTTAGGACTTTGCTCGCAATTGTGTTGTATTTAGGGCTGTTCATATAAATTTATGTAGCAATTGTGTTGTATTCAGGACTATTCATTTATTTTTATTTAACAATTGTGTTTTATTTAGGACTATACCTTTGTTTTTATATAGCAACTGTGTTGCTTTTTGGGGCTCTGGATATTAATTTATAAAGCATCTGTGTTATATTTAGGACTGTGCATACTAATTTATTTTGGCAGTTGTGTTGTATTTAGGGCTGTAAATATTAATTATATAATAATAAATATTAATTCGCATAGCTATTGCGTTGTATTTAGGATTGAATATATAAATTTGTATAGAATTTGTGTTGTTTTTAGGACTGTATTTATTAATTCATATAGCAATTGTGATGTATAATTATTTTCTCTATAGACCATTAAAAGTCTATATGTGACTAATAGATTGCACAGCATTTTGACATCTTTCATCTTTTAGTAGTTGTAGCACCGAGTATAGTATGTATATCTGTATACGGTGCTATATTTGTGTTGTATTTAGGACTGTAAAAATTAATTCAAATAACATTTGTGTTGTATTTAGAACTTAGAAAATTATAAATAGTAATTGTGTTGTATTTAGGACTGTAAAAAACAATTCATATAGTAATTGTGTTGTTTTTAGGACTGTACAAATAAATTCATATAGCAATTGTGCTGTAGATCTACTTAGGACTGTAAAAGTTAATTCATATCACAAATGTGTTGTATAAGGACTGTTCATATAAATTTATATAGTAATTGTGTTGTTTTCAGGACTATTCATTTATTTTTATTAAGCAATTGTGTTTTATTCAGAATTATACATTTGTTTTTATATAGCAAGTGTGTTGCATTTAGGGCTGTGAATATTGATTTATATGGCAATATGACATTGTGATTATGAAATAAATAAATACATGTAGCGCCAAGTGCATTCAATAATGTTAATTATACATTACTTTTTATCATTATTTCATTATATTTATAATATTATTATGCTAAAGATTGTCTGTGTAATGACGCGTTTACATTATGACGTCATTGTATATTTTAGCTGACGTACACGGCCGTTGATGTTGCTGTTACATTTGGTATGTTCTTTGGTCAACTTTTTCTCTTTTTTTCTATTTTTATTTTGTTGTGAAAATCTTGCACTGTATGCAACACATTTAACGATTAAAATCGATTTCTTTAAATAATCTTTTTATGTAAAACATTTTCAATTTTCCGCCAACGTTTAAAAAAAGACATCACAGAGTACATGGATGATATTTTGTTGAAGTATCTGTAGCAGTCATCTTTGTTGATTTAATATGGATTCTTGGACAAGCAGACTTATATTGGGAGATCTAATACATTATAATTTGAAATAATTCGAAACTCTTGTCAACAGAAGAAGAATTGAATGTGTTCTTGAAATCATTTCATTTTGTTCTAGGTTGGCTGTCACCTAAACCTTTACCTAAACTTTCGGGACAATTTTCGTATCATGAGGAAATCACCTTACCAAGTCAAAAAGCTGTTTTCAACGCACATGTGAGACAAATTTATATGACGTTTTGATCGTATGATCAATAATAAAACTCGTTATTTGTTTTAAAATTCGATGATTATGTTTTACAGACTGTCTGACTGAAAAATAATAAAAAAAGTAGACAAATGTTTAATGATGTTGTAGAACTTGTATAATTGCTAAACTGTTTTATATAATTATGCTCTGTTCGTTATCTTGTTTAATGCTTATGTATTGCTGTGATTATGTCATGATGGTCTTATAAGCCTTATTTGATTAAAATAAAACAAATGTCTGTCTGTGTATAACTGACAATAAAACATATAAAACCGTTTATAAGTTTATAACAAGTAACAGTTCACATGCGTGGGTACGGGCATGGTGCCCAATGAGAAATTGATTCCATCCATACGTGGTATATTTGCAGATTTACTACGACTCAGATTTCAAACTTGTGCGGTATGATTTAGTAAACACACAGCCCAGTCCACCGTTATTCACATCAGACCCAATAACTACCATACATGATTACAAATCAGGTAAAACAATTATTTAATAATAGCTGATGAAGTTAACACGTTTTTCCTTAATTATCATTATTTGTTTCGCAAAAGGAATTTGTAACATTTAGAGCTGTTATACATGTATAGCACAATATTTCCTGCAGAATGTTTGTGTTTTTTTTAATTGATTTAAGGGTACATTTGATTTTTAACCCCTTACCTGCTAAATTTGTTAAATGCTTCTTTACCATTCTTTGAATCTAAAACAATTCATTTTGAAAACGAATGTATGGCTGTCCTGGCCCTACGCAAAGACTATGTCACATAACAATCATGTCTCGATCAAGTTTATGAAATATCACTATATTCAAAAAACAAATCATAAATTTGTTCTAGGAATGAAAGGCATCCATCAACAACCTGACCGACTGGTTTGAACATATTTATTGAAATTCGATAGCGAAACAAGTTCTTGCAACTTATATTAATCACTTTCGAGTCCTCTTACTGGAACCAACCGGTACTGGTGTCATATAAAGAAACATTGTCGTGACCCGATTAGGGATCAAACCCACGATTCCTGGTTGAGAGGGAGACACCTTAACCACTAGACCACCGTTTCCCTATCTGATTTACTTTATGAACAGAAACGTATTATTGTGTAAATGAAAAGTATGACTAAAACTCATCCGATGGGACAAATGAATCACGAAATATTGTATCTAGAGATATGAAGAATAAATAATAATTACAGGTTTAGCATATACCCTCGACAAGAAGGAAGGGAACTGTACTATAGCACCGATCAACAACGCCTCATTTGACGTTCATACCAGTACTGGTTCGGGATTCTCCGTCAAAATGAAGAGTCCTATAGATTTATTCTATCTTAACGGAACTTATCGATATGCTGGACAGGTTTGATTTCTTACAAAATAAAACCTATTTATCTTTTGATGATTCTATATTTGTGTAAACATACATTAAGTAATCATAAGACACTACTTTTTTAAAAGATCAACAAGAATGGAAGGAGAAAGGCCACCGTCTGTTACTCACTGAACAAAGGTTTTTCTCAGAAATATTCTATTAAATGATTTTTGCAAAGTGCATTTTTTAAGTGAACTTTCATTACATATGATACTAGAATTTTGTATTCCTATATTGTTTTCTTTCATGCTATAAATATCAAAGAAATTAAGTCAAGAGATGTCATATGCAAACAAAGTCAATTAACTTTCACAAGACAATAAAAACATAATGATGAATCAGAGATGCTTTTGCTATTTTAGCGGACAATTCGTGGTATACTCTGTGACGTATTTGAAGACAAACGGACAGACTTCCGGTTTGGTGCAAATCCACTTCCGCAGTCAGCTGTCTTCCAGTTCTACTTTATGTCGGTAAGAAAGCACAACGCTATATGAAAATGTTTGGGTTTTTTTCTTCAGAGAAATAATGTAGCATTATATGGTCATAAGTTTTTTTCTTTTAAATTGGTTACTTTATTGCAATATTTTCTTAAGATATATCTTTTAGAATAACAAATGTATTTGAATTCAACACATGTTTAATTTTTTATACAGATACTTTTTTTAGATGATAGTACTGTTACACCTGACTAGATTTTCATAGAATGTTTGTTATACATGTATACACTATAAAATTTAGAATGACTGGCAAGAAATGTCGGAAGATGACGGTACGGCAGTCAACTCCCAGCCGATTGCGCTTATTGTCAGCTCCTCCAAGGTACTATGTTAAATATTTATTGTCCAAATAAAACGTGATATAAACGTGAAATAATGTATGCAGATTATGAAATAATACAAAATGTTGTTTTATCTCTTTAGGGAAGTCTAGTTCATTTTTCATTTTTCTATTTTTCAAAGGATAGCTTGTTTGACCCTCGGTTGAGGCGATTTTTTTCTTGACAGTTGATCATGGCCATTCTTATCGTATATTGTTTCTGACTTTTGATTCAGAAATAAGTTGGTATTAGTAATCAGTTTTAGTGAAATTGGTACTTCCTAATTACTAAGGTATCCTAGAAAAACAAACAAATCACCTATTTAATTAATGTTTCGAATTTTTGTTGTTGTGGCATTGACTCTTCATCTTGAGAATTAGAATATGTATAGAGGATATTTAAGTTTTTCTATAAATACAGGATTTATTTTCATCGAGTGGTATGAAAATAAATATTTTATGAGTGGCGGTAGCCACGAGACTTGAAAAAACTTGAATTTTCTGTTTATTATATACAATTTTGTCTTTTTTGACATTACAACTTGAAAGATTTTCACATAAATTTTGTATATTAGCTGAATTTAGAAGACAGCAGTCCGTCAAGATATCTGTGAAAATACGGAACATATGTGTCACTGCAGTGAAAAATAATTTTTCACGGTGAAAATACGGAAAATGAATATACGCATTTTATTCCATCAATTTTCTTATATAATAATATGACGTTTTAGAGGAGTTAGTCAAAGTAAACGTTACGTTCACTATGTATATTGTTTTTTTCTTTTTATGTTTCAGGGACAGTTCACACTGACATATAATTTCTATGACTTCAGCGAGCAACATCCTGATCTTTCTAACTTCGATATCCGAACATGTTATGTTGGCAATCAGATTCGGCATTTTCTGATCAAATTTCAAGGTATCTGTCTTGCCTGTTTTATAAATTAACTAACTAACCAACGAACCAACCAACCAATGTATCAAACACCAAAGGAAGATAATTTTGTACAATGGCATTGTCCTGATTTGAATTTAAAACAGCTTATTTTGAGTATGACTCGTTGGTATCAAAAGATACTTGCTACAGAGTGCACCGATATAATATAAAGAGTGATCTCACCTGGTCTTTGACAGGTGGAATATCCATTTATTATTGTTGCTTGTATTCAAAGGGTTAATAGTTACTATATAAAAGATAATATCAAAGTACTACATGTACTTGTTTTACTTCCGACTTTTAAAGTTGGAAAAAACATGTTCAACATTTCGAAAATAATTTGAGCCGCGTCACGACAAAACCAACATAGTGCGTTTGCGACCAGCATGGATCCAGACCAGTCTACGCATCGGCGCAGTCTGATCAGGATCCATGCTGGTCGCACACCCATTATGTTTGTTTTATCGTGACACGGCTCAATTTTTTTGCTTTGTAGGTGAATACCATCCAATACTGGACACTCAACTAAAACAGTTCACAAAGAATGTACAGGAGCAGCTTTCATTTATAACAACGGCGTCTTTCCTACGCTTCCAGGACCCACAGATCACATATACCGATGACGGTTATGTTTATTATCTGGCCACCATGGTAGAGCAAGCACCATATCTTCGTGAGAAATAATTTTATAAATTGTAATATTTTCTTTAAACTGGTGTCTACAGATATGTCCACATTTAATTGTTTAGTGGTTCAAATATTCCATTGAAAAGTCGTGCAGAAAAAAATTATCGGTTTATCATTACTCAGCTAAAAGTTTATGTCTTTCAGTTTAAACCTATTTCATGTGAGTTTTAAGGATTTCAATATCAAATAATTTACAGTGAAATATATAGGCTAGCTTGGCTCCTGGTCGAGGGGTTAGAGTCGATGACTTCTAATCCAGTTACCTCTCTGGGGTGGGTTCGATCCCCGGGAGATGCTTTGGTAGTTTAGCACGGAGGAAGGTAGTCTAGTACTGGTGTAACTCTCCAAGAATGTTGGTTAGGAAACTACCCGCCTATATGACTGAACTACTGTTGGGAAAAGGAACAAACAATTGGCCCTGTACCGGGGACATTGTTATTACATAGTTTAATGGTTGAGGTAAGAGCAGGGCTACGTACCCAGTTTCAAATTATTCAACTCTGTGATCAAAGACGATCTTGATTTTCGTAAAAGGTTTGCACAGTTATAGATAAAGTTGGCAGTTATGTGACTGGTGTAAAATGTGATATAATATCGAATGTTGATACTGACACGATGGTGTTTTGTGTGGTTCAATAGTGAATCTATTAAAACAAATACATTAAGGTTGTATTGTTTGCATGTTTGTAGTTGCTTGAAATGATTAGGTTTTATATGTATACTGGCAACATATGTATAGTGGCAATAAAATAAAAGAAATTGATTTTTCTTGGCTATGAATTGTTCATACATGTGTATGATAAACATAACAAAAAATAGTGTACACAGTCATAGAAATGATTTTGATCGGGTTTTTTTCCAGTTGATTTCACAAAGACATCTAACAATGTAGCAATATACGCTGCGGATAAGACTGTCAATGATGTGGGCAGTGACTTTGACTGTGCAGCGCTCTGCAGGAAGGAGGATACGTTTGATTGTGAGAGCTTTGATTATTGTGCAACCGCCAAGAAATGTCAGCTCAGCAAGAAACATGGTACTCAGAGTGGACAGGGAACAAGACTTAGCCAGATCTGTGACCATTATTCTAGTAGGTGTTTAAACCCCTAACCACCATAAATTCTTAATGTGCTGTTTATAACATTAAAGGTAGTCTTTCTGTATCTTTATAACATATCTTGTAACTCTGTGTATACAACTTAGTACAAATTTAAATCAACCATTAACCGGGTAATTTGTTTTTATTTGCCCTGCTTTATATTTGAAACAGTCCATTCAGTCCATTCGAAATTACAGGGATTTCAATTTCAAATATGAAAATTGAGCTACAAACAATAAGGAGCCTAACCAGACTGCCCTGAACTAATGACAAAAGCTACTAATTTTCGATTTCAGCAGATAAAGGGTTAATAACTATTCACTTTTTTATTAACTCGCTAATATGATCAAATAAAAAAGAATGATATAATAAAATAAAGAAACATGTCTTAATGACATTCTTATCTCTTTTTCCACAGAGACGGTGAACAATGTAGCACCGGTTGAGCCTACAATAAATACAGCATTTATAGTAATAAAGAATAACGTGTATGAAACGGGTTTTAATGTTTCTGTTTACGACAGCCAAAATGGGAGAGTAAGTGAATCATTGTTTTAAAACCTTTATAGATATCAGCAGTCGTAAAGCTAGTGATGGGAGACATGTTGAACATAATAATAAGATATATGTGTAAATAAGCATAATTGTAAAGATTCTGACACTATTTTCTTAAGCATAATGTACTTGGTCAGTAATTATTTAATTGGACAATACTGGCGTAATATAAAGGGACATTGACACAAATAGAGCTCGAACCCACGAGCTAACAGACATGCAGACGCTTTAACTACTAAGTCAACAAACACACGTTATTAATTGGGATGTGGCAGTTCTGTTCATAAAATATTCATTTTGTTGACCATTTCAGTTTAAATCTATGTCTATAAAACCCTATTTTTCTTTCAGAGTGGACATTATCATGCAGTGTTGTTTGACGCAGATATTCTAAGACCCGATAGTCAGGCCACAACAAGTAATTGACAATTTTTGTTACACTTTTTGTTGTTTAAAGTCCACTTTATTTTCTTAGTATAGATTAAAAATATTTCTTGAGATCCGGCTGTTAAGCTTCAAACGTATTTCGCGCATAGGTTGTTGTGAGTGTTTGTGTTTTTTTAAAATTTCTTTGGGTTTGTAGATGCACCAAACCGTCGCTTTTCTAAAGAATACCTTACAAATACACCCTGATTTGAGAACACATGTATGTATTTTGTCTTATTGAATTCTTGCAGGCGAAAATCTGGACCATTTCAGACCTACCAGAAGGAAAGTGATCATACCTAATGCAGACATTCAGTTTAAAGGTCTTTCTGTTGACCAGTGTGCGTCCAGGTGTCTGACCGAGCCGACAATTGACTGTCAGTCATTCGACTATTGTTTTGATACTGGGAGATGCCTACTCAGCAAAATGCACCCTGACCAAAATATAACTCTCGTGAAAACTATGCTGATGTGTGACCTGTATTCTAGTAAGTTGTTTTAAAGAAAGAATGGACGAAATACGAATGTTAAGTAAAATAATTTGCGTATTCTTCACTGTATATGTGAGCATATCAAAATCAGGCCAACCCGTTAGTATACAGTCTAAACTATCAAAACGGGACTCTGTGTTTATATTTAACATATTCAATATATTGGATATACAGTTTATTAAAATAAGGATGGTCAATACGAGACCATGGTATGAGAATCTGGAACTTGAATTAAGTTCTAGTGAATTATTTTATGTCACACAATACTCGCAGTTTGAAAGATCCAAACCTAGAAAACTCCGATGAGCATATATACAAGTTCTATATTAAAATTCCTCTGATCATAGGCCATATTTTGATTATCTGTGTATTTTTTACGATACATTTTTTTTTATCTAAAAAGCGTTTTCTCTAGTTTTCTTAACATGAATTTTGTTTGCCACAAGGACAAAATATTTAGCAAATAACGAAACATTTCATTTTATTTATTGATTATTTTATTTCTGATTTTTTTACAAACCAGGAAAATACCTCGACAGCTATACGTCATATCCAGGAGTGACCATTCAGACTTCCGGCGACGCCAAGATCAGCAACATTCCCTTCGCTGACTTCTGTGCTCAAAAATGTTCTACGTACACGAGTTTCTCGTGCAAATCATTTGACTATTGCTCTACATCTCACACGTGTATTCTGAAAAGACAACATATACTGGATATGTCAAAGACGGTTCCCAACACGAACACGCTGTGTACACATTTCTCAAGTAAGTGATGCAATGAGAAATTCTTATAGCGGATGAATTCATAATGTATGATGATTAGGTTTTATGATAAATTATCCTTTAAAAGTGAAGTCTCCCTTTTTATTTAATCGTAACTCTTAACTTTTAAAATAATACAAACTTAACAAAATATCTTTGATTCAACCTTTCCAAAGTAATTCATTCTTTTTTCAAACTGAAAATTCTTGATATTAAAAACCCGTACAGATTAAGAATGTCCTTATGTTTCTCGTTATTTACATGAACTTTGTGTACTTATATGCTAAGAGTGTTAAGAATTTTAATATCAGAAAACAAACAACTACTTCAAGATCTAGGTTGTTCATGCCATAATTACTTTAACGTCTATGAATTTTATGCGCATGGAACTTTATTCAGTACATTACCACTATGATTTCTTCTCCGCATGGAACTATATTCAGTACATTACCACTATGATTTCTTCTCCGCATGGAACTATATTCAGTACATTACCACTATGATTTCTTCTCCGCATGGAACTATATTCAGTACATTACCACTATGATTTCTTCTGCGCATGGAACTTTATTCAGTACATTACCAATATGACTTCTTCTCCGCATGGAATTAACTCAGTACATAACCACTATGATTTCTTCTGCGCATGGAACTTTATTCAGTACAGTACCACTATGATTTCTCCTCCGCATGGAACTATATTCAGTACATTACCACTATGATTCCTTCTGCGCATGGAACTTTATTCAGTACATTACCAATATGACTTCTTCTCCGCATGGAATTAACTCAGTACATAACCACTATGATTTCTTCTGCGCATGGAACTTTATTCAGTACATTACCACTATGATTTCTTCTCCGCATGGAACTGTATTCAGTACATTACCACTATGATTCCTTCTCCATAGGGAATTATGTTCAGTCAATTACTACTATGATTACCAATCATTAGTTAATAACCAGTATGATTTCTTTCCATATATAATAATGTTTGGTAAATTACCACTATGATTTCTTCTTCACAGAGAATAATATATTAGTAAATTACCACTATGATTTCTTTCCCACAGGAATTATAATTAGATAATTACCACTGTTATTGATTCTCCACAGAAAGTTATGTTTTGATAAATTACCATTGTTTCATCTTGACAGGGAACTACATTCATGATTTTAACGTTGCCAAGGCCCAAAATTTACAAGTTACAGCCAATTTCCTAAAAGTGAACAACGTAACGTCAAAAGATGCTTGTGCCAAGCTATGTATAGACAACAGTGGGAATGGTTGCCTGGGATTCGTGTACTGTCAGTCCTCGTTATCATGTACCTTTCTAAATACTAGTCCTAAAAATAGCAAAAACAGTGTAAAATCTGATCCCAAGTGTGACTTATATACCAGTAAGTATTGATGCTTAGTTTTTAACCCTTTCCGCGATAATTATCTTAAACGGAATTGTACATCTTTCATTTCGGACAAAACCATTCATCATTTAGGGAAAATTTCAAAACTTGTACTGAATAAAATGTGCTGACAGTAAAAATTTGAACTTAAAATGATCTGTACTTAATCCGTGATTTTTTTAATAAATTTTACCAAGTGCAAAATATATGTTCCCGGCATGTTGACCTCGTTGTTCCGGATTATTTTTGCAAGTTAAATCGCAGATTTATCTATCGTTTCTATTCGTTTTTGTGTAAAATGATAACAAAAGAATAGCATGTCATTAGTGGTATGTAAGAAAAAAAAACACCAAAATGTTTGAAGACATACTTGTTAGGAGAGATAAGATTGACTCTTAATCTGTTTTTTTAAATAGCTTAGTTATAAACGTGTATATTTACAATTTCGGTCCACACAACAATCTTTGGCTTGAAATATTCGCTACACTGCAAAAAATATGTATTCAAATGACAACGGGTACTTCTATGAGACCCCTGGATAAATTTCCTGAAAAATTCTTGTCAGCACTTTTTGAAGCAGTTTTTGTAAACAATTCGTTGATATCAACATAATAAAGCGTTAAAACGTTTACGCAGTCCGGAAAGATCGTCCGACTTTGCTGGAAAATCTTTTGGTTGGTAAAAAGGTTAAAACAAATCAGCCAAGTATCTGGGTTAACTTATTCATGAATTCGTCGAGGTTATCTCTCTAACAAGTGTCTTCAGGTTTATCAGTTTCCAGTATGTTTTGTATTGGTACAATTTTAGATTTAAGAATAATCGAATGAATATAAAACGTATAAATGTATTTTAATTGCATTTTAAAGTAAACCTGGATGCCTTTGTTTTTTCTTTTACCCAATAAATTGTAATGGTTTAAATAGTATATATATATATGTATTTATAGGAAAATATTTTCCAAATGGATCACCGTACGGTGCCAACAGCCAGTCACAGCAAGCCGGGTCCTCGTCTAGTTCTGGCTATACTGGAGGTATATAATTTTTTTTTAAATCTTTTAATTTTTTATTTCACAAAAATACCGTGAAATATACTTATAATAAAACTATAAGAATCTACATTTTAGTCTAATGGAAATGATTTTTCCAAAATGCGCATACCGCTAAAAATCTGGAAACAAAGTGATCCCTCGGAAGCATTGATCGCAACAAATTACATGAAAATTGCAGACTAGGTTTGATTGAGTCTGTACAAGAGGTATAATGAATTAGTGCAACATCATTCACGTCCCCTAGCACCGGATTGTGCGGTACTCAATTCTCAACACTTAATGGTGTTGTCATCAATGATCCTGAAGGATGCTAAAACTATTATTCAGATGTTTCGTACAGGTAAAGTAAATAAATCTTTATTGTGATATAAAGGTTGTAGGTCCACTGTTTTGATAAATCATCAATAATTATTATTGTAGCTGACTCAAACAATCCATGTGTTATTAAGATACTGGTTAACTTGAACACCTTTTTAAATTTTGGACTATGTGGTGTTGGATCACGCTGAGTAGCGCGCTTTTTGTGCTGTAAACTGTTCGCAGTATTTATGCTTGTTGGCCGTGCAATATATATGAACGTAGTTTTTTTTACAGAAACAAGTTCATAGTTTTGTTGTTTAGCAACCTTTGTGTTATAACGTATTACATATGACTATTTTATATTTAAGGTGCAATGGCTGGTCTAGCAGTGGGTATGTTAATTCCGGGCATGGTGATTGGTGCGGCATTGTTATATTTCATGCGAACCAAGCGTCTGGTCGAGGAGGAGCAGTTAAGGATGGGCTTCGTAAACATGAGTCACGATGACGATGAGCCCGACGGAATAAGATCTCGGATGGATCATGACGCGCCTGCTCATCAAGTGCAATATGACTCACCACATTAGGTTATATGAAATCTTGTGATAATATATAACACTATATACATTTAGTTATATGAAATAGTGTGAGAATGTCTAACACCACATTTAGTTATATGAAAAATATTGTGATAATATATGATACTACATTTAGTTATATGAAAATAGTGCTAATGAATACACAATACATTTAGTTATATGAAATATTGTGATAATATATAAGAATACATTTAGTTTTATGATATCTTGTGATATGCATAACACTACATTTTAGTTATATGGCGTAAAACATCCTTAAAGGATAATGCAAAGAAAATGGATGTTATAGTTATCATTATCGGTTGAAACAGCGAGACATGTATTTGTATTACAGAATTAACTTCAGATGATTATAATTATCATAAGAAATTAAAGCTTTTTTATGTTTTCCCTAGAAAGAAGTAGGTCTCAATGGGACTTTAAGAATTTAAAGAATTTAAAGAATGTATATACAGTGTCTGGAAAATTGTTGCGGGTATTTGATTTAATGAATTGTCATTTATATGATTTGTGTTGTATAATGTGTGCTTTGTTATCTGATAATATGTTATATCAATAATAATATTGTACAAATGAGCCGCGTCACGACAAAACTAACGTAATGCGTTTGCGACCAGCATGGATCCAGACCAGCCTGCGCATCCGCGAAATCTGATCAGGATCCATGCTGTTCGCTTACCAACTCTATAACAAGTAAAGAAACTGATAGCGAACAGCATGGATCCTGATCAGACTGCGCGGATGCGCAGGCTGGTCTGGATCCATGCTGGTCGCAAACGCACTATGTTGGTTTTGTCGTGACACGGCTCAAATGTGTTTGCATATGAAAAAGAGTGCTGTAGAAGTATTGTGTATGAAATAAAAATATTATGACGTACAAATTGTGTTGTGATTGCATTATATAGCGTTATGGAAATAATATTTATCATTTAAGGTAATACAATCGCATAGATAGGAAATCGGTGGCCTCTTGGCTTTACATAATTAATCTAATATTGAACAGAATGATTAAGTTTACAACAAGTTTTCAAGTTTCATTAATACTCAGTTCATGACAATATGAGTTACAATATATTTACATAATAAACCATATGAGCCGTGTCACGACAAAACCAACATAGTGGGTTTGCGACCAGCATGGATCCAGACCAACCTGCGCATCCGCGCAGTCTGATCAGGATCCATGCTGTTCGCTGTCAGTTTCTCTACTTGTAATAGAGTTGGTAAGCGAACAGCATGGATCCTGATCAGACCGAGCGGATGCGCAGGCTGGTCTGGATCCATGCTGGTCGAAAACCCATTATGTTGGTTTTGTCGTGACACGGCTCATTATATAACATGCATAGACATATACGAGGGAAATACATTTTGTATTCCATATGTTTTGTATTAAATAACAATAATGTTACCAATATTATATGCTTTGTTATAGAGATCCGTCATAAACTCAGATAATATGATCTAAAAATTTCGTTACTTAAAATATTGTTGTTGAAGCGTTACATACCGGTATGCGACACATTTTTACAAGACACAATAGATGTGACAAGTGATTTAAAGTAGATTAAGCAGAATTTGTTTGTTAATTTGTAATTGTTATATTCAATGGGAAGAAAAAAAACATTGATTTTTTTAACAGGTGCTTGATGCACCACAACGTAAAAAGTAAAGTATTTAGAAGCTACTTTCCTTTACTTGTTAAATCGTTGAGATATAATATCTAGAAAATGTGCTTTTTCATTAATATACATACTTTATTCTACCATATTATAGGATCCATACATTTTTGGCTATTAAATAGATAGCATATGAATTACTTTATCTTATAGATTGGCCCATACGTTTTCGGCGTTTGAATGGATATAATTTTAAAGACCATACAACTCATCCAAAATAGGTTCACTTGAAAAAACCGAACCGTATAAATTATCATTTAATTTGAACGCAGTTCTTAAGCAAAATCGTGTTGAACGTACAATAACCAAGTAGTTTTTAAAAGCTAGGTAAATGGTCGGCACTTAACACTATAAATAAACAAGTTAAATGAATTTATAAAAAGACCACATGGACAGCTGTTAAGGTTCTTGGGACACCAGGACGGAAAGTTGGTATTCATTTTACGTTGTAAAATCCTTTTTGTTAACTACCAGTCGGCTTCTCAATGTCTCAACAGTACTGGATTAGACCAAGTAAACCGACTTAAAAGTGTTTAAAATCAGATGCAAGCACTCGTTTACAAATGCACTGAAATTGTTATAAAATAAATATGTTTTAACTAGACTGGTATAGTAGTGGGTTTTTGGTGGGATGGCTTTAGTCAGAATTACTTTATTCTCCTTAATCTCACTTTAAAGATCCTGTATGTTTTATTAAGGATTTTACCACACTTAAGTGAAATATATATAATTATGTATATAATGATGCTTGTAAAACAATTTTCAAACATCGAAGAAAATTTAAAATATGTACTGTAAATATTTGTCAACATTATATGTAATTATTAAAATATATGCATTCATTTCTTGTTGAAAAAATTGACTATGACTTTATGAAATATAAACTTCTAATTACCTCCCTTTATTAACATGAAATGTAAATTCGGTAATATCTTTACAAATAATGCTTTTTGGAACTTACTATATTGAAAAATTTGCATTTGAGCATTAAATTTATGATTTAAAACCATAAAAAATTTGTGTCACATGGTCTTTAAGTGACTCGGACATTGAAACAAGAAGACGTACTGTTTTAGTTATTATAAATTTCTGAAAAAAACTGTAAAATATAAAATTTGCTTAAATTATGAATTACTTTATAATATAAGTACGACAGACAAAATCATTGTGACACGGATCATAATTATGTTCTTGACAAGCATTTTTATAAACTGGGTTAAAATTGAATTGATTGTTTTTATGTTGTTTTTTTTTAATTAAATGGATTCAATTTCTCTATTTATTACAAAATATTAGAAAAAAAATCCTTTAAATTATATCAATAATTGCCTTCCTATACCAGACAATACTTTGATAGCAAATAAAGGCTATATTGACGTTATGTACAATAAATTCAATTAAATGACATTGTTATACAATTCACTTTAAATTTAATTTAACTTGAGTTTTAACAATATCCAGCAAGACTAGCATAAATTGTAACCGACGGTGCCTAACAACCTTAAATACAAAAAAATCAACTGATAAAAGAAATGATTGGACAAAAATTAAGTACCCGGTTTGGAAGAATATTAATTTATCTAACACAAGATTATCGGCTATTTTATCTACCGCTGTTCAGTTATATTTATTCTTTAACGGAATAATAACAGGGACAGAATTAATTGAATTGTAAAATCGATAATCGGCTTCGTAAATATTTTAATACCTCTGATATTGAATCTTTTTTTTTCTAAATACATAAATACATACTGTACCTTGGACAGTCAATAGTGTTATATAGCGAGTATGTTTTAAAAAAAATAACAATTTAAAAAAAAACAGTGGATGCTTAATATAAATTAATACAGGTGATAAGACATTTTTTTTGCGTGGAAAGTAATAGAAAGTGTTTGTTGGAGTTTTATTTCTATTGGCAACATGGAAGTGGCAATGAGACATGACGTCACGCTTAGAGAGGAATATTTACTGAAAATATGGGATAATTATATACAAGACAACTTAATTGAATCGACACCTTGCAAAGCTGCAATCTATGACTTTAGAACCAGAAGACCAATTGTTGCTAGTGACAAATTCTATCTTTTCGAAAACGAGGTTTATAACATAGCGGAGGGATTGAAAAATAACGACACTGTTTTCAAGGACGGTATAACTATTCAGAATCGACATTACATGGTACGGTTCTCAGACGGTAAGAACGGAATTTACGCAACTGACGGCGATGACGGTTGTACCGTGTGTAAAACGTCAACGTTGTTGATAGTCGGCGTTCATGATGCACGAGTGAAAAGTGATGTTTGCAATCTGGAAATTATGAAAGTTGGTGATTATTTTAGAAAATTGGGATTATAAATCTTTCTTCGAATATCATAGAAGTTGACTACACAATAAAACAGTAGGAAGTTTTTAGACTAGAGTTGGATTAAATCAACAGTGGCGGATCGGTTTTGTGGCCATGAACATAATAATTATACGTAAACGTAGAGCAAACGTATATAATTGTCTGTATATTTGTATTCTAATATACAAATTTTCATCGAACAATTGCACATAATAGAATCTAAACTTTTAATCGATATTTTCTACTTTACTGTAGACAGTTTTCTGTAAGCTTCTTACTTTATATACATAACCTATTGTATGTCAATTCTTCTTAAGCCTTACATTTGTGAAATTTCATTTGTGTTCTTACAATTCTTAAGTATAAAAAGTAAATAAAACTGTTAAATATTAAATTGGTTTTCAATTCACTATTGTTCGTTTATATGAAAACTTTCACAAAAGCAATCCAGTATATTTGGTATCGTAACATGTTACGCTTATCTTATATTACAAAATTTGATAATCTTATTATACAAACTTTGGGTTATGAGTGTTAAGTTTAAATTTTGTCTCACTTAAAGTCTGTCATATTATAAAATTTATGTAAAATGAACAAGTACGTTACATATACCTAAAGTCTTTTTTATCTTTATAATCGATTTTTTTTAGCAAAAATTTGTAATCTCATGATCGCTAGCCGCATGGGTTCAAACCCCGTCAGGGTCAAGTCGTTGTTTCCTTGAGCAAGAAACTTTACACTCATTGCTCAGTACTGGTTGGTTTCAGGAACGGATTCGAAAGTGTCTCTATAAGCTTATAGCTTTCTACACAATCGAACTAAAATAAATAAATTCTGTATAAACCAAAAATTTGTTATTTTGCGACCTTCAAACTGATTTTATAGCAACAAATCTCCCGTATTCAGTAAATTAAAACACAAACAAACGCAAGACTAGACGTCTATTTCGTTGGTTTGCAAAAACTTGTCTACTCAGCATTTACTAACATTTATGAGGCCTAGACAGTAGTTCAGTTGTTGCCGTTGACACTGGCATGACCATTAAAACCGATTAACAGGTACATAGCATTGCTTCCTTTATAAAAGCCGGGGCCGATGGACAGCACTTCAAGTTCCATTGTAAAACAAAACTGTAAGATTTCAATTAGACAGCGGAGCTACGGCAAATATTTTACCTAGGTTGTACGTGCCAGACTGAGAATGGAGAAAACTAACATTACGTTATCAATGTATGACAAATCAAAAATGAAAGCTTGTGGTACGTGCAAATTAGTTTTGAAAAATCCCAGGACAAGAAAACGATACGAGGTGCGGTTTATCGTAATTGAAAATGATACGGCTGTTCCGTTATTAGGATCTGAGGCAATTCAGAAAATGGATTTAATTAAGATACAATATCATAACATTTGTCCCGTCAGTGTTGATAAGAACTCTAAATTAACTATGGAAGAAATTGAAACGAGATATTCGTCGGTATTTGAGGGCGAAGGACGATTTCGGGGAAAACTACACTTGGAATTTGATGATACAGTGAAACCTGTGAAAATGCCACTCAGAAGGGTTCCGATTGCAATGAAAGAAAAACTTAAAAAAGAACTAATAAAACTTGAGAACAAGGGCAAAATAGCAAAAGTTAACACTCCAACAGACTGGATATCAAGTTTAGTAATTGTGAAGAAAAGATCAAATGCGCTTAGAATATGTATAGATCCAAAAATTTTGAACACTGCTTTGAAAAGAAATCATTTTCTGCTACCAGTGGTTGAAGATGTATTGTCTGAACTGAATTCTGCAAAAGTATTTTCAAAATGCGATGTTAAAAATGCTTTTCATCATGTGGAGCTAGATGAACAGTCAAGCTATTTGACAACATTTGAAACGCCATTTGGACGATATCGTTGGCTTGTTATGCCATTTGGTATTTCACCAGCACCAGAGTACTTTCAACAATACCTGGAAAGGAATTTGGAAGGGTTACCGGGTATAAAAGCGATCGCAGACGACATAATCATTTATGGAAAGGGTAAAACTTACGAAGAAGCATTGTGCGATCATGACAACAACGTAGTGGAACTACTAGAAAGATGCCAAGAGAGAAATATTAAGCTAAATAAAGAAAAATTTCAGTTGCACAAAACCGAGATGTCGTTTGTAGGACATTTGCTGACAGACACAGGGGTGAAACCTGACCCGTCTAAAGTAGATGCAATTATGATCATCCCAAGACCCACAGACAAGAAAGCTGTACAACGTGTTTAGGCCTCGTTAACTACTTAACGAAGTTCTTAGATAAACTAAGTGAACTATGTGAGCCGTTAAGACAATTGACGCATAAAGATGCAGTATTTCAGTGGACAGAAGTCCATGATGAAGCGTTTGACACGCTAAAACAGGCAGTGTGCGATGCTCCTGTACTACGATATTTTGACCCAGAGTCTGAAGTTACTCTTCAAACGGATTCCTCAGAAGCCGGTCTTGGTTGTGTACTCCTACAGAAAGGTCAGCCTGTAGCATATGCAAGCCGTAGTTTAACAAATGCAGAAAGGAATTATGCAATGATTGAAAAGGAACTATTAAGTATCCTGTACGGAATGACCAAATTTCATCAATTTACATATGGAAGAAAAGTTATTGTTGAAAATGACCATAAAGCATTGGAAATTATTTGTAAGAAAAGTTTGTACAAGGCACCAAAACGATTACAAAGAATGTTTCTAAAATTAGGAACATATGACTATGAGATTCGTTATAAGAAAGGCAAACATATGTATATTGCGGATACACTATCAAGAGCATATCTGACCAAGGACAAAGCTACATCACTTGAAGAAGTATTACTTTCAGATTACGAGAAAGAAATCGAATCCACTGATATGTCAGATTATCTAGCGGTGTCTCCTCAAAAACAAGCACGAATTAAACAAGCAACTGCTGAAGATTCAATATGACATCGCAAATAAAAGATTACATCACTAAGTGTGACACTTGCCAATCTTTAGAAAGAAAACAAAGAAAAGAACCATTGATTAATCATGATATACCGGATAGGCAACATCATCAGCGAAAAGAATGCATATAATATCGAGAATTTGATCCAAAATGAATATACCGCGATGTCCCTTATTACGCAGAAAGGGAGATAACTCATTTATATACAGGTTAAACATAATCGTACTTGTTACGTCCCCTTGTCTTGTACCTATGTTACATTTAAAATATTCTGTAGTTTAAATAGTACTAACATACGGAAGAGCATTAGTGCCAGGTGTATGTTTTTTATTAACTCGAAATTTCGAGTTACTAACTCGAAATTTCGACTTACTTATCTCGAAATTTCGAGTTACTAACTCGAAATTTCGACTTACTAACTCGAAATTTCGAGTTACTTATCTCGAAATTTCGACTTACTAACTCGAAATTTCGACTTACTAACTCGAAATTTCGACTTACTTATCTCGAAATTTCGAGTTACTAACTCGAAATTTCGACTTACTAACTCGAAATTTCGACTTAGTAACTCGAAATTTCGACTTACTAACTCGAAATTTCGAGTTACTTATCTCGAAATTTCGACTTAGTAACTCGAAATTTCGACTTACTAACTCGAAATTTCGAGTTACTTATCTCGAAATTTCGACTTAGTAACTCGAAATTTCGACTTATTAACATTACAAGAATGGCCAAAGTTATTAGTTAGATGGTATAAGATATAGTAGGCAGTGCCTTTGAACGATGGAGATGGAGAAACGGGTGCCTGGACAAAAACTATTGAAATTTAACTTAAACTTAGTAATGGCATGTACACACCCGACCTAAAAAAAAACAAGGCTTCCTTTAATTTGTACGTTCAGGCGTTCTTCAGACGTTGTATTGTATCCCATCTGTTCGAACATATCTTTTCACTAATCATATTCTTCTCATCACTGTAAAAAAACGATCCTATACTTCACGTGTGTGACATCTGAGGAAAGTATCGCGGCGTGGCCAAAATAGGGCGTGCTGAGGCTTTTGTCAAAATTGTTGGACTGACTATATTTCTTGTAAAATCGGATGCTTTTATATTATTCCCAACATATATATAACAACAAGTATCACTTTTATCAACTTTTATCAACACAATATCAAAGTATTAGTAAATAATGAATAATGTTACAAAAACATTATTAGTATAAAGAAACGTGACAGACTAACTGGCGTATACACGCCAATTAAAACTTATTTAACACATGATATTGCACAGTTTACAATAGGGTGGGTTTTGGACTTGTTGTTTCTCCACATGATGGTTGTATGTGTGCTTAAGAAAAAGAAACACCCGGTTAACACAGAAATGTGGAAAGTGTGATTTTACACCCCCCCCCTCCACAAAAAAGCGAAGGATATGTTCAGTATATGCGGACAATTTGACCCTATAAAATTGTTCTGTTAAATAAATGTTAAAGGTGCTCTGTCAATGTGCAACAGCTACACAAGAAAGAAAGTATCTTGAATTCAATCCTTGCTTTCACCGGCAACCAATGAAAGTCGTGCAATGTAAGTCGAAATTTCGAGTTAGTAAGTCGAAATTTCGAGTTACTAACTCGAAATTTCGAGATAAGTAACTCGAAATTTCGAGTTAGTAACTCGAAATTTCGAGTTAATAAGTCGAAATTTCGAGTTAGTAAGTCGAAATTTCGAGTTAGTAAGTCGAAATTTCGAGTTAGTAACTCGAAATTTCGAGATAAGTAACTCGAAATTTCGAGTTAGTAAGTCGAAATTTCGAGTTAGTAACTCGAAATTTCGAGATAAGTTACTCGAAATTTCGAGTTAGTAAGTCGAAATTTCGAGTTAGTAACTCGAAATTTCGAGTTAATAAAAAACATACACCTGGCACTAATGCTCTTCCGTAGATAAGAGCTTTTGTTGTGCTTTCATAAATGATAGACATAGATCAAAATAAAAAATATAGTGTTACTTATTTGGAAAGGTAGAATTTTGTAGAAATTATCAATTTATTTCTGTATTTTCATTGCTTTTGAGCAAAATTTTTTTGTTGTTTTTTTCTTTGCTTGATATAAATTTCTCAGTCCATTTGAGATGCATTCTACATGTATGTCAACTGAAATAAAGAAATAGGATGAACGATATAGAACCTTGCAGTGCTAGAGATATGTGGTATATAAATATTCTACCTCACGGAAGTGTTTTCCTATTTTCGACATTCGATCTCTTTCTAAAACATGTAATTATTCATTTGGATGCGTAGCAAAACTACAGAGTACCGTTTGGATGATGAAAAGTACGAAGAACGATGGTAAAAAGTCGAAACCAAGATGATAAATGTTGTTGATGTGAGCTAAAGTTTACTAGAAATTTATAATGTTGTAAACTTGTTTTGCCAGATAGAAGAGTTAAAAATAATGGTGTACAAGTATTGTAAACATGTATCTGAAATGCTAGTGGGAAAGACAGACTTGCAGTTACTGACAAAATATGCCCGGTGAAATAGTGAGGTAGAAAATGAAACATAAAACCGAACGGTCAGATATTTAACAATTATAAACGGAAGTGGTTGAAATCCTATATCTTTATCATCATGTCTTGAATGATATTTTCTAATTTCTTATATGAACACCTCCAAAGTCATCGATGTTGATGATTCCAAGGGTAACTTTTTAGCGTCTTTTGACAGTTTCCACGAGTACAAAAATCGTAAATTGTCCATGTTCAAGTACGAAAGTAAGTACGAAAGCCATAATTTTCACTTTGTCGAGACTGAAACAAACTATTAGGTTCAGCCAATAGTGTATCCAGATCTTTTTTGCATTTTTTCACAATTGTTACGAAACATGTGCATCAATTTTCTTGTAATATGGAAATCATGTTTGGAATATTTTTTGTTGGAATACATTCAGATAATTAACTGCAGTAAACATTATGTTGAAATCTATGGAAGCCATGTCCAGTTGTTGTTTTTCTTTTCTTTTCTTTTTTTCTGCATCATCAAAATTCATCATCACAATTTACTTACTTATACAGCAATTTAACTCAAGCCTTACTCAATGTGCTTTAAAGCGAAACGGTGATAAGTTATGATTCAATAACTGTTTGATTGACTGTTTCGAGCAATTTTATACTTTTGCTTTGAACTCCGCTACAAAATTTCAGTACTGACATAAGCATGCTTGGCACGAATGTTGTGTGTTAAGTTTAAAGCCTGTATTCCTGGACAGATTTCTTTAGAAGGTCATAATAAAGTCCTAGAATCACAGTTGTGCGAGTATAATACTTTGTCTGATAGTCGTTACTTTTTCCATTGCCAGAGTAAAGGGACTGCATTTTGCATCGATTTCGGCACGAACTGCGACAATTTAGCCTTTGTTCTATTCTCATTAATTAATCGTTTAATTATTTTTTTTCTTTCTTTTTTTTCTTGTGCTTTGCCACATATAATTTTTTTATCTTCTTGGATGCAATTTCGGTACGAAATACTTCTAAAATTACGTTGCTTGAACTTTTACCAAATATTAAATTATATGTTTCTTTTTACGTTTTTCACCAAACAACATTTGGATATGCTTTATTAGAACATCCGATAATTCTATTATCTTCAATAAACTATAAAACTTAAATACTGAAATAAAACTTTAAAAAAATAGGAAAATTATGAACATATTAAATGTGATATAGCAAGTTAATCACATTGATTATTTTAGAAATACTGTAGACCTACGGAATACTGTTGGAGAATGAATTAAGTCAACCTTCCATTACAGTAACAAATATGATACTATTCATAAATAACACTCAGAAGGTTTAAAGGAAGACATTATTTTACACATAGTTACATATATTAGTTACAAAGACAACATTGTTACTTATATATCATGAATTATCAGATGCAGGTAGCATATTGTCACGTCGTCTTCTCAATTTCTCTGCTAGTTCTTTTTGAAACGAATCTTCAAAGTTACGCGGTGAAATATTTACTTTGGACTCGTTCGAAACCGCCATTTGTTCCTTCTTTACGTGTCCATTTTGTGTTTTTGAAACATCGCTACTTGGTACCTTATGTCCACGTTTCATATGGACCAGTTCTTTCTTTTTATGAAAAATAAAGCCCCAAAGTTGACTTGTCCTACTCTCACGTCTTCTCACTGGATTTGTGATATTTCTTTGCTCGTTGGTCTGGCCAGAACTCATCTCGCGGAGTTGTAATATCTCTGTCCTTTCCTTTCTCTCAATGTGCGCCAAAGGTCTCTACTTGTTCGTTTCGGAAGAGGCTTCTTCAAAAGCTTCTGTTGTTTTTGGAGAATTTCGTCTGAAATAACGGTATATTCATTATTTTCTTTCACGCCTGCTTTGTCATTTTCCATATCGATTATTTCTGTTTTTTTATTTGCCAACCTTTCCCAAAACAGACGACTTTTACTAACTGGTGGAATATGTCTGTCACTTTTTGTTGTTAAATTGATATTGCGCCCATCTTCAGTTTTTGTATTGCCATTTGAAAGAACGTCAATCTCAACTGTATCACCGTCATTTGTATTGGTAACATTTTGATTTTGTACAAGTCGATTAGTATCATTAACATTAGCATTGTTGTCATGTTGGTATACTTCAGTTTGGTCATGACGTTTATCGCTTTGCTGATTGCTATGGTCAATTTCATTAGACGATACAAAGTCAAATAGTTTAGAAATTTGTTCGTCTGTACCAATAAGGTCTTCGGACCGTTTTTCTCGTTGCATTTGCAGAAGATCTAGTTCATGAATAGAGTCGTGTAACTTTTGAACACCTTCCGGAATACGTTTACTTAAAGAGACCCGCGGTAAACCGTACACAAGATACACATTGTCCGGCAGTATATCTCCACTGGTACCTGAGTGACTTATATTTCGTCTGTACAGTCTTTTCATGTGATTGCCATGTTTCAGTCCGTCTGGATGTCTGATATAGGGCGCAGTAATACTAGTTAGAGAATGTGAGTAGTCATGATTGTCTTGTCTCGCGGTGATCACGCGAGATAATTCCTCGTTCAGATACATCCGCCACATTGACCATCTATATAACGAATCACAATTTGTTCTGTGCAGCCGGATTCCATTTTCTTGACCTTCCTCTTCGATTCTTTTCATCTGCAAAGAAGGCAACGACAGACAAAAATCAAAGGACTGATTAAGGCAGGTTTTAAATTTTGAAATATTATAAATACTTGTTCAGTCATTTTAGCTCTTATCCTTTAGAATAACCATTTCATTCAATCCCCCCCCCTCTCAACAGAAACTATGCCATGCCACTGTTATGATAAAGGTAAGTAACTGGTGCAGATTGTTTTTATTAATTTTTGGGAAGATAACGCGTTAGGTTGCTGTTGAAAAAGAAAAGATAAAAAAATAAATTAGTATTTTTATGAAACGCCCAACGTAATCGATTCCTCTATAATACGAGGGGTGATCCAGAAATAACCACACTTACTCTCTAAAATATTTATTCTTTGCGATTTTTGCATGAAGTCTGTACCAAACATAATTCAATATAAACTGATTCTGTTGGAAATTAAAATATTATTCTTCAGATGGGTTCCGTTGTTTTAGGCGTAGTCATGGAAACACACTAGCGCAAGAGCGGGGGAAGTCATTTTTCTTTCACAAATTGCAATTTTATAGCTTATTTTGAACATCTTTCGGACTTTGCATTTTGGAGTCAATTAACGTCAGTTTGACATGACGTCATTGACGTCTTTTTATCAAAGTTTCAATGTCATAACGTTTTCCTCTATCAAACAACAAACCGGACATCATCTCCGCTAGTGTCTTGACAGTGGCGTCACATCAGTATCCAGAACAGCGCAAAATTATTAAATTTTATTGCAAACTTGGTTATCCACCTACAAAAACTTATGAAATGAAAGCACAGTCATCTCCTGGAAAGATAGTATCAAGAACACAAGTTTCTTAATGGTATCGGCGAGTAAGTCAGAAGTGTGTGGATGTAAACGGTGATTACCTAGAAAAATGACAGAATAACCTTAGGGTGACGTCAACGTCGTCAACGTTTATTGGATGACAGCCCCGCACACGCGGAATATATAGTGTGTTTCTATGTATATGAGTGTTGTTTGTTGCCATAATGCATTGAAATTTTCAGGAGTCATGCATTAAACATTGAAATTAATGTCAGATATTTTTTTCGGGATTTTCTCTTTGTCAGTTTCTAAGTTATGCGCCCAGTCCGGTTATTTCTGGATCACCCCTCGTACATGTAGTTGGAGTTTTGTTCACTTTCAACTGCATCGAAATATAATGTTTGTGTATTGGTATGTGCAAGAGAAAATAACGATATAAGACGATAATCTATAGCCCTCTAATGAAAACACTTTAGACTATATTAGTAATGGAGCAAAATAATAGAAATACCTTCCTGTCTTTATGTTTGCTGGTCATTGTTATTTATTCATTTCCATGAAAGGGACATTGCAGGCGCCTGAAATAAATAGTAAGGTTTCGATTTAATAAAACAGTGCATCTAATTCCCGGATTACATTGATCTTAATATTCATAGTAAGGAATATTTTTTACACGTGAATTTGCTGTTTTGCAAAAGGACGAAAAAAGAAGTGATATTATACAGTTATTTCATATGTGATTTGGGAACACCTCGGGCTAACAGTTTGACTGTTCCCAAATCACATAATTATGATATAACTGTATAATGTTTTACCGATGAAAGTTCATGTTTGGTCTTAACAAGTTTTTTATTACTTGGTATTAGATCGATCCGAGTTTGAGCAATCGAAGTTTAACTATAGTTTTGATATTCCTGTACATCTTGTGAAAATTACTTAATTTGAAACAATTAATAGAGTAAAATGTATTTTATAAAGTAGATCAGATCGATAAATGAAACATACTTTAAAAGAATTGTTTTGTTTTTTTAAAAGATAATACAATACTTAAAGACGAAATTAATCATACCTATGTTTAAGTCCTAACTCAGCCAGTGCCTTCCTCTATCCTTAACAGCTTATTTTTATATCGGTCATCTAATAAAAGCAATAAAACTAGCAATCAAGGTTTCTGGTTATCAATAGTGCGTCATAAATGGTCGGCAATTCAAGTTATAATCGATAGGAATATCATTGACAGTAACGTAGCATCACTTTAATCAGACATAATTTAATCCTTGACCTGCTGAATAATTGTTAATCGATTTTCTAAGTTTTGAATTTTCGAACAGTCCTCTCATTGGATTTCAATTTGAAAATACAAAATACAAAAAAAAAATATTACAGCCCGGCTGAGTGCAAGTAAGTGCAAGCTGGCCCTGACTCTATACTGGTGGCAAAGGCTGGTCAGGTCACGTTTGGTCCCTGTATGTTAATTAAGGGTTAATAACATTGTTAAAGTGACAATACTAAAATTTCATAAGACGAATAAATGACAGCTGAAACTCTAAAAATTTTGAGTTCACGTTTATCTTACCTATATTTACACGTTTTTAATTATTATTATTATTATTATTATTATTATTATTATTATTATTATTATTATTATTATTATTGTTGTTGTTGTTGTTGTTGTGAAATGTAATATTTTTATTTTTTGTTATAACATCATGAATATTACTTTAATTGAACACAATAACAACAACTACATATCTACCCGACCTTTGATATATATCAATGTGTTTTGATAACTCCAAAATCCAAACAGTGTATTTCCAACATTATACTTCAAATATATCCTCTACCAATACTAGACGTTCTATAGGTTACGTTAGATCCCTTTTTCTATCCTGCACTTAAAATAATTTGTTTCCGGACAATAACATCACGTTATCTAAACCTATGTGTGGCTTATTAGAAATCCAAAGATATAAACAGTTTTAATTTTCCGTCTCACTTTAGTCTATTTATCAACTTTTATCAATACTTTTCTAGGTTACTCCCTTTTATAATTTTAATAAGGAATTCACTACAGTGCAGTGTAAGCTATTTTCGTGACGTGGCATATTTTAAAGTCTCATAGTATAATATCAACCGATATATTTTCTCATACACACATACTGTATTTAATTCATATATCCATATATATACACACATATTAACATCTGTTCATTCAGCATTGATCTATGTTACAAATATAAACTGTATTGTTTTCCTTAATGGTTTTAATCTACCTATTCACAAACACTACAAATATCAGATTTCCTAACTGGAGCACGAAAAAGTCTTAAAAAATATGACGATTAAAAGAAAAAAAATCTTGTATATGTAGAAGGAAAAGCCTAAGAAAAATGGAAATATAACTTTATGTGTAGCATTCATTATATTGAATAGACGTTATCTTTTTAACGTTGTTAACGAATCTACTTTAAAGGACTGCAATAGGACGACCCACCCTTTCTCATTGTAAAATTCTAATCCAACGGACACGTTGTCATCTTAGGTTATCTAAAATTTGCAACATCTCTACCTTACTATTCTACTTTCAAACTTTAAAATTAGACGGTTTGTTAGATGCATTGTCTGTAATGGGAGATACTAGCCCCGGTTGTTGTTGCGTAAATCCGACAAACATTATTTTTTTCATTAAAATTATTGTCGAGATAAAATACCTGATCATCGCCTTAAAATTAATATTAACTTCTCAAACAGATTGTATATAAACCAAAATACCCTATAAAAAGATAGATTAGCGTTTTCAAAGACAGGTCTTTATTCAGTACTTTATCATTGATATATATTTAGATTAAAAAAAAAAAACATGATGGATGTAAAGAAACGCAAGTGCACGGCGTACTGGCATAACTCCAAAGTTTCCATATCAGTATCTCTAAAAAAAGGCGCACTCAGTATAAATAAGTGGGAATTAAAAAAAGTTAACCCCGTATTTCTCTTAATATAACAGACGGATTATTTGTCTCGTGCGGAACGAGGAAAGCAGACGTAATAAAAAGCGGACCAAGTCTATATCAAAACAAGATTTATCTGAAAATAGACAGACACCATGTCTTTTCGGGGTAAAATTCAACATACTGAATGTTTCAAACAGACACTTTAGTCTCAGAAAGAGATGCGCGGGGTGGAATAACTTATCTAACTTATTTAAGCTATTTATCACTTAAACTGGGGATATTGGGTTCGAACACTCACGAGCTTGTTTATTTTAATATGACACAAAACACATACGTTCCAGAAAATGGACTTTAAAATGGTGCAATTTACGTTCAAGTTTTCTTGAGTGTTTCTAAATATCTTCCATATCTTTACCAACAAACCAAAACTATACATCATGATGGCAAATAACGCAAAGCGCCAATATTTTTGAAGAAATGTTATGGTTTTTATACATATTACTTTACTGGTGCAAATCGATTGATTTAGTTATCTATAAGATTCTGTCATGCATGATATTGATTCATAATCTATGAATGTTGATAAAAGGAAGCTGTTTCTTCTGTTCTCCTTTTTGTAAAGAACAAAAAAACCTTTACAGATAACTCACTTTTTCCAAGATTAGATTTGGTAACAGATTAAGTCGTAATAAAGATCAATATAAATATATTATTTACTTACCTTAATGCATTAGATTACACGATCCTGTCTGTGTACAATTCTCAGATGTAGATGTTATCACCAGATATACAGGAGACATTCTTGGGACAAAAATAAGTCGTGTTTACATACCTGCGATGTTTTCCATTGATTATTGGTTCCTGGTCGCATGTCACAGCTGGTAAACAATATCCTCTCGTCGGAAACAGGTTGATTGTACATGCTGTAACGCGGTTAAATGTTATAGGATTTTTAAAACAATTAACTTTCCTGTGTTCTAGGATTTAGCGTCTGCTAATTTAAAAAGTGTATCAGGGATACAGTGTCAACTTGTAGCAAGACTAATCAAAGCACAGAAGGCGCTGCATTTGTTTGGGTCTCAGAATGTCAGAAAAGTGAAGGTTGTGAGATTATAAACCAATTTGTTTTTGTATAGTGCCACCAATGCTTTCCAGCGTTTTAATTGTAGTAAATTGGCTATAAGACTAATTGCAACACTGATATTCAATTCAATGTTTATTTGAAAAAAAATGAGTTGCCTTACTCTAGACCTCTCGCTTAATGAGCGAGCGCGCAAACCCCTCGGCCGCGGTGAAATTATATGTTAACGGCCTGAAGAAAACCATATTTTACTAAATTAGGGTTTGTAACCCTTATTATTTCGACGGTAACTGTTGTTTAACACAGATGTAAATAATCATGGAGCTTACTATAAGCATGTTTATCTATAAAGAATAAAACAATATTAGAAATCTTCGACCATTCGGGAACTAGTTTGCTTGAAAATTAATGCGCCTTTCATTTGACCATCTTTACGCAGTGATCTCCCCTGAATTTCTCGGCGTTAGTGTACATATAAAGGGAAGTAACCGCTTCAAAAAAGCGGACTACTTTCGGCATTTGCAATTAACAGCATCAGGGTCTGAAATTTCTCTACCATTATTTGTTTGGTCTGACGACCCAAACAAATAAAAACGGGAATTTAAAAATTATTATATTAGAATATCACTCTGACGGTATAATAAAATGATGTTCCTCCCACATCCTGCCATCACTAGGTTCCATGACGAGCTTCCAAATTATACAGATATAGGTTATCTTCTAAAATCACAATATAATACATGTATTAACTAAACAAAACAACTATCAAAGTATTTGGGAGTTTTTTTATTATATAAAGGAAACTTACTGGTTATATGGCATGGGGGAAATTGTGAACAATGTAAACACTTTTTGCAGTGCAAATACAACATATATGTGTACATGTATATTCACATTGATCCATTCTAATTGAATATATTATTCTTTGATCGTTTTCTCTTAACAATATCGGTATATCATTTTCCTCAAATTTTCTTTATATACCTGTTCTTGTTATACATATCGCATATATCTAACGATAACGAGGGATTCAGTCTTGACTACCAACACTTCAGACGTTAATTTTCGACGTCATCAAAACCAAAGTTTTACAGAATGTTCTGGTGAAAGTGAACCATTGGTGCATGAAGACACTCGTTCGGGTCAGTTGTACTACGAGTCAATGTCACTGTACTTCCGGCGGTAACTGTGCGGTGATCTCCGCAGAAATGAATTCTACAAAAAGACACAAACATGTTGATTTTTTATCTATGACATTCGGGATTTCACACTTATATAGTACATGTATGCGCCCCAATTACACAAAAAATAGTTCTGATGTTTATTGTAATAATCATAATTACTGGTAAGATAACATAGTGCATAACAGAGTATGTCAAGTTTGATTGAAATATTGTTTCTTTCCATTTCCCCAACATCCTTGACGTGTTTGTTTCATTTTTTCAGGGTCTTTCAAATATTCGAAAAACCCTGGTTGGGGAGATAAATACAATAACAATTAATGACTAGCAAAATGTAAAGACTGGAAACAAAAATATGACCTAACTACATATATATCTCTGTAAAGAAATAATTATGTTTCATCTATCGTTCAGCTGTTTGTGAATGTTGCACAGCTATACACAATATAACCTCAAGTTTAGTGGAAATACTAATTCCCCTGTTATAACAAACCCAAAAGTCGCATAGGAGCCCAATAGTAACATAGGGCTTCTTAAAGTCACATTGGCTTGCGTTTCTCTGCCAAAACAAATAAAAATGCAAGTACCTTCGACCATCCTCTGCAGACGTCACTGTGACCTTGAAGATAGACACATAATGTAGATGGTTGTCACTGGACCAGAACCAAGATAACAAGGAACCTGGTCGCATGAACGTCACATTCATTTTTGCTACGTCACCAATTCTTTCACGGTCCACGACAAGAATGTCACGTTGCTCCCCGGAGTGGAACGGAGTAGAACTGTAATCAAAAATATAAACTTTAGACATTCTGAAAGTTTATTTATTCAGACATTTATGTTTAAGATCCGGTTCTAACAGAAATTTGCAAATATTTTTAGCGACAAGCACTCAGATAATATGATAACTCTCTGATGTTGTTAAACCTTGTTTGATCATTTTGCCTTTTATACATAACTGCAGCATCATGTGAATACAGTAAATTTATTCGTTAATTGTTTGTCTTATGTTTGCATGCGAAATCTTTTTTATACAGAACTAAACGAGAAGCCAACATTAATTCTGAAATAGTTTGAACTGTTTGAAACACTTTATTTTTTTTTTTTTTTTTTTTTTTTTTTTTTTTTTTTTGAAGCCCAAGAGGTAACTCCGTTTATTGTCCCCGTAATAGGTAAAATAGGGTCGGGGATCTATCCACTATTTTACCTTACAATTTATTATAATGTTACAAAAACATATTACGGGCATTTATATCATACATTATTTTATAATACATACAATACACAGAAGATAAATGTTCTCTTGGGATTCAGAGTATTTCATTTCCACTAAAACTGGATATAATATACACAGACTGTAATATGTTTGAACATTTTATGCCTCTTAGAGGCATCAGTCACATATACAATAATATATATAGAATGTGAACAATAATGTACAAATCTTCGACTTCCGTTTAAAAAAAAACAACATGGCGGCAAATCTGTTCCGAAAAGAAATATATTGGAATCGGACCAACCTTAGCAAAAACCTTAAGTCATAGTATTTTATGATATAAGTTATTGCACAATTTGTGTTTATTCTTTTTAGGCTATATGATTAAATTAATTTACATATGTGTAGAATGCGATTAAATTTATTTTCATATGTTTAAAAATATTTATTGCGTGGAACCACTTCATCTCTTACTTCTGTTTGACAGAAAATAAGGGATGGTCCCCATACTTGTCTATCCTTTTCCCCTCTTTTGATGCTAAAACTATGTACTTTGATTGAAGCAATATTTGACTTTTTCAATTTCGTGTTGAATTTTATTTTTTATCAAAATAATTCTCGATCAAAATATTATCTTAAGAGAAAAATAATTTGCACATACCTTCTGATTGTAACAGAGTCCGAGGCGTTGTCATGACCAATCACGGTAACAATAACTTGACCAATGGTTGGTTGCATGTGTCCGAACTCAACTTCCACGTGCTGGGTGTGCCCTTTACATCATTGAAATTTAATAAAGTATTTAACCTGATTCAAGACAACTCTCTAATGAGCTGAAAAGCTAACTTTATAATCAAAATACATTTGAGCCGTGTCACGACAAAACCAACATAATGGGTTTGCGACCAGCATGAATCCAGACTAGTCTGCGCATCCGCGCAGTCTGATCAGGATCCATGCTGTTCGCTTACAAACCCTATTACAAGTAGAGAAACTGATAGCGAACAGCATGGATCCTGATCAGGCTGCGCGGATGCGCAGGCTGGTCTGGATCCATGCTGGTCGCAAACCCATTATGTTGGTTTTGTCGTGACGCGGCTCATTTATTCATATTAAAATACTGTTTTGTCTATAAAACAAAAGAAAGGCACATTATGCCTCAGAAATGCTTTCATGTATATTTCTTAAAAGTTTGTTTAATTTTTAGTATTTTACAGTATCAAAAAAGTTACTCATTGGCCAATTACCAGAAACATTTTTTTTTCATCTGTTGCTTTTTGGCAATTAGAACAGTTATAGTAAATAATTACTTTGTATGAACGATTTTTACACTTTGCTATATTTACGACAAGTCATTTCTTATCCCACTTTCTTCAGGTAACAAGCATCTAACATTCTCTAAAAAAATTATTTAAACAATATAAAAATCAAGTTTGCTTATGCTCAGTGGTCTGCAATTGCATATCAATGAATCATTGACACATGCATTATACAAAAGATAAAAAAAACAAAATTTACAAGGTGAAGTTTTTCAATGTAACATAGGGTCAAAACTTATTTAAGTGTAAATCGTGCATTATCGTCAGCATTAAGGACACTTAATACAAGTATATTAAGTTCTTGTCGTATACTCTAAGGTAAAAGCGAATTTAACTCTTACCACAGTATGGTCCGCTTCCTCGGGTACGTAGGTAGAATTTTCCACGAGCAGAAGACCTGTCCGCGTTGTATCCCATTTCCGGGCACACTCCACGTGGACACGTGATACAGTTGGCAACATTGGAATCAAGGTCGCTGATGCTACCACAAGGGTGTCCGTAGAAGGAACAACTTGAACTGATGGACTCAGTAAAGAGATAGATGGACCGGCTATGACTGCAACTCAGCGTGTCCTCGGCGTCTGATAGAAAACATATGAGCTATGGTCATGACAAAACCAACATACTGGGTTTGCGACCAGCATGGATCCAGACCAGCCTGCGCATCCGCGTAGTCTGATCAGGATCCATGCTGTTTGCTATCAACTTTTCTACTACTACTCATATATACATAGTGTGCATACGTTCTTCTCATATTCGTGTGTGGTCGCTAAATCTAGGAGATTTTAGGAATAAAAAAGCTCTACAAAACAGCAGTATTTATAATATAAACCAAAAATATTCAATGACTTGTGCTTGCAAAATAGAAATATAAAACAAATGGATGTTCACAAAAAATCTAATTATGTACATCAAATTTAAAAGTACGGCACTACGCTTGTTGTCAGTTTTTCACTTATAATTAAACGAAGTCGTCAGAATGACTTACCCACAAGGCCATTATAGTATGCGTCAGACATGAGGTTTCGAACATTTTCCCTTTGACATCCAGGTTGGTTTTCTCCTCCGTTTGGATAGAAATCAATATGACCTACAGCCTTCATCCATCCAAAACCTACAAAGGAGTGACAATGTTCGTGAGAAAGAAGTGTCTATTGAACCAAAAATAATATATACAAAAACACGCTAAATCATTTACGGATCAGGTATCATGCTTATATGAGCCGCGTCACGACAAAACCAACATAATGCGTTTGCGACCAGCATGGATCCAGACCAGCCTGCGCATCCGCGCAGTCTGATCAGGATCCATGCTGTTCGCTTACAAACTCTATTACAAATAGAGAAACTGATAGCGAACAGCATGGATCCTGATCAGACTGCGCGGACGCGCAGGCTGGTCTGGATCCATGCTGGTCGCAAACGCATTATGTTGGTTTTGTCGTGACGCGGCTTATATAGATACATTGTATTACATACCAGAGACATAGTCAAACTCAGATCCATCTGAATGAATGATGTCAACAAACTCGGCGTCCGTCTTCTCAAGATGAACTAGAGGGTCCGTGTCTTTGAAGTCCGGCTCGGCCGGGTCCAAACCTGAAAATACAAAATCAAAACTATCATAATACCTTTGCCGTCATATTCTAAAATGTTCAGTTCTCTAAAATGTTATTTGAAGTTACAAATATTTATATTTACGATGAAGTTTAAACTGAAGGAATCAAAGATAAACCAGCACTATCCTTTAATTGCATTATACATTTTAATGCCATTCATATATAAGCGCCTATGCATTAAGTAAGGTTATTTCTTTTTGCCAAGAATATTTGGCCCACATGTTTTGTCCATGATTGCACCAATGAACTAATGATTAACATACCTGTGATCCTAGCAATCTTATGTAGTCCTGCACTGGTAAAAGCGGCGCCAGCATATCCAGCTACATGAGCACCGAGACTGTGTCCTATAATGTGAACTTTGTCAACAGACAAACCTGCGTGCGCACCCAGGAAGTTGATCAGTCGGACAATTTCCGCTCCAACAACACGCGTGTTTGCGGAAGCCTGTGAGTAGGGGAAACCTGATCCGTCTCCCCAGTCAACGGTAACGACTGTCACTGGCTCCTATTATATAAAAGAAGACATAAATATAACGTTTTAAATTATGCTACGATTGATTTGTAAAAATGAATTGATAGAGCAGACTTATCACACGGAAGCGCATGCTGTTGAACAAACTTCTCTACTAATTGATTATAACTGCAAATCGGCTCTTACTCGGCAGTAATTAGTGTAGCCGCTATTTCATGAAGAAACCAGTGCTGATATTGAAAATTGTGATTGGCATATTTTAATTAGCCAGGTCAGGTGTTTCTAAAAAGGCTGATAACACTGTTGCAATGTGAGGATACATTCAAATTTATTACATAGATAATGCACGTGGAGCTCAGCTCGCAGAGACAAATGTGAACACAGTAACTTTTTGATATCCTTTAAACTCTATGAAAAATGTTTATTATTAATTGCTGACAGTTTTATATTTTCTAGAAAAAGTAAGCAAAACATTATTTTGTTTCATATGACAGGAATGAATTGCATCAAAAATACTAGATATTGTTGAAAACTCATTGTTTTACATGCCAGATTAAGTAATTGGACCCCATCCTTGTTTGTACGTGACTGCTGGGGAAAAATAATGTTATGCTTAATTAAAGAGGTGACACTTTCTATATTTTTATCTGATATCGAGTTGTAAGAGCCGATTTGCAGTTATATGGGTAAGAGTCCGATAAGACTCCCTACGGTCGTCTTAATACGAACTCTTACCCATACATAATGTCGTGAATAAACCACTAAACCTGGCGATGTTTAACATAATAGTGTACTGATATAGTAGCCTTAGCGTATTGTACTTTCAAGTCATTTGTTCATTTTTCCAGTTTCGTCGCCATATGACGGTTTGTGTGACGGACACAAATGAGGAGATTCCGCGGCGGCAATGAGAACAGGCTTAAAATCGTTTCTGAATGTTATCAATGAGTGATAATGGAAATGCAGCATCTATTACTAGAATAGGCTTAAGCAAAATTCTGTCCCTATTTCTTAAAGTATTGGAATTCACAATGGTTGACAACTATATTCTTAGCTTTGACTTCTTGTACTTGCATATTCTTATGCAATCCTTACCCTTATATATGTATGACCATATAATCTTCATTTTAAAAAATTTGTGTCTACCAGGGAAGAATCAACTTCAACGTGGTTAAACCTTTAAATATCTGCTGGTATATTACATGATGAAAACGTTACTACGATTTTTAAACGTAAAGTACGAAAGACCGATGGGGACATTTCAACTTCATTAATTCTCGATTTCAGTTTTGCGAATTCACGCTTTCAACTTTACGAATTCACGATTTCAACTGCTCTAATAATCCACGATTTCAATTTCATGATCGTGAATTCATGAAGTTGAAATCGTGAATTCACGAAGTTGAATTTGTGAATTCGTGAAGTTGAAATTGGGATAGATAGATAGATAGATACTTTTATTTCCTCCAAAGATGAAGAGCATAACAGTATTTACAGATACAATATTTACAGTAACAATACATGTATAATACCATTTAAATATTATGCGATAACAATACAAAAATATATCATAACAAAAACGAAAAATCATATATATTGTGGGATCTATATCAAATCTCTTATTCTATGGCAAAAGTAATTCACACCTGTGTTTAATTCATTGATCTATTATCTAACAAGAAAACATTGCAACTACAAGTGTATCCTTAAAATGATTGTAAGCATTTCTCCTTTATATAGTATGGAAGCGTCCTAGTGCCAAACCTGAAATGTTTTTATGTCATAATTAGTAGATAGTAAGTGCTAATTAGTAGAAAGTAAGTGCTAATTAGTAGAAAGTAAGTGCTAATTAGTAGATAGTAAGTGCTAATTAGTAGATGCTAAGTCATAATTAGTAGACAGTAAATACAAATTAGGAGATAGTAAGTGCTAATTAGTATATACTAAGTCATAATTAGTATATAGTAAGTACTAATTAGTAGATACTAAGTCATAATTAGTAGATAGTAAGTGCTAATTATTAGATAGTAAGTGCTAATTAGTAGATACTAAGTCATAATTAGTAGATAGTAAGTACTAATTAATAGATACTATGTCATAATTAGTAGATAGTAAGTGCTAATTATTAGATAGTAAGTGCTAATTAGTAGATAATAAGTCATAATTAGTAGATAGTAAGACTAATTAGAACATAATAAGTCATAATTAGTAGATTGTAAGTACTAATTAATAGATACTATGTCATAATTAGTATATAGTAAGTACTAATTAGTAGATAATAAGTCATAATTAGTAGATAGTAAGTACTAATTAGAACATAATAAGTCATAATTAGTAGATAGTAAGTACTAATTAGTACATACTAAGTTATAATATTGTTAACACAGAATGCAAGCAGCGATTACAATATTATAACTTAGTATGTACTAATTAGTACTTACTATCTACTAATTATGACTTATTATGTTCTAATTAGTACTTACTATCTACTAAGTATGACTTATTATCTACTAATTAGTACTTACTATATACTAATTATGACATAGTATCTATTAATTAGTACTTACTATCTACTAATTATGACTTATTATGTTCTAATTAGTACTTACTATCTACTAATTATGACTTATTATCTACTAATTAGTACTTACTATCTACTAATTATGACTTATTATCTACTAATTAGTACTTACTATCTACTAATTATGACTTAGTATCTACTAATTAGCACTTACTTTCTACTAATTAGCACTTACTATCTACTAATTATGACTTAGTATCTACTAATTAGTACTTACTATATACTAATTATGACTTAGTATATACTAATTAGCACTTACTATCTCCTAATTAGTATTTACTGTCTACTAATTATGACTTAGCATCTACTAATTAGCACTTACTATCTACTAATTAGCACTTACTTTCTACTAATTAGCACTTACTTTCTACTAATTAGCACTTGCTATCTACTAATTATGACATAAAAACATTTCAGGTTTGGCACTAGGACGCTTCCATAATATAGCTTCAACGAAATCGAAACAAAAGCTTTTTAAAGTGGGAAACACCTTTTATTGATTTCTTAAAAATAATGAAGGGGAATTGGCAAAAAGTGCTAAATAAAAGTCATATCTTCTTCTTAACAGAAGATATAGTTAATATAAAGCTGTAGTTAATTATTTTAGTATTTTCTTCATTTATACAAAAATGATGAAAGATTATGAAAGGAAAACTCGATTTTATACAGTTTTGAATAGTGTAAAACTTTAATAAATAATTCATGAGATATTCTACTTATTCATAGAAGTATTTATATTTTAGTTTCCTAGCACTCGAGGATTAAATATATCATGGTTTATTTCTTACATAATTACAGATAAGACATACGTATCAGAAAACATTTCTCATTGGTACAAATACAAATTACAATATACACAACATATAACGTTCGAAAATGTATCACAATTCATGTCAATACATCATTTAATCTAATAAACGTAATAGTGATTTAGTTAATGAGAAATTTATGAAAATGCGTTCGTCATTTTTCACGGCGAGCCCCATTATAGTTTTACATTGTTCAAGAGGACAATCTGTTATTAACTCACGGAACCAAGTAAATCCCAGACAGTCTATAAGCATGTTCCACAAATTCTCACGTTCTCGGGTATTTCTGATACAGAAACAGATCTGGTGTAGGATAATATTTTCTGTATTAAGTTTACATTTTGTGCACTGACGCTCATATTGTCGTGAAACCAATAAAGCGATGTTTCTTGAGAGTTTCCTGCAGATATGTGATAGGGAAGGAGTGTTCCTGCTTACGAACCATAGGCTCGAACACTGGCTAACACGAATAAGGTTATTACAAACCCACAAATGTCCAGCTGAAACAATACAATCTATTAAAATTGTGAACTCATGATGATGGAATCGGGAATTCAAGAAGTTGAAATGGCCCTACCGGTCTTTTGTAGTAAAGCGATGTTAATTATTTTCCCATCACAGCAAAATTAAATGCTGAAGGTTCGCTTTTATTAAAATGGTTCATGGACGACAGTGGGAAGTTACCGTGCACCAACACACAATGCAACGGCTTAAACTGAATATGAAATCACGGATTTATATTACATATAAATCCGTGATGAAATGTTAAAAAACAGAACACTCATGTTCATAAAGGGATAATAGTAAAACATTCAATATGACAGTTTCCTGTCATTTTATTAAAAGGCATGCCTGTCCCAAGGAGAGTATATGCTTGTTTCAGAATCAAATAGGCGGGACTAAGTGAAATGGCATTTTTTATATCTGATCAGGAAACATAAATCAAATTATTTCTTATAATTGGTTTAGTCTGAACGATTCGTAACATTTAAAGTTATTTAAAGTACAACAAATCTTTTATTATAATATACAGTGCAGTTGTATAATCAGAACCGAAATTTTACTTCGAAAAATAGAAGGTATTCATATAACGCATTTCTATATAGAGATAAAATCGGGACCGACTACCTCTTTTTCGAATAAATGGTTGTCGAATGATTGGGGTCGGACTGTATTTTTTCCTACTTCCATTGCTAAACATAAACTTTTCTATTATTTTCAAGAGCATGATTTTTAATCGTATTACAAAATCAGCCTTTATGTTTGCCATTGAATTAATCTTTTAACAGCAACCTCTGATGTAATGAATGTAATAACCTTATTTAGAAGTGCGGCAGCCATGTCATTGACCCATTTCACTCGGCCATTTTGGATGAAGCCGTGAACGACAATCTTTAAAGGAAGTGAAGGGTTGAAGTTACAAGCAGACTTAAATCCTGTGTCACTTAGTATAGTGTCACCGTATCCATTCTCCACTGCTTGTAAAACATACGGACGCTTACAGGTTTCGGTGAACAGTCTGAAAATAAAGAAATGCTTGTGTCTTATAAATGTCACAAGATGAGAAAAATGTGCAGCCTGATCGTAATTCGAACTCGGACTCGGAACCCTCAGGCTACCATTTCGCAGATCTTCCCACCCATGCTTTATTGAAATTCGTCCCCGAATCTCTGATTGGTACAGAGAATAAGGTGATTGGTCCGGAGCTTTATACCGTTACATCCCAACGCTAGGAATTCTTAGTAATGTAATTATTGCTGGCCGCATGGGTTCAAACCCCGTCAGGGCAAGCCATTGCTTCCGTGAGCGAGAGAGTTTACACTCATTGCTTTGTACTAGTTGGTTCCAGGAACGGATTCGAGAGTTTTTCAATAAGCTTATAGCTTCTAACAGAATCAAACGAAGATAAATTTGTATAAACTAAAGTAAATGCATGGTCACTTTGAAAAATACTATGTTTCTATGTGATGTTCCACTTCTCTCAAAATTTTGAATGGCATTAGTTTCCTTTTTCGACGTCACTAACTTCCTAAAATACGGTATAATATCCTTACAGTAAAAGATGCAATACACAATCAATCATCCACAAATGGCATGCGACAAAATGAACGGAAACGTGGTGCCTTATCTTTCAAGATTGTAAGAATATCCTAATAAATACATTTGAGCCGCGTCACGAGAAAACCAACATAATGGGTTTGCGACCAGCATGGATCCAGACCAGCCTGAACATCCGCGCAGTCTGATCAGGGTCCATGCTGTTCGCTATCAGTTTCTCTACTTGTAATAGGGTTGGTAAGCGAACAGCATGGGTCATGACACGGCTCATGTACTTTATTCAGTGACCAAGTGACAAAGAACCAGTTTGTTTTTATACAATAGTTTCATTATTTTCATGGTAGAACATTTGCTGTACCTGAATGTGGTGTTGAAAAATGCAGGCAGCAAACTTTCAGTGTTGCTGAATGGTGCCTCATTTGTAAAACAACCCAGCTGCCCATAGCACACCGTTGACCTCTTCTGTCTTGAGTGGGGCTCGCATGATCCAAACTCTAAAACTGTCGCTAAAATAGCAGACGGTAAATAATTTACATTCTCTCTTCGTTTTTAGACAAACAGTATGTTGCGAGTGGAAAAAAAAGAGAAAAAAACAGAAAGAAAACCGAGCAGAAACAATACGTAATGACAAAAAATAATTAGTGATACACATTTTATTATACCTAACTAATGATAACATTTTATAAAATTTATTCTAGAAAGTGGTGTATAACACTCAAAGATATACAAATATACGTGTATTTCACACTTTTTGTGCATATATAAACGGGCGCTTTGTCAGAGTTTTATTATGAAATATGAGGAATAAATGCCCCTAGCACATCTGTTCTTCTAATAAAATAGTCTGAAAAATAGGCCTGTTTATACGCGTTATTATCTATCATTCATGAAATGCCGTACTTGAAGTGGATATTTCTTTACTTTGATTGGTAAAAAAATGTATAATTTAATCACATACTACTAAAAAACTAACCGTGGTCCTCTAATATCATAAAAAACAATGCTACAAATTTATAGAGACTTTCTGCTACAATATTCTCAAACATTTACAAATGCAATTTCAAGTCCATCCGAATTTTCAAGATTATTTTAATAAGATGTAATTTAGACAAAAATGCATACCGAGAGCTATAATCCAGATAAGTTTTGCAGATTCCATGTTTAAATCACAACTTCACGTGAACTTTTCACAATGTTTTATAAGATTGAATTAAGAATGAACTTCCGCGCAACGTCCAAGAATTCTCAACAGCAGTGGTTAAATGGAAACAGATGCTCCCAGTAATATGTTTGTTGTATATTTTGATAAACTCTTATTTCCTCATACTTAACTGGAACAAACACTGCTCTTCTGTTTTTATAAAGAAAATAGGCCAGCAATAAATGCATGCCACATTTCCATCATTGAAGTTTAGCAGAAGAAAAAAAAGAAGGAATGTCTTCATATTTTTAGTTTATTTACATATTGTCAGTCTGAAAATGCTACAATGATATCGGTGCTTCAGTACTGGCAAAGTGCGATAGGAAGGTCTTAGATATACATGCAGTATGTTACAAAAACAACTCATTTTAATATAACGCGGAGTATTGAGTCTTATTATTATTATTATTATTATTATTATTATTATTATTATTATTATTATTATTATTATTATTATTATTTATTATTATTATTATTATTATTATTATTATTATTATTATTATTATTATTATTATTATTATTATTATTATTATTATTATTATTATTATTATTATTATTATTGTATTATTATTATTATTATTATTATTATTATATTTCAGTCCTTTACATTGGGTTAAAGTGAATTGATCTGTTATGGAAGGTTTGTAATAAATAAATAATAAAGTTGAAAGTATTTAGTATCAGACATAACAAACCACAGAAGAATTATATATGGAAGTTGTTGGCAGGTGTGGGATACATGATCCGATATAAAATATTTATAGACCCCTTCAGCAGAAAACAAAAAGTTCTAGAACATCATATAAGTCAGTAAGATGTTTATCAACTTTTTCTATCAAGCAAATTTTTATAAGAATATCTAAATGAAACATTTTTTATTGTTTTTATATAAATATTTGAAAAAAAATGGAAATTGTGCCCATTATCCCATTTTAAAAAAAGATCTATTTTTTTCACTGCGGATAAAGGGTGTATATCGTTTTAAGGTTTGTTCAGTATCTCTATTTCATTGGCCCGGGTTTTTTTCTTCTTCATATATTGCAATAATCAATCAATTATAACGAAACGATAAAAAAAAATATTTCGTCATTTTGAAAAAGGAGTTGTAAGCATATTTTAACTACTCACTTACTATCAAATTTGTCGATATTCACTGCAAGTCTTCAAAGAAGTTCACATTCGAAAGTAGTTCCGGTAGCCTGAAAGAGATACACTCTTATGTTGCTTTGCCATAGAAATATATTACGACATTTGACCCTTTTCGGCACTAATCAAAGAAAATCATGTATGAGAACTAGCTAGAAAGACATTTAATGAAGCAATATATACACGTAAATAAGATTGGCGGTTTTTACCTCCCAGTTTGGTTATTTCGATACAAATATGTACATGCCATGTTTGTTATTATGTAACATTTGTCATTTAAGGCATTTAATAAATGCCCTATTTCATTCAACCTAAGTGTTGTGTTTTATCTCATACCAAACAAGTTCGTCTTGCCAGTTATATTTGCTTGACCTGGACAATACATAAATAATATAATTATGTAAAAACGTAGTGTTTTATGTTTGTTTCAATTAAGCTTAAATAGTTTATTACTTTACTTGCTTTGAATACTACATATTTAAAAGGTACGATGTATAATATTTCAATAGAAAATAGATTTTTGAACTAGAAGTGCATGAACAACCAATTACTTTAAATAGGGGTTAATTTGACCAAGTAAAGCAACGCCCAAGATTTTTTTAATCGTCAATGTTAAATTGATTAGCACATGGAATTTATTTCATTAGTACAAACAGCATACTTTATCTAATTGGAAACTATATAAGTGAAAACAAAGTGCCAAAAATTGCAAACAGATAAGCCCTAACAAGAAACCTGTGATTCTCTTAGTTCAGACTAGTCCTATAACATAAGATGTATGTGGCGGTAAGGGAATGTCGTGCGACATTTAACGTTAACATTGCGACATTTAACGGCAAATGATTTGCGATATTTAGCGGCGGTTGCGACATTTAGCGGCAATGGTGCGACATTTAGCGGCAAGTGCGACATTTAGCGGCGTTGCGACATTTAACGGCGCCACATTGACTGCATCAGTTCTTTGAATTTGAGTGTGTTCGGCCGATTGAAATATTTACTTGGAATAAGGCTTCTCCTACTAAAACAGAAGAAAGGGCATTTTAACATATAGTGGAATTCATCGGCAATATCATTTTGATTACATAAAGTGCATTTCCTTTGACCATGTTCTATAAAAGACTTGTGCCAACTGCCAGTTTGAAAAAGTGTCACAGTTAAATCGTATACATATACATGCACAGTAAGTTTACTTGAGTGCAGGTATCAGTTACCCGCACTCCAAATCATTCCCGTTGAGAAATAAAGTTGATTTCTATGGTGGCTGATTTGGAACGTTTTTGTGCGCCGTCTTGTAGCTAGCGAAGCATCCCAAACGTCGCGTTGTCGTGTGGCGTGTTGTCGCGATGTCGCTCAAATCAAAGGATTGGCTTATAAGCCAAGCGACAAGACGTCAGTGCGACGAAAAGACGATAACGATATAGGTTATGTTGTCGCTATCGACAACGCAACGCGGAAAGTGTTTCAAATCAGGCACCATACATTATAAGCTATATCATTCTCGTAAATGAAATACATGGAAAAATATATAAAATAATGATGATTAATAAATTAAAAAAATATAAAAAAAAAATAAATAAATTAAAAAGTAAAACAAAAATAGAATAATTTAATTCAAATGCCTAATAAAAGTTTCACCCGTTGTGGGATTTGAGCTTACGACCTTCCGCATGCGAAACAAGGACCTTAACCACTACTCTAACAGGCCATATATTATCTTTCAAATGTTTTTCCTGTTGGTGCGTTTTCGTATATGGCTTTATCCTGCCACCCCTGTGTACTTATAAATTAAGATTTCCCATTCTCGATCATATTTGAATCGATACCGTTATGCCGGATTCCGATGATTACCGATAAAAGGTCATTGAATATTCGGGCCAATATTGCCCAACAATATTTCAATAATGAAAAGGTCAGAGTTGAGAAGCACGGCGGAATATGCCGAATTTTCCCGCTTCACAGATTACAGACCACGTGATCATTTGAGCTAACAGGTCATTTTTGGTGGGAAACTCGCGCCGAGAAGACGTTCTTTGTGAATAGAGTAAGTGTGATGTAATTTTACAACTTTTGTATTTGATCGTTTATATTGTTCTTGATGTATGCTATATTTTATGTACTCGCGCTTTATAAAATATCTTTAAATATGTATGTTATCCCTGTAGTTAGTTATGAGTTGAGTTGAAGTTATTGTTGATAAAATGTGATTTGGCCAGACTACGCGATGCGCCCGCGGTTTTGTTGATATACTCGCGATTTATAAAATATCTTTATGTAAGTTATCCCTGTACCCCCTGTAGTAAGTGATGTGTAGAGTCGAAGTTATTGTTGATGGTTGTTGTAATAAAATGTGATTTGACCAGACTACCTGATGCGCCCGCGGTTTTGTAGATATACTCGCGATTTATAAAAAAAATCTTTATGTAAGTTATCCCTGTACCCCCTGTAGTAAGTGATGTGACGAGTTGAAGTTATTGTTGATGGTTGTTGTAATAAAATGTGATTTGGCCAGACTACGTGATGCGCCCGCGGTTTTGTTGATTTACTCGCGATTTATAAAAAAAATCTTTATGTAAGTTATCCCTGTACCCCCTGTAGTAAGTGATGTATTGAGTTAAAGTTACTGTGATGGTTGTTATTATAAAATGTGATTTGGCCAGACTACGTGATGCGCCCGCGGTTTTGTTGATCTACTCGCGATTGATATAAAAAAAATCTTTATGTAAGTTATCCCTGTACCCCCTGTAGTAAGTGGTGTATTGAGTTAAAGTTATTGTTGATGGTTGTTGTTATAAATGTGATTTGGCCAGACTACGTGATACGCCCGCGGTTTTTGTTGATATACTCGCGATTTATATAAAAAAATCTTTATGTAAGTTATCCCTGTACCCCCTGTAGTAAGTGATGTGACGAGTTGAAGTTATTGTTGATGGTTGTTGTTATAAAATGTGATTTGGCCAGACTACGTGATGCGCCCGCGGTTTTGTTGATCTACTCGCGATTTATATAAAAAAAATCTTTATGTAAGTTATCCCTGTACCCCCTGTAGTAAGTGATGTGTTGAGTTGAAGTTATTGTTGATGGTTGCTGTTATAAAATGTGATTTGGCCAGACTACGTGATGCGCGCCGCGGTTTTGTTGATATACTCGCGATTTATAAACAATCTTTATGTAAGTTATCTCTGTACCCCCTGTAGTTGGTAATGTGTTGAGTTGAAGTTATTGTTGATGGTGGTTGTTATAAAATGTGATTTGGCCAGACTACGTGATGCGCTCGCGGTTTTGTTGATATACTCGCAATTTATAAAAAAAAATCTTTATGTAAGTTATCCCTGTACCCCCTGTAGTAAGTGATGTGATGAGTTGAAGTTATTGTTGATGGTTGTTGTTATAAAATGTGATTTGGCCAGACTTCGTAATGCGCCCGCGGTTTTGTTGATATACTCGCGATTTATAAAAATATCTTTATGTAAGTTATCCCTGTACCCTCTGTAGTAAGTGATGTGATGAGTTGAAGTTATTGTTGATGGTTGTTGTTATAAAATGTGATTTGGCCAGACTTCGTGATGCGCCCGCGGTTTTGTTGATATACTCGCGATTTATAAAAATATCTTTATGTAAGTTATCCCTGTACCCCCTGTAGTAAGTGATGTGTTGAGTTGAAGTTACTCTTGATGGTTGTTGTTATAAAATGTGATTTGGCCAGACTACATGATGCGCCCGCGGTTTTGTAGATATACTCGCGATTTATAAAAAAAAATATTTATGTAAGTTATCCCTGTACCCCCTGTAGTAAGTGATGTGATGAGTTGAAGTTATTGTTGATGGTTGTTTGTTATAAAATGTGATTTGGCCAGACTACGTGATACGCCCGCAGTTTTTGTGATATACTCGCGATTTATATAAAAAAATCTTTATGTAAGTTATCCCTGTACCCCCTGTAGTAAGTGATGTGATGAGTTGAAGTTATTGTTGATGGTGCTTGTTATAAAATGTGA